AAAGGGGGGGGCCAATCCCCGGCCTTTTTCCCCTTTTTTGGGTTGGCCCCCCCCCCCCCCCCCCCCCCCCCCATAGCTCACGCAACTCGCAGAGCAAGCCCTAAAGCAACAGTTTGGCTCGGCGGATGCCTACATTGATGTGTGGATGCACTTTTTGACCGTAGTTGTCAAACGCCAACAGCAGGGTACACCTTGTCCCTCCTGGTTTCGCTACCAGCTTGTGGCTTGCCTCTGGCTCTCGGTTTAGCATGTCACTTTTCTCAACGCATATTTACCTAATGTTGGCTGGTTTTGTCATTTCCGGCTGCAGGCGAAAAGGGTGTTTCGGAGGAAGATTGGGCTCGCCATCGTGATACTGCCCTCACCTATCTTCTCGACTACCTTGGGGGGTGGCTGAGTGACCCCCAACATCGTCTCGTGTCGTGCTTGGTACGTGAGAAAGCGCACGCACCGCCAATTGCAACATGGTGAATAAAACACAAGCGCGCCATGTAGTGGGCTGTTGGCCGTCGCATTGCTCGCAGCCGCTTCTCAACAAGCGCGTGCTCCTCGAACAGGCCGAGCTGGAGAGCCGAGTCACGGGCGACAGCCGCAAAGGCCGGGAGATGCTTGACATGATTCTGCAGGACGAAGCAACTCGCCCTCTGGTATACTTGATGTGGCACCCCGGCCGTGGAGAAGCAAGATAGGATAGGCAGCATGGTTCAGCTGCCTGAATCACTGATGCTTCTCATCGGCTGTTTTTCCCTTGACCTGCGTCGCCCCTTTACTTGCTTTGCCTGCGCCCACAGTACGCTACCTGGAAGGCCGTCATTGCATATGAACGCCAACACAACGCTTCGATCGAGGCGCTTCTGGAACTGCATCAAGAAGCATTTGAGGCCGTTCAAGATTACGGTTACTACATGGCCCGGGTATGTGCTCCTGCTTGACAGGCTAGCAAGGGAGGGGGGGCACATGGCTGTGTACTCAGCAATTCTTGACGTTTTGCTTTCTGAAACAAGCTTGCACTTGCTTTGTGATTGTTGCTCATGGTTCGTCTATCTTCAACTCTTGACTGCGGCACAGGATTACCAGCAGCTGGTTCTCACCACTTCACAAGCAGACCCGGCCATCGTGTTGCGCCTGTTCGGAAGTCTCATTGCACGGCCACAAGAGGTTGTTGCAGCGACAGCCGCCCATAGCGAATCAGGCTCCAAGAAGCCTGCCAAGTCGGCCAAGCGATCCGGTGCGTGTGTGGCTGAGAGTGCATGTTGGCTTTTGCTATGTACCTTGTCTTCTCACAACCTCATGTCACAGCGGACGACGCAAACGTTGAGCCTCGTGCAAAGAAGACTGCCACCCAGGCCGCGACGAATTCAGCAACCGAAGCCATGGACACAAGTGCGCCTCGCGGCGCGACTCCTACACATGGTGCCGGCGATGAGTCCGCTCCCGTGGCGCCGCGTCAGGTGGGTTCATTGTTCTCGATTGATTTTGTACGCCTCTTGGGGGTTTGAGCTCACGTCACTCGTACTCGACATCTAGGCACACAAAGTTGAGGCCGAGGATCGCACGGTCTTTGTCAAGAACTTGGACTTTTCTGTGCGTCACGCCTGCGCCTCGCTTAAAAACTGTTGCTTCACATTGGTCTTGTTTTCCTGAATGACACTCTCATCTGCATGTGCTCGTGCCTTTAGGTTACGGAGGACGAGCTTCGTGCACGGTTTGCAGACGTATGTCTCATGATACACCATCGCTCTCACGCACGCCTCTGGACCCGGTACCCCGTGCCTCTAGCTGCAATTCGCTCCTCACATCCTTTCTTTGGCTGCTTTCTGCAGTGCGGAGAAATTGTAGACGTGCGAATGCCATTCAACCACAAGGGCAAGGCAAAGGGTTATGCCTACCTGGAGTTTGCCTCGGTGAGTTGTCACAGCCAAGTTGCACTTTCGTTGTAACAGAGCGCCTTGTCCGTGGCCTAATTCTCTTGGCGCCGGTGTGCACAGGCGAGTGCCGTCAATCCAGCGCTGAGCAAGGACCGTCAAATTATGGGCACGCGTCCCATGCTTGTGGACCGCTAGTACGTTCTAATGAGGCGACAGGCACGCCCCAATGTCATCTTGCACCCTTCAAGCATTTATTTTGCTCCGTTCACTCAAGTGTGTGTGTGTGTATGTGCGTGTGTGCGCGCGTAGTGTTGACCGCTCGCAAATGCCGTCATTGCCCTTCAAACACACGACTGACAAAAACCCCAAGTCGTTGTTTGTCAAAAATCTGGACTATAAGGCCAGTGAAGCTGAGATCAAGGACCTCTTCAACAAGGTGCGAGACAGCGCAGCCATGACCCCTGCCCTTTCTCTTCAATACATTATTTTTTCGCTGTTCAGTCTTCACACTGCAAGGTTCGGACTGACATGAACTTGCTTGTAGCATGGTGCGGTGGAAGCGGTGCGGCTTGTAACCAAGTTTGACGGCTCGCGGCGCGACTTTTGCTACGTGGATGTAAGACTTTGCTCCTTTGAATAGCCCCCAACCCGCCTTTTTTATTTTTTTTTTATTTTTCTCCATTTCGTATTCATCATCATTATCAACATCATCATCATCATCACCATTACCGCCGCCGCCACCACCACCATCACCTGTTTAGCGCCGGCAAAAGCTTTTGCTCACACTGTGCCTCTCGCGTTAGTTTGTCACAGAGGCTGATGCAGCAAAGGCACAAGCAGCCCTGGATGGCCACATGCTTCACGGTGCGATACAGACTACTTGAGTGTGCGAATGAAGTGGCGCGCGTTGGCTCATGGTGTTGTTGTGGATGCACAGGGCGTGCTCTTCGAGTCAACATTAGCAAGCCGCCCGGCCCCTTGAGGCAAACGCTTGGTGGTGGACGGCCGACATTGGGTGGAGGACCTGGTTCCACCAAGAGGTAGGAAGCTTTGAAAAACCCTGTCTGATCCAACAAAACCATTCTCGTCCACGTGTCTTTTGATTCAGCGCATACCTCACATCACGGCCTTGTTTCATTTTAGCCATCCGGCCCCGCGCCTGGTGCCTCGAGCAGTCGCCAAAGCACAGCAAGCGAAAAGTGCAGCCACTGCGAGTCATTCAAATGCTGCCCCGGCCAAACCCACGAGCGCGAATCCAGCCGCGGCCAAGCGCTCCAATGCTGATTTCCGTGCGCTTCTCCTGAAAAAATAGCAGTCCTGTCTGTCTTGCTAGTGGCTTCAAGTTGCAATTCACTGAGACACACGTCGTTGATGAAAATCAGTTTTGTGTTGGCAAAACTTGCGTTACGCTACATGTGTCGGCTGACACACACACACACACACACACATCTCTTTTTCTTTTCTTTTTTTCCCGATTTTTTTGCCTTTTTTTTTAGGCCTCCACGTTGAGGATGGCTGACAGACGTGACGAGCACGAGGCTGGGCCCATGATTGAGGCTGGGGCTGAGCAGGAGGATGCGGATCAGACGACACCCGTGCCTATGGGTATTGAGCCATTGGATGATGATGTAACTGAGGCGCGGGAGGAGGTGGCTGATGCAAAAAAGGAGGATGCGAATGACAGTGAGGCTGGGCGTAGTTTGAGTGGGACCTGGATCGCCAACCTGATGGTCGGCGCACAGAAGCAGCTGGCAGCTTTGCGCAGTCGATCCAAGCCCAGCGCAGAGCCGACTGGCGAGTCTGCTATCTTGGACGCTGAAGATACAGCTTTTGGTGAAACGGGCGCAACTCAACCCTCTGAAATGGATACGGCTGATCCAAAGTCTGAGCTCTTGCAAGCTGATGGCCCACCTCTGGTGCGCACCGCCAGCGAACCGGCGCGGGCACGCTCCTCCGGACCAGATCGCGATTCGCCCGTGAGCGAAGCTGCGGCCAGTGAGCCGCCGCATCCGGTTGCAGCCTATGATTTGGACCAGGCCATGAGCGTGCCGGCAGCCGATCCCCTCCCACCCCTGGGGGCCGACCAGGTGCGGTGGTATTTTAACGACCCATACATTGCCGTTGGCCTCAAGACGAAGGCCCGACATTGGGAGCCTTTCTGTTGCCACGATGCGCGTCGCCTCGAGAGCCTGTACCAGCGCCAGCTGCAGACCCTCCGAGCGCCCATCACCACCGACCCCCCTGCCGCTACTCGCGCCCCCACCGTTGGTACGTGGCCAGTCTAGATTAGACCTTAGACCCTTTGGCCTCCCCTGGCTTACTGAATGCAACATCAACTTGACCAGCTCATGACTGCTTTTTCTCTCACCAAACATTTTCCATTGTCGTCCATTGCTGCTGGTGTCTTCATCGTTATGTTGAACGAACAGATCGCGAGGAAGTTCGTGGCGGCCTGTACGAGGTGGAAGTGCTCTCCAACAAGGATCGGCGCCACATTGCTTGGTCAGTTCTCCAATCTCAAAGCTGTGCCACAGCGCGGGCACTGCACCATCAGCTTCGTGCATGACCCCACCAGCCTACTGGCTCGTGGCTCACTTTGCGCTGCAATTACCCGCAGGCCAATCTATTGGGATTCTGAGGAGCCCCTGCAGGTAACGCGGGGAACCTGGTTTGAAAAAAGCGACAACGCTCTGCAGCCACTGGATGAGACGCTGGCAGACGCCATTGAAGCAGAGCATGTTACCGTGGCATACCGTCGGCACTTGGAACGAGAAATGCGTCGCCGCGAGGAACTCGCCGCATACACGCGTGAGCTGGCCGACCCGGAACGCCGGCGCCGCTCCAGCAAGCCCAAGACAGGTCTCGAGGAGCTCCATCGTCTGGACATGGTTGGTGGCAAAACTGCCATTTGGTATGGTATAGAAGATATTCGTCTTTGCGACACCATCGCGTCCTGGGCACCCACCTATGCCGGGCGCAGCATCTATCGCGGACATGCACACGTACGCGAACATGCCCGGCTCGTGCTCCGTCAACTTCAGTGTGCAAAAAATTCCAAAAAAACTCATGTGCTTGTCCTTCGTGACAGGCCTGCCACGTGATTACTGGAGCACGCAAGGACGACGACGATAGTCACTGTCGATGCGGCAAGGCTGAACACCTTGTATTGGTCATCCACGGCATTGGTATGCGCGTTTGGTCGCTTTGTCTTTTGTTCACATGCATCATAGACACACCACATGACGATGCTTCGGGCACGTTGCGCGGGATTTAGGTCAAGCGTATGAGCAGACCATCGTGGAAATGTCCGCATACCTGCGCAACATGTCGCAAGCATATGCCAAGGCAGGGCACCTCGACAATTCCTATCAGTGCGTCAACCAGCTGTGGCCTCTCTATTTTGGCCCCGCATGCATCCAGTGGGACGTAAGTTTGCGTGCTCACCCCCCACATGCTCCCCTTGCGATCTGCAGGCAAGGTCACAAGCATGTGGATTTCCTTCCCATTGAGTGGCGCACGTCGCTGGCGTTGGATGGCGGCACCATTGATGCCATTACCCCACCGGTACTTGGCCCAGTTCGATTGGTCCCGAAGATTGTCTGAAGTCAGAACCCGACATTCTGCATCTGCTCATCAAACCTGGCTCATGTGGTGCTTCTGTTGTGGGCAGGGCGTCGAAGTGGCCCGCCGTTTCCTCAACAATGGTGCCTTGGATGTTCTGTATTTCACCTCACCCAAGTACGTGCTCAAGTGGAGATGGGCACGCTCGCGCTTTCAAGTGGCGTGCCTTGCCTGCCTCACATTGCGAGCAAACGGGTGCTTTTGCATCTGCGTATTTTAGGTTTTGTCAAGAAATCATGGACAGCGTCACAGATAAGCTCAATGCCGTGTATGCTGAATACACGCGGCGTCATCCAGATTTTGAGCGGAACGGTGGCAAGGTCTCCATTGTTGCCCACTCGCTGGGTGGAGTCATTAGCCACGCATTGCTCACTCACCAGGTCAGTTCCTGGTGCAAAACAAACCGACCGAGCCTCAAGGGGACTGCCAGTGACCGCTGCCCGACAGCTCAGCCTGTGAGATTGTTGTTTTAGGATTCGGCGGTGGAGATGGAGGACGATATGCGCGAGGCTCGGGAGGAGCACGCACGACTTGTGGCTCTGCGCCGCGAAATCAATGCGCTCAAAATGCGGGCCCGTCGTCGCAAAGCAGGACATTTGCTGAAAGTGGAAAACGAGAAGAAGCCCAAGCGTGGTACGCCAGCAGTATCAAGTCCCGCGCAGCTCCACCCCTTGCACATCAGATGTGACTGGCCAGCATTTGACTCATGCATTTGTGCGCGTCAACATGCGCAACTTGGCAGCTGGTCCTCGTGGCAGCCTGTCCCTCACTCTGCCAGAGGTGGAGGATGTAGACGATATCTTGGATGACCAGCCAGAGGACATGGATGGAGATGACGAGGATCACGGCGATCCGTTTGACGAACCAACTGCAGACACTGCAACCGCTGCACCCCCGTCACCATCAGCCAGTGGCCAGCCATCGCTACACCCCATGCCTGCGGTACGGCTCAAGCTGCGGGTTCATCTCATCGATCCCACCTCGTTTTTCCCAAACACCCAAAACCAAGACAAAAAATGAAAGCACAAAGCCTGATCTTGCTGGTTGCAGATTTTTTCCAAGCTACATTTCCCGGTGCGCCAACTTTTCACGCTGGGAAGCCCCATCTCCATTTTCTTGACTATGCGCGGTGCACGCTCAAAGGATCAAAAGTATGGCGTATCGACCATTGTCCGAATACTGTATTCGTAGGCCGCCCTGTGCTTTGAAGAATGCTCACCGCTTCTATTGGTGCTCGTGTTTCTTGATTTTGTTTCTCGGTTGGTGTGCTTAGGAAAAGTTCGAGTGCCATGTTACTGCCTCCGAATACACGCCTTTATAACATTTACCACAGGTTTGTGAAACACTTCGTGCGTGTGCCAAAGGTGCATTTGCTTCATTTGAACTCGACATGCGAATATGGCTCGTAGCGCGGATCCTCTGGCGTATCGCCTCGAGCCCCTACTGCAAGTAGAGCCCCATGATGGTATGCTCAATCGACATCTTGTCTTTCGCTTGAGCATTTGTCGCGTCAACTTCCTCCATCGTGCCGTTTGCAGATCTCACATTGTCGGGGGCGTCTGACTTCATGGTGTCGGAAACAGATCCAGTCAACGTGCCCGACTTTGAGCTGGGTGCCAGCGGCATTTTTAGGTAGGAGATGCTCGATGTGTGCAATCGGCGTTCAAGGGGCTGGCTTATACTTTTGCATCTTGTCCACAGCGTCGTCTCGAAGACGGTTAACCCGTTTCTCAAAACGCTCAATCAAGCTGCAACCACAATCTCACAGTGGCGGGCTGGCCGGAAACAGGTACGTCAAGCAACTGCTTGATCACATGACCTTGCTTTCTGGGCGCTCTTCATCTTATGTTCAGCCATCGAGTCACGGATCGGCTGCCGATTGGCGTTGCGTTCTTTTGGCAGGCCGTCTCGATGCTGACGCTTGCGGCGGCTGTGACGGAGTCTGCACCCGACGACGACGATTTGGACGAGGCGCGAGCTGACTCAAGTGATGCTTCAAGCGCTGAAAGGCCATCCCAAGGTCTGCTCACCAGCAGGGGCCAAGGCGTCGGATATGGACCAGTCTCAGCTCCCAGCTCTAACTTGCATTGGCGGTGCTCTTCTTTTGGAACAATAGGCTCAAGCATTGCACAGGCTCGCGGCGAGGTCGTGCGTGTCTCAAACCAAGGTATGCACTAGCTTCAAACAAAAGCCTACCAAGATAGCTTTTTTTTTTTTTTTTTTTTGTTTTTTCTTTTTTCGGTTGCTTCAGGCAGCATCATCGTTGGACCTTGACCGCTCGTTTATTGCAGATCCCACACCCTCGGACAGAACAGAAGATGAAGAAGACGGGAGCAAAATTCGGATTCCGTTTGGTCAGACGCCGGCAAACCATCGCACTATTGGCCTGGTTGGGAGGCATATGTGAGCGATCGCGGGGCTGACAAGGGTTTTCTCTTGCGTGTTCTCTAGACCGAACTGATTTTGTGGTGGCCGGGGGCGCCGGTGATGTGGGGATTCAGTCACTTCAGTACTTGTCTCTGTTGAGTGCCCATACTGATTACTGGTATCGATGGGATGTGACGCATTTCATCAACCAAACCTTGATCAACGGTCTTGGTTTGGATCGCGAGGTTTAAGCATTCGTTGGCTCGGCAACACCTGAGAGCAGCGGTTTGCCTCCACAGACCCAACGAAGTTTTGTCTCAACTAGCTTGGGAACGAATATACAGGGCCATACGCTGTGTTTGCGTTTTTTTGAAGGATAATACACGTGAATTTTGTCTGTGAAATTGACTTCTGCTATTGGCGTGCTGAGCAGAGAACAAAAGGGGGTTGGCTGGTTATGACTGAGTGTCCTCATCTTTAAGGAGGTGGCCAAGCTCACGGCGCAAGTGGCCTAGCTTTTCCCGTTCCGATGTCAACGCCTTGTCCAAGCGCAGCACTTCAACCTGCGTGCGCATGAGAATGCGGCGAGCTTGAACTGCATTCATATTGGATAGATTCTATGACAACAGGATGGGTAGGCGCAGACCCAATGAGATGCATCTTTCTTCATAACAACAATTGTGGAGTGGTATGCCGGCAGTTCCTCCAAGGAGCAAATTACAAAGCACGTTCAGTGGATCTCGAGCAGCAAGGACACAAGCGTACCTCAGACGTCAGAACTAGGTCCGCCAGACGTAGATTGGCGCAGTCCTTCGTGATGACCGTCACCTTGTTGCTGGTTGTGATTAGATTAGTTGAAGAGCTGGAAATGTGCTCAATCAACTTTTGCACATCGTTATCCGAGGAAAAGTCTAACCCGCGCGCCGCACAAAGATGATAAAAGGCGGGTTGGCTTCAATCTTTTAAAGATGAAGAAGCATTGCACAAAGAGCAGCGCGCTCTACAGGCCAGATGCACGATGTGCTAGTACGTACCGGAACGAGCCAGGAGGGTTTTGATGAATGCCATGAGCTGCGCCGTGCAGGCCGACAGATCTTTGGAAGAAACCTGGAGCTCCTCCGCACGGTGGCCTTCCTGAACAAACGAGCGCAAGCACTCGGTCCAGACAGGCGTGTTCTCCACCACATTGTTCACGCACATGTTCACAGCGCCCAGCCTGGAAGGATTTGCAAACCAACAATAAGTGGCACACAAATGGTCGCCAACACCAACATGGCTAGAATCAAAAGCACATTGTACCAGTGACGTGTTTCAAGCGCTGCCGAGGCCTTGTCCCCTTCGTAGGCATCGCTGCCAAAGATACCCTATGGATGGTGAAACACACGCCCGCATTCAGAATCAATGGTTCTAATACATGCCCGCGTGCTTTGTACAACAAAGCAAGCAAGCATCGAAAGGCTTGTGGCAAATGCACAAAAAGACCTGCACTAGCAGAATGGACTAGCCTTGAGTAAGAGCGCATCTTCAATAAAGGCGCTTGCGGCGTCCATCATATGCTCGCACTCGTGCAGTAAACCCTGCGGGCGATTCCCATCACAGAATAAGGTCGTCGTGAGGTGAGTGACGCAGCCCGTGGCGCATTTCGTCACATATGGCGCGAGCAACCTGTGACCATGAGCGAGCGTTGCAGTTATTGGTAACTGAGCCACCTTGTTGAGCTTGAGCACGCGCTCGTCCTGGCCTTCGCTCGCGGTTTGCTCGCGCTGCAAGCGAGCAATGACGTCTTTGGCATCATGTACCAGCTGTTGGGCCCGGGTGACCTGAGCAGCAGCCGGGCAAAGGCCAGTCAGGTAGGATTGAATATGCCTTGCCCCGCAGACGTTGAACGAAAAGCTAACCTGATTCTCCGTATCTGTCGGCAGGGCACCACCGCCGGCACTACAGGCGGCCAAAGTCGCGTGCAAACGCCGGAGGGGGGCCTGTAGATTGATGACTGCAACGTGGGCACCAAGCATCGGCAGTGAGTTTCAAACGCATGCATCAAGAGTCTACGTCCCCACCAGAGTACGTACCAGCATCCATGGGTACCATGAGCTGGCTGTCGTGATCCGCGCCTTGAGATAGTACTGCCATTCACCCGAATACATCGTGCAAGCCCATCATGGAGCCGTGAGACGGCCTTGGTGGGACCAAGACAGGTGGCGAGCGAGGGTAAGATTTGCCACAGGACGAGAGAATGGCAAAGACAACACCTTGTTGCAACTGGGTGAAAAAAGCGGCAGCTGCAGGCTCGAGCGGTGGCAGACGCTCCAATAGCTCATGCCCGCGCTCTGGGGGCACAACTCCCGTGATTGCATGAGCCCTGGCGATCGTGGTCCCCAACAGACCAGCCAACACGGTGACTTTGCGCATCAATGACGCTGCACCATCATGCTCCTTTTGTCCCTATTCGCAAGGCAAACAGGCAACATCGGCGTTTGGTCACACGCCACGTGAGCTTGAGGTGCCAGTGTCAAGGGGGCACGGCGGATCGGGCCACCTACAAGCTCTTGAAGCCGATCCAGTGTGTGCTGACAGTTGTCAGCCGCGGTCACAATGGGGTCTTCTTTGATGACATGTGCGGTGCTAGTCACCGTCGCGCCAAGCTGCTCAAGCAGTGATTCAAGACCTGACTTGAAACTGTCACGTGACGTCTTGGTTCTGTGCAGCAAGGCCGAGTGCAAGCACCGCGTGTTGAGGGCGAGAGCAGGAGGAATATGGGGCGAGGGAGGTGAGGGGGCTTTTGGTGAGCTAGCTGTTGGCGGACATACTGAGCGAGTTGGACGTTAAGAGATTTTACTTGATCTTGCAGAGACATCTCCTTTTCCTCAGCGGAGCTTTTGAGGGAAGCAAGCAGTTGTTCGTGCTCCCGTTGCACCTGCTCCAAGCGTGTGCGAAGCTCTTGCAAGGCCTCTTGATGCCTGGACAAGCCGGATCAAAGAGGATGAGCGCTGTCTGGTGCCCGAAAGCTTCCGGTCAAAGTTGGGCTGTCACGACGGCGAAAGCCAAAAGAGGCGAACATACTTGTGATTTAGCGCTTGCACCGCTTTTTGGTGGTCCGTCTTCTCAAACTCGAGCGCTTCGCGTGCGGCCGTGCGTTCGACTTTGAGTGTGTTGGCCAAATTGTCACCTGGTCGACAAGATGAATGCAAAGAGGATGCACAAGGTGGTCAGGCGGGAAGCATGGGGCGAAACTTGTCCGGCAAAGGTGACGAGGGCCTGTCAGGGCTTTGCTTGGGTGCTATGTGCCATCAGAACAACCCGTCTCATCTGCTGAAGAGGACAGGTAACTCACCGTCACACCACACGGTATTGATCTCCGGGAGGGAATTGCAAAAATCCTCATACTCAAAGACGGCACCCTCTTTCTCGCTGCGGCCCTTGACAGACTTGAGCGAGCCGCAAAGTTCGAGCTGTTGACTGGCAATGGTGGATAGTGTCTTAAAAAACTTGAGTTTGGCCTCGCTGCCCCCATAAAGCGCGTGGTAGCAGGCAGTGAGTGGGCATGGGTTTAGGCCTGATGAAGCAGCGTGGGCAACGGCGGGTTGGTTTGCAAGCCCGTTGCCTGAGCCCGAAGCTTACATCAGGCGAAAGTAGCCTTCGCGCAATTCTTGATGCATTTCGCGCTCGACCTCAACTTGTTTATTTTGCAGCTGGGGAGCCGAGCAATATGCGTGACGAGTCGTGCACATGAGGCAGGTAAAGACCACACGAGGCAATGCGCCAAGAGACCATCATACCTTTTCGAGGATGGCAGAGCGCTGCCGCATGGCCTCGGTCAGTTCACCCATGGATGGGCCGTGGGAACGTCGGCGACTCATGGAGCCCCGACGACCACCGTCGTCCTCCTCTTCCGGAACGGCCAGTTGACCATCCTTGATGCCTGTCGAGGGTGCAGACGGGATACGTGTTTGTGCGGTATGAGAGGAGCATTGTTGCTGTAATCATTGTTTTACTCCTTTTGAAGAACAATACAGCGGCACGTACGCTTGTCCAAGTCCCCTCCGTCCTTTTTGGCAGCCGATTCGAACTTTTTGCGGATGCTCTCCACGTGCTTTTCGGCGCGGTGGTAGTCTACCTCCAAGGCTGTTCCAAGACCAGTCAACCAAATCAAAGCATGATGGCAATGCACATTTACCAAAGATGAAATTGCGGTGAGCTCATGAGGTACCAACCCAAAAGCCAGCGCGGCAAGGAAGGATGGCAAGAGCCTACGCACCCTTGTACTCTTTGCGCTCGCTGAGGATACTCTTCCAATGGACATAGTAAGTTTCATAGGCTAAGCGAAGAGGAGATGGGACTTGTGAGCAAAAGGATCATAGAAGAACGGCAGCGGGTATGCCACCACGAGCATACCAGCAATGAATTCTTCGAGAGCGTCGGTCATGTCCGTGTCGGCGCTACACATGGCTGCAATAAATTCATGGATCTGGCTCGTCTGCGTGGTCGACCACTTGGTCAATTCGCTGGGCTCATGCAACACGGGTGTTCCAAGGTGAGACGGGCGGCGGAAGTGCAATGGCAGCGGGGAGACGGAGCAAGCACGGCGCGTGCTGCTGCAAGAAGGGGGAGCGGGCAGGGAGCCATCTGGTCCTACGTGGCGGTGATGCTGCTGTGCTTGCTCAGGGAGGCCATGGGGTCGCGAACGCGCTTGATTTCAAAGAGCACATTGCGCAGTTCGCCCTCGGAAAGCATCCGATTCTGGGCGTGCTTGAAAGCGCGCAGCATGTTGGCCAGGTCGTTCGCGCCTTCCAACAAAGATGCGGGCAGCAGGGGTGGCAGTGGCTGGTTCGGTTGACGTAGCAGTCAAGGTTGTGCGAGCAGAGCCTAGGGCCGAAGCATGGTGCCCAAACACAAGTTGAAGTGAGCGCGAGGTCGGCACATTATCGTCGCGGCTTGCTGGAGCCCTCGCTGCGAGTGTGCACCTGTGCTGGAAGCAAGGGAAAACAGAAATGCAATGTTGGCCGACTGACTGCGCCTGTGCTTGCTGTTAAGTTGTAATGGCAGTGCGGTTGACCGTGGGGGTGAGTACCAACATGTAAAGTCGAGCTTGAGTCGGTGGACAAGTGCCCTTGCGGCTGCACTGAACAAGCAAGATCTAAAGTCAAAAGACCCAGGCAGAAGCGTGGCGTTGCCGCGACTCTTTCGTGGGATCAAGGGAGAGACTGAGGGCGGCAAAGAAAGGCCAAGGATCAGGAGCAGAATAATATGTGCCGCAGCTTGCGTTGGGGGAGATGGTGTGGCTCACAGCCGCTTGGGTGCGAGTCGTGAATGCGTGCATGTACGGATCGCAAGCCTCACGCGCGCGTGTGCGCTGAATGTGTCACTAAACGGGGAAAACAAAGAAAATAGGGTGGGGGGGATGGGGGAGAAGGCTGCATGGACAAGCGCACGGACAGGCGGGACCAAGGCGATCACGTTGCCCAGGTTGATCTCGCGGTACGACGGTGACGCGCACCAGACTGATGGATGTCGGGAGGATGACACGAAAACAGGGGAGCCTCTGGGGTCGTAGCGCCGTGTGCATGGGCAACCAACGCCGTGCCTTGGCGCCCTTTGCACAGGGGTTTTTCCTTTGGTCTTCTCTTTGGTCTTTTGGTCTTTTGGTCTTTTGTCAGAAGTAAGATTGCATTGTCTTGTTATAAAAAGAGAGTACATACTATACTTCCGAGAGTCGGATGAAAAAGTTGACCGCTGAGTTCGATAGAAAGGTGCATTCTGTGTGGACACAACCTTGCTTCGACGACGAAATTGTCAGATGCTGACAACTGGATGGATTGCGCAATGGAAAGTACCAAATGTCTGACAACAACAACAACAACAACAACAACACATAGCTTATCGGGCGCCAAGACGTTGACGGCCGCCGTCAATGGCAATGCACTCGCCCGTGATAAAGGAGGCGTGATCTGACATGAGAAAGGCAATGAGCTCCCCAACCTCCTCGGGCTGTCCAATCTAGAGCAATGGGAGCACAGCGTGTATGTAGTGTTTTTGCAGGAAACTATGTAAACCATGCGAGCGCGAAGCAGAGCAAAAAAAAAAGTCAGACTGACCTTGCCTCGAAACTTGGCGAGAGGATGGGTCACGTCGACTGAGCGCTGCAAAAAGGCCGCGTACTGGTCCTCGTCCAGGCCCCCGCGCTTCTGCAACTGGGACACAATCACGCCAGGATTGACGCTGTTGACGCGGATACCCTCCTCCGCCAAGTCCACGGCGGCGCACTGTGTCAGCATATCAGCTGCTGCCTTGGACGCACAATAGGCTGCGCAGGCTAAAGGACTCGGGCCAAGGCCACCATGGTCAGTCGAAAACCACGTATTGCAATCACAACGGGACGGTCCTGGATGCGAGGAACCTCGTCTCACCGGCGAATGACTGCTTGGCGTTGACGGAGGTGACGTTGATGATGGATGATCCGGCTGTACCCGGTGCAGTGGCCTTGAGGTGCGGGACAGCATGCTATCAAAATTGAAGCGCACAGCGCGAGGGGCGCATGGTACCTTGTGAGTTCACGAGTCAGTGGTCATAACAAGGCTAAGCGCAGCCACTGACTAACCTGCATCATCTCGAATACCACTTGGGTGTTGATGGCAAAATTGTCCTGGTAATTTTGAAGGTTGAACTGTGGCGAGCCCACCGCGCCACCCTAAAGACATCATGTCCACAAACCCAGCAACACCGTCGTTGGTCAGCAGAGTAGCCTGCTTGGTATGTGAGTCCCCTCAAGTCAACAGACCTTGAGCACACCAGCGCAATTGACAAGCCCGTGCAGGGACCCCAGCGCCGAGGCTGCAGCTTCAACCACCCGCTGGCATTCGCCTGCCTACATGTGGACCGAAAAAACAAAAAACAAAAGTAACACATTTGAGTGCCAGACGTGTGAGACATGTGTGCCAGACATGTGAGCGCCAGACATGCTTCTCCTCGGCACACGCGCACATCAAGATCTGGCCCACGACGCCGATGGAACTATAGCCCAGACCTTGGTGAGTTCACCCGGGATCGCAATAGCACCTGGTCCCTTCAACGCAGAGCGCAGTGCCTCCTCATTGCGACCCGTGAGTGCCACACGCGCGCCATGCGTTGCCAGCACTCGGGCCGTCGCCAAGCCAATGCCGGAGCTCGCGCCAGTCACGAGTATATTCTACGCTCGTTCACCCCATCAGCCCAATTGAGCCCAACAAGACACGCAACCGCCAAAGATCCGCGTTACACGTTGTGTCCTGACCTTGCCTGCTAGCATTGTGGCGTTTCAGGAGAGATGAAGGAACCAGACTTTGCCTCTGCCACCTAGCGTTGCAACTGACAGCTCGCACCGCTGTCTTCTTACTGTTGTTCCTGTTGTTGTTACTGTGTGTGTGTTTGTTCTTTGCTTTTCTTTTGCTCAATTTGAAGGACAATCTGAATTGTCAGCACGCCGAAGATCGCGTCGCGTCGCCAGAGAACCAAACGGCCCAAGCAGGGGGTACAGAGCGCAACGCACAGCGTGCGCATTAGCACAAAGAGGATAACGACCAAGCGCTTTCCACTCATGCCCCTTGATGATGGGGTGGAAGCGGAGGGCTGTTTGTTGACCCTCGCAGCAAGGCTGCTGCACGATAAGGAACAGAACACTTGAAAAGGAAAAGGACAGAGGTGCGCCGTCCGGCACTGACAGCACGTCACAAAAAACAAAACACAAGCTGGTTTAGAGAATAACACATTTCTTCTTGTTGCGGTGGGTGGGTTTCTTGGCTGGGGCTCCGCTACTGAGCTTGCTCGCCTTGATGAGCTTGGTCAAGTTCAGAAACGCCTGCCATTTAAACCAAGCAGTGCGCATGCTGCACATGAGCATGGCCAACATGGTATGGGTCGAAGCCATGAGATCAAGTGGACTAGAAAAGGCGCACCTCATCCACATTTTGGTTGGTTTTGGCCGAGGTCTCGAGATAAGACACATTCCACTGCCGCGCCACGTCATGCCAAAATATCAGACAAGCGCACCAGGGCCAAGTTGCATTTCATTTGATATGGATACGTTGCAGAACAATGGCGGATCTGAGCCCCACCACGAGGCGCAAGGAGGAAAGCAAGCAAAGCAAGCACGCGTGTACCTGGCTGGCCTTGGCCTGTGCATCGTCCGCAGAAACCTGACGCTCGCTTGTCATGTCAGCCTTGTTACCCACGAGGATCATGGGCATGCGACGACCCTCATGAACGCGCTCAATCTGCTCACGGAACTCATCCATGTGCTCAAAGGTTGGCGTCTCCGTCAACGAGAACACGCAAAGAAACCCCTGCGCCATGCATTTGCCCAGGGCATGAGACTCGACGACTGCATGCGACATGTCCAATGACGCTAAATCCCTTGCCAATCACCCTCCCCTTTTGCTCATCCAGCTCACCTCGCCACCGCGAAAGTAATTGTCACGGATAGCAGCATAGTCCTCCTGCGCACCAAGATGTAGTAACAGTAACATGAGTTAGAAAACTCGTTCTGGGTACAGAGACATTGGGACTGGAAAGGTGTCACGGTTGATCCTGAAGCAGATGGCATATCGCACCTGGCCAGCCGTGTCGAGGATGTTGACGGCACATTCCTCGCCATCGATGGTAACCTGCTTACGGTAGCTATCCGCCTTGGTGGGCTCGTAATCCTCCACAAACTGCAACCACGAAACGTTCAAGCCCAGAAACAAGTCAGCCTTGGGCGGGAGCCTTGCTTGCTCCTACCTCCCCTTCTCCTTATCGCCCTCCTTTACTGCCGGTCTTTGCCCACACAGTGTCATCGGCCTGGGTCACACGCCCAGAGGAAGGTCAGAGGGTAGGGCAAGGTGGCGCTTACCTCTTGATACATGTACTGGAGCGTGAGGGCAGACTTGCCCACACCGCCATCACCTACAACAATCACCTTGTGCAGCTCTCCCTTGGGTGCCATGTTGATGATGTTGGATTCAAAGTGACAAATGGAACGTTGAAGCGTTCAAGAAAGGCTTCAAGTCAACAGTTTGGGGCTCAAACTTGGGCCTGCCACGACCTGCAAAACCACACGAGGCCAACCGAGGTGAGCTGTGCCCAAGGCTGATGACGCTAACCGAACCGCGCTGTTCTGCGCCCATCTCAAAAGGACATGCCTCTTTTTCGCGTGTCAACGTTCAAGACACTTCAGCAAACACCCCCAAGCGATCTCTCATTGTCTTCCTATGCCTTACCTTCTGACAGATGATCCAAATCGGTCTGGAACGAGGAACAACTCCAAGTCAATCGCGCCACCGAAAAAATAGTTCACAGCAGAAAAAAAAAAATAAAAGGGGGTACTGCTCAAAGCAGTTTAGCGCATACGAAACCTTTCACATCCGCCCCCCTTTGCCACAGCACACTCTCTCACTTGACCCCTTTGTTCCTGTTGCAAATTCAAGAATCGTCACTGCATTCGTATATTTGTATGACATTGTCGAAGTGCTACCAAGTGGTAAGACAATTTCGGCTTGCAAGCGCCGGTCAACCAGGTGGTGAAAAAAACCCCAACACATCATCGATTGGAGATTTGAACCCTCACTTTTCTATATCTCTGCAGCCGGTTTGTGCTTCTCGTCTCGCCCGCCGTGGTCCAGCACCGCCGACCCCGAGAGCTGGTCGTGCGCGCGCTCTTCGGCGCGGCAGCTCTGCCTGTTCTTGCTAGTTGAAGGACCAGGGCAGCTTTGTTTATAATGCCAACAGATTTGGCACCCTGGCTGCCCTGTTGTTGACCATTGCTCCACCACGTGAAGGTTGTATCAAAGATAATGTACTCATTGGTGTGTTGATGGTGCCATGGACGGCTGCTGGTTGTTTTTTGGGCGCAGGCAACATGGTGACGCCTCGCCACAAGATCAAGAAGGCCGACCCCGATAGCCTCGAGGAGTCCGTGGCCACGGCTCTGTACGAGCTGCAGGTCAGCTCCGAGAAGCTGAAGGCTTCCCTCCGCGAGGTGCAGATCTGCGCCGCCAAGGAGGTCGACATCGGTGAGGGCCAGCGTGCCGTCCTGGTGTTCGTGCCCGTCCCCCAGCTGCCCTTGTACAAGAAGATGATCAAGGAGCGCAGCCTGATTGACGAGCTTGAGAAGAAGTTTGCCAACAAGCAGGTCGTCATCATGGCAGAGGTATGATGGCTTTAATTTTGTTTGCGCAAATCGTGCCAGACCATCAACTTGTCACGAGTCACCCGCATTCGAACACAAACCATGCCGTGTTGACTGCCAGCATGGTATTTTTGTTTCGGCACAATGCATCAAGCACATTGTTCCGACGTGAGGGCCTTTTCTTTTTTTCCCTCATTCCTTGCTCTTCCCTGTATGCTTCGTGTGGTGCAGCGCAAGATTGTGCGAAAAGAGTCGCGCAACACCCGCCAGCTGAAGCAGCAGCGTCCCCGCAGGTATGGTTCTTTTGCTCTCAAATTTTCGTGATTTGAGTCATTGCATCGGGTGTTGGAAAACAAGTTGCTCGAGTTTTTGCGGCACTTGTTGAGTCGTTCTCACCCTTGAATTTTTTCCTACTTTAGCCGAACTCTGACGGCCGTGCATGAGGCCATCCTCGATGATCTCGTGTACCCCCACGAGATCACCGGCAAGCGCATCCGCTTCCGCCCCGATGGTTCCCGCCTGCACAAGGTGCACCTGCACAAGGACAGCAACACCTCCCAGGAGCGTCTTGATACCTTCGTCAAGGTCTACAAGACCCTGACTGGCAAGGATGTTGTCTTTGAATTCCGCAACTAAGAATTGACCGGTCGGAGCCTTGTCTCGATCTGCAAAAGATACTTTTTTTTCAGTCTTTTTCCTGTCCCCCTCTCTACCGTCTTCATCGTCAAACTTCCACTTCCAACTTGTACCATGTCTCCCATCAAGTTGGGCTCTGGGTCAGGCTTGTCATCTGAAGCAACATTCTACATGTCTTTTTCACCGTGGTGGGAATACAAACATGCGGATGGTTTTTTTTTTGGGGGGGGGGGGGGGCTTGAACAAACGGATGGTCGAGGAGCGGCGACAGCCATGTGCTAGTGTACTATCATGTGAATTATTATTGGTTGTTGCTGGTTTGAGCGTGGTGATCAGCCGCTGCTCATCTATCTAGGTCACGTCTCGTCACGTTGAACGTTGAGCGGCAGGCATCTGCTGTGTCTTATTGTATTGAGCAGGTGGTTGACTTGTTTAGGTTGGGATCGCTCTCTTTGGAGGCGCGCCGGTTGGGGATAAAGTTGCGACGGATGGTGGCAAAGGCTGCCTGCGTGGTAGGAGCCATGTCCTTGTGTTCGTCGCTAAACTGTTCCGGGTTTTTCAAAGACTAATTTGGCCAATGCACGCAAGGTTGTGAAGCGAGATGGAAGGTTTAGCCAGAGACCCAAGGCACAGGCGCACAAGCCAGGAGGGTTGTGCACATTGATGCAATGGCGTCTAGAGGGATAAAACTCAATCCGTACCTGGCAAACGGTCAGAAACTCCATAAAGTCGACACTGTCGTTGCCATCGAGGTCCATCGTAAGGAGGATAGCTGTAACTTGGCTGACGCTGAAGATGAGTCCCTCCTTGCTGAGCCACTTGTCGAGTTCTGGCGAGTTCGGGCAGAAGAGGCAGAGGTCAAGGAGGTAATCGATTGAGCAACGGGATGCATGAGTTGAAAGACGCCGACTGTGCGTCTGAGAGCTGAGGAACGAGACATGGCGTGGCAAACGTACCGGCCACGTCAATGAGACCATCCGAATTGATATCAGCCTCGGAAAAGCTCTTTTCGGCGCGTAGAACCTCGGAGAGGCGGATGTTGGGAAACGCCTCCAAAATGGCCTCGTACGTGACGGGCTCCATGCCTGCCGCCTCGGTGGTCACCTGGAAAAGTTGCACGAGGAGATTGCACAAGACATGATCAGTGAAGGTGCCCAACCCAACACGTGTGTGGCGACAGCACATCTGCTCTGAGCGCGCACGGGCCGAATGCGGCCAACACGAATGACGGCAACGGGAGAAGGCAAGGCGTACCGCAGAGGATGCGCCGGCTGCGCGAAGGCCCTCGTTGCTGGTGCGAGCACCCCCGCTAAGTTTCTTGCCGCCCTTTTTCTTCTTCTTCTTGGCATGGCCGGTGGGATGTTGTTGCGGATCTCCAAGGCTCTTGGTCAAGGCAGCATTCTCTGCCTCGAGTTGTTGAATGGTGAATTGGCTCACGCGCAGGTCACTCTCTAATTGAGCAACGCGTGACTTGAGCGCCTGCACACTGACATCGGCTTCGTCTGCCATTATGTCACCACTCTCAAGATCTAAAGGACGCGAGCAAATGCAAGGGCCCAAGATCAAGATCTTGGCACTTTGGTCTTGAGCTGGACACCAGCCTTTGCAAGCCGCGGCGGGTTCCGTTGGTGTCGAGCAACGTTCAAAACGGTGGTGGAACCTTTGACGTCAGCTCTGTTTGTTGCCCAAGCACCTGGTCACGTTGGGCAGACAACGCAGCGTCTGGACCACAAGATCGGAGTCTCGCGCCTGGTCGAGTGGATGATAATGCGTGGGAAGGGACACCCGTGCCCAACACCAGGACCGGTGGTGGTGGTGGTGGTGGTGGTGATGATGATGATGGTGCCGTGCTGTGCTCCAAACACGCGACACCAAGTGTCATCCCGGACCCAACATCAGCATGAAAGAGGACACGAGTTGACACGTTCCGGCGTCAGCGGCAAAGGCCACAAAACTTGACTTCTGATCATTCTGTGTGGCTACAACAACAGCAACCGGAGCGACGATAACTCGGCTTTCCTCTGCACAAGCTTTCCACCGTGTGTCTGCAGAACCAGCGTTTAGACCAAGCCATAACTACGATATTATTCCCGTACAATACCAACAACATCCACTTTAGCGTTGTTATCGTTATGGTTGTCAATCAACAGCTGTTCAAGCCATGGAAATACAACAGTTTTTTCCGCGGGTGCTGACAAAACAACTTTTGTGTGTGTGTGTGTGTGTGTGTGTGTGTGTGTGTGTGTGTGTGTGTGTGTGTGTGTGTGTGTGAAATTTTTCATTATTTTTTCATGGTCATTGCGCTGTTGTTGTTCACCCGCTCCGCTCGACGTCCTGTGACTGGGCTGGTCTTGGCAAGGCACCAGGAAGGATCGCAGCATTAGGACCAGTGTCGTTGATTTGGGTAGCTGGGATGGCGGACCTTCCGGTTCCTACCACGGCTCTGCAACGCCTGCAGCTTGAGCGATCCCGTTACTCTTTTGCCGCAGCCGGTATGCCACCTAGGCCCGATATCCGAAATCCGTGACAGGGCCCTGAGCACCTCTCATTTGTAGCTCATGCGCCGCTTTCATCTCCTGCCCCCTCGTCCTCGCAACGTAGACCCTCCGCCTAGCTTTGTGCAACGCTACACCTCGGCTGACGTGCTATCGCGTACGATCGACATTTTCCATCGCCTCCGCAAGCGCAACGCAGCGCGTCGCCCCCATTTCTGCGTCCTGCTAACCTTCATTTGCTGCTTGTCCCCCGTTTGATCTGCACTCAGATCGACTCTACGCTCAAGGTCTTGCTTCTGACGTGGGCCCAGGCTCTCACAGCTCGCTGGTGAGCCCACCGCCATGCAGGCCCCGCTGCTGCCGCTCTTTGCCTCTGCCTCATCGTCTCTTGTCCCGTTGTCGTCGGGCGGCAGGGCATGTCTCGCCGCGTGGAGTTGCCACCCTACAACCCGCTCAATGATCCGGCCTTGGCTAATTACTTTGCCCGTAAATTCGAGTGGAACAGCACTCGCTCCGTCGGGGCGGGCTCTGGTAGTCGGCGCAGCGCAAGTGCTTCACTCACTCGTACCCGACAGCCTGTGCGCGGTGCCTCGGCCCATGGCCACACCAAGTCCCGCACCAAATCCAGCCACCGCAAAGGCCACGCCTCACTCGAAATCTTCACCTCCAAGCGCTCCAACCCCGTCAGCAAAAGTGAAAAGTATATCACTGTTGTTGGCACCAAGGGTCGCTCGGATGCCATTCAACTCGCCGCCCCAGGCGTTCATTTTCGAGCCGGCAACAAAGACGTCTTTCAAGTCAACTTGACTGGGATCGGCAAGCCCACCAAGGTAAGCCATCCGGCATCCGCACTTGTCATATCTCTGCCGTCCGCTTCCCTCACCGTTGCGTCTGGGCGTATGTCTCCTTGTGTCTCCGCCAAGGTGATTTTGGAGAACACGGGAACCAAGCGTACCGATGGCTGGTGTGTCAGCAAGGTCGTCCTTGTCAAGAAAACTGACAAGGGCACCCGCCGCTATCGCTTTTCCGGCCCCGTCTGGCTCAGGTATGCGCGCGCGCCTAGGCTGGCCCCTGCCACTGCCTACTTTTGTTGCATGTTGTTGGGTGTGTCATGTCCAGCTGACTATCACGGCCTGTTCACCCCAGCAAACACCACGATGAAATGAAGCTCAAGCGTGTTTTGCACATTGATGACGAAGACATTGGCTCAGGCAATGGTCAGCACGCCTGTCATGTCTACCTTGGTTCTCACCCTTCCACCAGCACCACTTGAACCACTCACCCTCCTTTGTCTGCCCTGCCAAACCGCTACAACCTTGACATAGGATACCGCATCGATTGCTACACTGGCGATGTGGCCAACGCCGGCACTGATGCAGTCGCCACCATTCAGCTCTTTGGGAGCAAGGGGCAATCACCCATGGTGGAGCTTCGCCGCTCTGACGGCCAAGCATTTCAACGCGCGCGCGTCGCCACTTTCACTCTGGACGTAAGGCTTGGTCTCTTCCCGTCTTCTCAACACTTGTGTACACCTACGCCATCTCCCCGTCTTCACCTGGCCCCAGACAAAGGCGTCATGCCTCATTCCCTCCACATGTGTTGCAGGACCTTGCCAATCTGGGCAAGCTAAAAAAGCTTGTCATCAGCCACAATGGCCACGGCATGGCCAGCGGCTGGTTTTTGGACAAGGTATCAATGCTCGCCCCTACCGCCTAGCTTATTCTGTTGGGGCGTGCAGCAGTTTGCACCTGCCATGGTGCAGATCGGGTCAAGTCGAACACGTCACAAAGCTTGGTTTGACTTTGCCCGGACACCCTTGTGTTTCAGATCATCGTGACATCTCTCTCCAGCAACAAAGCGACTGTTTTCCCCTGCGACGCTTGGCTGGACCGCAAAAATGGCCGCTCCAAGTACGTAATCGAGGGGTTGACAAAAATTACGACGAGACAGCCTAGAAGAACATGGGCTTTTCTGTGTCCTTGGCAACTTGAACCTTCTTCTCCTTCTCATCTTCATTCGCTCTGCCCGGCATGCATAACTGTTGTCCAGGGAGCTTGTGGCCCGTACTGCAGCAGCTGGCGCTGAAGGCATGACCACCTTCACCATTCGCGTCATGACTGGTGACCGCCGTGGTGCTGGCACGGTGCGTTGTCCTCTGGTCAATTTTGAGTATGAGCTCAGATACCATCTTGAACTGTGCTGCATACTCAAGCCCTCTAACTCTATTGGCCTCGTTTGCAGGACGCGAATGTTCAATGCACTCTTTTCGGCGAAGATGGCGAAAGTGGTGCGTATTTCTTTTAATTTTTTTCTCGCCCCCAATCATCTCGACTTTGACAGCCCTTGATGCCATTCCATGGGTTTTGTTCATTCTGACTCTGCTTTGCCTCGCATTCAATTCGTCACTCTGATCGTCCATGTGGAATTTGTATGGTAACGTGTGCTAGGCCCGCATACCTTGAACACATCACGCAATGACTTCCGTCGCGGCCACACGGACGTCTTTGCCGTTTCTTCACGCAAGATTGGCACCCTCAAGCGCCTGCGCATTTGGCACGACAACGGCGGAGCCGGCCCGGGTAAGTGGTCCCCAGCTGACATACTCGTGTCCATGACCAACTCATCATGCGCGCATGTCTACACAGCTTGGTTTCTGGATGCTGTGGAGGTGGTGGATGAGGCTTCGGGCCAAACCTACCGCTTTGAATGCAACCGCTGGTTGGCCAAGGACGAGGACGACGGCCAAATCTCGCGTGAGCTGACCTGCAATGGCGACTCGAGCTGGGGCCTCAAATCCTACAAACTCACAATTTTTACAGGGGACAAGCGCAATGCCGGCACTAGCGCAAACGTCTTTTGCAAGCTCGTGGGTGAAAGGGGGGCTTCTGACAACGTAATCCTTGAAAACTCGAGCAAAAACTTTCAGCGTGATCGCACCGACATCTTTACTGTGGAGGCTTCGGATTTGGGCTCACTTCGCCACATTGTGCTTGGCCATGATAACCATGGCATGGTGAGTCATTACCTTTCCCTCAAACACACATACACACCGCACTGTCGATGATGCATCACCTAATTCACGTTGTGTCTGCTTCGCGCTCTTCCTTGGCGCGCAGGGTGCCGGTTGGTACGTCGAACGCTTCTCCTTGGAAGTGCCCAGTGAAGGCAAGCTGTACAACGTCGACGTCAAGCAATGGTGCGTAGTGCATGCCATACCCAGCTGTGCTAGTGTGAATTGACAGCGCCACGAACCTCTCCTGCACGCACTGATTCTTGCGCGTGCTTCAGGTTTGCTACCGACATGTCCGATGGTGCAATTGAGCGTACCTTTCGACTGGACAACGCAGAAACACTGGATATTGCCCAGCGCCTCGACTGGAAGTGCACGATCTACACGAGCGACGTGGCCAATGCGGGCACAGACGCCAACGTGTTCATGCAGGTCGGCCCGTGACGCTCACGTTTGCAGGCCTTGCTGTTCAATGGGCTTGGCGCCTCGCGTACTCAACGTGCTTGACGTGTCAGGTCTATGGCAAGAAGGGCAAGACTGATGTTGTGCCTCTGAAGAACAAATCAGACACTTTTGAGCGCGGTACGCTGCCCGTTCCTTCACGGGTTTTCTGTGTTGCTCTTCTTTTTTCCTCTTCCTTTTTTTGTCTTTTGGCTGCCGCAAGCTTGTCCGATTCATCATTTATGCTGCCCTGTTCCTTTGTATGTGCGCGTGTTGGTCGATGACGTGCGTAGGTCAAACGGACGAGCTGCGTGTTCAACTAATCAATGTCGGGTCGCTGCGCAAGCTGCGCGTGTGGCATGACAACAAAGGCATGGCTTCTGGTTGGCACCTTGATCGCATCGTCCTCTCACGCGACGGCGAAGAGTACGTTGTATGCCGATGCATGATGCATACACGGCGTTCTCCTGTTGCTCCTTGTTCTCCTTTGCGCCATTTTCAAACCTTTGTGATCCCCTTCTCGGTTCTCATGACTTGGCATGGATGGGTGCTCCGTAGATACATTTTCCCGTGTGCGGAATGGTTGGCTGTGAGCGAAGGTGACAAGGAAATTGTCCGCGAGCTACCAGCCACGGGACCCAACGTCAAGAAGCCGCTGCAACTTGTCGAGTACACTGTCCGAGTTGCAACAGGCCATGCTCGCTTCGCCGGCACCAACGCCGACGTGTTTGTCATGCTCACTGGCGAATTGGGAGACAGCGGCAAGCGTGCTTTGTTGCGCTCGCAAACAAACCGGTGCGCCTGGCGCATCATGTATATTGAGCATTGGCGGTGCTATCTTGATGTTCTCGTTGGCTGAGCTCATTTCCCTTTGGTTTTCTGTCTTGATCTTCCCCTCCTGAATTTTTAGCAACAAGTTTGAACGAGGCAAAGAGGATGTCTTTACGGTTGCTGCCGTAGATCTAGGCAAACTTACTTCAGTAACTGTGGGCCACAACAATGCTGGCACGAGCGCTGGGTGGTTTCTTGACAAGATTGTCGTGCTTGATCCTCGACGTGGTAGGTTTTGCCTGGCACTATTGCTTTGTTGGTCTGCGTTGTCGTGTTGGTCTATCGAAAGTGCGCCAGAATTCATTTTTTGCCTCGTTTGCCTGCTTTTAGGCGAAGAAGAGGAATTTCCGTGCCATCGCTGGCTCGCCGTGGATGCCGATGACGGACAGATTGAGCGGGAGTTGGTTCCCAAGATGGCCGAGCATCAGGCGGCCGCCACCACCACCTACATCGTCAAGATCAAGACCGGCGACGTGCGCCACGCTGGCACGGACGCAAATGTGAGTTTGAGACATGCGCGTAAATGGCACCCGAATAGAGGCCCTCGAGCTACGTTGCTGCTCAAAGATTTCATGCACTGATATCATGCTCGGATGGGGAACGCATCCATCCTTCAGGTTTTTGTGCAGCTCTTCGGCAAGACCGGAGAATCAACGCAACTGAAGCTGCGCAACTCGGAAACATACAGCGACGCTTTCGAACGTAACAAAATGGACATCTTCAAGTTTGAGTTGTTGGACCTCGGAGATTTGTCTCGCATCCTTGTTGGCCATGACAACAAGGGCATGGGTGCAGCCTGGTTTCTTGACTACGTTGAAGTGGAGGTGCCTTCCATTCGCACGCGATGGAAGTTTCCCTGCTCACGCTGGTTCTCCAAGTCGCAAGACGATGGCCTCACCGAGCGTGAGATCTATGCGGAGAAAGAGGCTGGCGAGCCTATGGAAGAAGATGTATCAGCCCCATATCTCTTTCGCTTCTACACCAGTGACGTGGCTTTTGCCGGCACCGATGCCAACGTACGCAGCCGCCCAGGCTCTTGGCCCGCGACGCAACCCGCATCTTCATGCCTTGAGGCACTCACCACACATGCTCCCTCGCCCAGGTGTCCGTCGTACTCTATGGTGATGAAGGCAAGACGGAGGAGCTGGTTGTCAACAATCAAAGCGACAACTTTGAGCGGGGCAAAGCGGTGCGGCGTTGACGTCTTTCCATCAATCATCCCCTTTTCACATTGGCCTGTGAGGCCTGTTGCCACTCATACAAGTGTGTGACTTTTAGGATGACTTTAAGCTGGCCTGTAAGCCCGTGGGACGACCCAGCAAGATTCGCCTGTCTGCTCATGGTGGTGGTATGAGCGCCGATTGGCACCTAGAAAAGGTATGCACCATTTTCTTTTTTTTTTTTTTTTTTTTTTTTTTTTTTTTTTTTTTTTTTTTTTTTTTTTTTTTTGCTTTTTTCTTTTTTTCTTGTTCTTCTTGTTCTTCTTGATCTTCTTGTTCTTTTGATTTTTTTTTTCCTATTTTCTATGTGCCATTGCGGTATCGGTTGATTGATCGGGGTTCTCTGGACTTTTTAGATTGAGGTTCATGAGCTGGGCCAAGCGCGCATCTACACATTCGAGCACAATGATTGGTTGCGCAAAGGCACCAAAGCCAAGCCTTTTATGGTTGAGTTGCCCCTGCGCCGGATTGAAACGGTGGACGATAATGGCCGCGAAGTGGTCGAGGAATTGGCACTTGACGCCAACAAGCGCACGTACCGCGTCAAGGTTCACACCGGGGACCAAAAAGGCGCTGGCACAGATGCCAATGGTGAGTGCACGGCTTGAGTTGCATGCTGTACTCCCTAGGCGCGGCAACGTCTGTTGCTGTGGCCATGACTGTGGTTGTATGTTTAGCACAGTTTTCTTTCCTTGGTCGTCATCCAGTGCCTTGTGCTCACGATGTTTCATGCCGATAGTGTATGTCAACCTTCACGGCAGCCTCGGAGACTCGGGTGATCGCCACCTCAAGAACAGCTTGACGCACACGTGCGCACCTCGTGGGCCTGCCCTTGCTACTCTGTCGCTCATGACAGCCACCTCATGTCGTAAACTTTGCCTGATCGCCTTGATTCACAGCAACAAGTTTCAGCGCAAGACCGTTGATGAGTTTGACATTGATGCCGTCACACTTGGCGACATCAACAAGGTCAAGGTTTGGCACGACAATGCGGTATGTTTTCATCGACACGCCTTCACGGTTGTGGTCAGCTGTTGGCAAATCTTCTCATGCTGTACGATAAAATTGTGTAGGGTTTGGGTGCAGCCTGGTACCTTGAAAAAATCGAGGTGGTGGATACGGCAGACGACAAGACCTACATTTTCCCTTGCGCACAATGGTTTGCCAAGAGCATGGGCGATGGTCAAATTGCGCGCGAACTCGGCGTCTTGGAGGAGCAGGTACGGATCCGACTTGTTTACGAACAATACGATTTGAGGCTTGCGGCGGCGTGTGCTGGCTGATTGCTCACGAACACTTTGCGCCCGTCTTGTTTTGGTTTCCCCCTCCTCCTCTGGGCCTTGAATCGCGTGACTGGATGACAGAAGCCCGCCGACTTTCAGACCAAGAACGTTGGCTTTAAGTATCGCATCAGCGTCCACACATCCGATGTCAAGCATGCTGGCACCGATGCCAACGTTGACATTGTGCTGTACGGCGAGAAGGGCGATACGGGCAAGATCCGGCTCGCCAAAAGCGAGACGCACCGGGACATGTGGTAGGCAACTTCTTTCAAACCCGCTCTGATGCGGACTGTCTGGTTCTGTTGCCACGTTCACGCGGACCTGCGCTGTTGCCTCTTGTGTTAGGGAGCGTGGAAATTGTGATGTTTTTACTGTCTCCGCCATAGAGCTGGGCGACCTGAAGCGCGTAGATATCATGCACGACGGCAAAGGCGTGGGCAGCGGCTGGCACTTGAACAAAGTCGTCGTTGATGCCCCACAAGCTGGCAAAACATGGACATTCATGTGCGACGCTTGGCTTGACAAAGCCACAGATGACGGCACTATGGCCAAGACCCTATACGCGTCGGCTGATGCTATCGAGGAGTACAGCGCCCATGTGCCTTACGAAATCATCATCAAAACATCGGACGTGCGCAATGCAGGCACGGATGCCAACGTCTTCATTGACCTCTATGGGCGGGATCAAGAGGAGCGTGACTTGACAGCACACCACGAGTTCAAGGACGCCGTCAAGGCGCATTTTGAACGCAACCTGGAAGATCGCTTCAACGTGGAACTGCCCGATGTGGGCTCTATTTACAAGATCCGCCTGGGCCACGATGGCAAGGGCATGTCCTCGTCATGGCACGTGGCCAGCGTGGTCGTGATCAATCAGCGTACGCACGAGCGCTTCGAGTTTCCCTGCGATGCTTGGCTCAGCAAAGACAAGGACGATAAGAAGCTGGTGCGCGAATTTGCTGTTGGAGAGGTCAAAGCCTTGGAGGGCGACAAAGTTGTGCGTCGCGAGAGTATCCTCTCCCTGCAAGAAGCCATTTATAAGATTCATGTATTCACCGGGGATATCAAGCATGCTGGCACAGACGCCAACATCTATGTGCAGATCTTTGGTGATACGGGTGACTCGGGCGAGATCAAGCTGGAAAAATCGGAAACCTATCGCGACAAGTTTGAACGCGGACATGAGGACATCTTCACCCACCGCTGTCTGGACCTTGGCCCCTTGCGTAAGATCAAGGTTCGCAGTGATGGCAAGGGCTTGATGGGAGGCGACTGGTACCTGGATCGCGTTGAGGTGCATCAGGAGAATGACCTCAGTGAGCCACCAGTGCGCTTCGTGTGTCAAGACTGGTTCAAGCGCGGAAAGCAGGAGGGTGACACGTTGGAGCGTGAAATTACTGCCCAAGTGGATGCAGCTGTGGCCATGAAGGAAGCCACGGCGCTGGAGGACGAGGCCGCACGCTTACAGCGCAAGGCTACCACACTTTCCCGCAAGTCAACCAAGGGCAGCCCCCTCCGAAAGGGCACCGGCACCACGGAAACCAATGCGGAACTGGAAGAGGCCCAGCGCCAAGCCAATATTGCCCGCCGCAAAGCGGACGAAGCCAAGGAGCGTGCGGGCCTGGCGGGCGCGGATGACACGCAACTTGAATACAAGGTCACGGTGTACACGGGCACGGATACTCAGGCGGGCACAACGGCCAACGTTTGGTTGCAGCTCTTTGGCGAGAAAGATGCGCCATTGACGCCAGCGCCGCCGAGCCCGAGCAAGCTGAGCCGTAGCGGCTCGCTGTTTGGACGCCGCCGCCGCGCAAGCTCAGACGCTCAGTCTGTGAGCAGCAGCCTCAGCGCTGGTGCCTCAGGCCCGCGTGAGACAAGTACTGGCCGTCTGCAACTCAACAACGCCCCTGCAGATCTGCAGAGTGGTGCCAAGACCACGTTCACAGTCACTGGCCTTGACGTGGGCGAGCTGGTTGGCCTAGAGATTGGTCACGATGACGAGCGCGACAAGTGGTATCTGGAGCAAGTAGTTGTCGAAGTACCCAAGTCTGCGACGCATGCAGCGCGCAGATACGAGTTCAAGGCCGGAGTCTGGCTGGCTGCTCGAGCGGACGGTTCCACCAGTGGCTCCGCCAAGGGCAAGAGCAAAGCAAGTGTACGCTTGCAACCTTCGGAGATCCATGCAGGCAGCGAGCGCATCCTCGAGTACACGCTCAAGGTGTACACCGCCAGTGCAGATGGGGCTGGGTGCACGGCAGTTCCCCAAGTGCAGCTGTTTGGTGACAAACACACGACTGAGGCCCTGCCCCTGCGGGCCGGTGGTGACATCTTGCCGGCCAGCGTTGTGGAAACGCAGCATCGCGTCCCGGACCTGGGAGCGCTGCTCAAGGTACGGCTAATGGTGCCGCGTGGCAGCAGTTGGACGGTTGAGAAGGTTGAATTTGGCCGAGCAGGTCAGACGCCAATTACGTTTGTTGGATCTGACGGATCAGCGGTCACGCTGGGCGCCGAGCGCCTGAGCTTTGACTTCTTGCCGGCAGCCGCCCCTGCGTCGTCGGGCGGTAAGGGGAAGCGCCGTGGTAGCACAACAAGCTCCGTGGCTGTCGCGCAGCAAACCTCCTACCGGGTCTACGTGACGACAGCTGATGAGCGCGGGACAGGAACAGATGCCAACGTGAGCATCATCTTGTACGGCGCCATGGGCGACTCGGGCGAGCACAGCCTGACCAAGAGTGAAACCTTCGACGACCCCTTTGAACGAGGCAACACCGATGTATTCACTCTCGAGGTTCCGGACCTGGGCGAGCTGCAGCGAGCGCGGATCTGGCATGATGGCAAGGGCATGTTCAGCAGCTGGAAGCTGGACAAGATAGTGGTAGTGGTTGAGGCCACACAGAGTCGCTACGAGCTGCCCTGCGGCCAGTGGTTGAGCAAGAACAAGGGCGACAAGCAACTGACGCGAGACTTGGCGGTGGCCAGCAAGCGCGTCAACGCGCTCACGGGCACATACAAGCTCGAAGTAGCCACCGATAGCCGGGCTGGCGGCGGCTGTAAAGGGCCTGTTCGAATCATGCTGTTGGATGCGGAAAAGAATCAGTTGCCCCTAACTTTGGAGCCACCAGGCGGTGAGTTTGCTCCAGGCAGTGTCGAACATCTGGTCTTTGACAACGTCATGCTGCTCGGCCCTTTGACCGAGTTGCGTATTCGCCGCAAGCCAAGTGGTGCCTCGAGCCGCCGGGGTGCCGAGGATGACGATGAGGATGACAACGAGGCTAGTGGAGCAAGCTCGCAATCTGGCAGTGCCGTGTCACCATGGCATTTGGAGCACATCATCGTCAAGCATTTGCAAAGCGGCCAGAGCTTCGTTTTCAAGGGACCAAGCAAAGGCCTGTCACGAAGCCGTGCCAAGCTATCGGTGCACACCGAGGCGACGACGGAGGAAGCGGTGGCTCAGGCTACCAAGGCCTCCGTAGCTCAGTACGAGGTGGCCGTGACGACGGGTACTGAGCGCGGTGCAGGCACGGATAGCAGTACGTTTTGCAAACCCACCCATGCCGCAGCAGGCGGCGTTGTTGACAGCGTTGAGTCATTAGTCGTGGTCAATTATTCTCACTTTGTGGGCCTGGGCTTGTAGATGTGTTTGTGACGCTCTTTGGGAAGAACGGCGACAGTGGGGAGCGTGCACTCGCCAAGTCGAAAACATTTCGCAACATGTTTGAATCGGGCAACACGGATGTTTTTGACGTATGTCTGGCTCGAATGCGAGCGCTCAGAACGAAGGGGCAGCGGTCTCAAGCATTAGCAGCTGAATCCTTGTGTGGTGGTGACTGTGATACTGGCAATGGAACTCACCTTCTGGTTGTTCGGTGTGTTCTTCTTACCCACAGGTTGAATGCCAGGACTTGGGTGAATTGACCAAGATTGAGGTGAAGGTGAGTCAGGACTTCCACTTATCTGCGCTCTTGGCTTGCCCGACTCCCACAACAGCTCACGCAGCCCCCCCCCCCTTTTTTTTTGTGCTTCCAGAGTGATCTCAAGGGTTTTGGCGCTGCTTGGCAGTTGGACAAGATCAAGGTGACACGGACAGGCAGCCAAAACAGCTGGCAGTTCAAGTGTGACCAGTGGTTTGACAAGAAGCAAGGGGCCGAGCACACATTTTCTGTGGCGTCTTGATCTTGATTGTATTTAGTGTAGCTGGGTCGTGTAGAGTGCCATCCAATGCCTCATGGATGCGTGTAGGGCATGATTGTGCGCAATAATGCCGCGTGCACATGGCCGTGACTAGTGCTTGGTCAACTGTGCGGGCCGTGCCGTTCATGTACATATGATTATGACATAATTATGCTAGCAATATGTGCACTGCTGCTTCAACGTGTGCGTTTGATTTTCAATCAATTGAGAACAAACGAAAATTGCTTGAAGAGGCAAGAAAAGACGACTGCGTTTGGAAGGTGCAGATTGGCGAGGCGGGAGACGCATGGGTGTTGCTGCAACCGCAAAGCAGGTGCTTGGCTAAGTAAGGCGCAGCCTTAACAACCCAATGCCGCGGAGGGCGCTCTCATGCACGCGTTGCCCATGCCCAAGACCGCCGAGACGCCATTGCTGTACGCACAGAGTATCACCACCAGGATGATAACAAACTGGCGGCGGAGCGCTGGGCTAAAAGCTTGGCCTCGATGTTGCGAAGAGGTTCCCGTGGCATGCGAGGATCCAGAGCAATGGCGGATTTGTAGTAGTGGCGAGCGTCTTCCAGGTGACCGAGCTTATCACAAATCAGTGCAAGGTTCATGGCAGTGCTGGCGTCCTGGGGCATGAGCTGAAGCGCCTTCTTCAAATGAGTGCGGGCCTTGTCTGCTTGGCCTAGCTCAGCATAGAGGCAACCCAGGTTGTTGTGGGCTTCTGCCTGCGAAATGGGAAGTTTGGTGGGGTGAGGGCAGGATACCGGGGGGCGGGGCTCATTCAAACATGAAAGGTTGGAGCAAGCGTGGCGCAGGGAAGCCAGTTGAACAAACACTGCTGGGGTTGCGCTCGATGCTCTCAATAAGCAACGCCTTGGCATCTTGCAGGTTGCGCTTCATCAAGTTGACCACGGCGGCATTGTAAACCAGACTAGCGAGGTTCAAGACGGACCGAAGTAAGACAAGGCTCGGACGCCCCACCACGCTTTGTGATTTAAAAAGTTGGGGTCGGGTTTGCATTGTTGAATTGTTCGTGCATACGCTGTGACGTACTCGGAGCGGCGTTCAATCGCCATGGCTTCATTGTAGGCCATGATGGCCTCATCAAACTGATTGCCTAGGGGCGAGCGAGTCTGAGTGGTGGGGCGCGGTGGAGAGAGAGGATAATTCAGAGCACAAGAAGCTGACGGATTGTAGGGATGGTTCAACGTACTGGTGACGAAATGCTCTGCCCGCTCGGCCAGGGATTCGAGTTTTGCCTCCTGTTCGGTACTGAGGCTCAAGCAGGCACCTGAGGATCATATTGAAAGACGCATGAGGTAGGGAGCGGCAAGACAAAACGTTGGCCAAACACCTGTTCAACCAATATGTGTGACAAGACTTGACGTACGCTGAGATAGTGCCACTGACACCTTGGCCTGCTGTGCAAGACGGGAAAACCAGGAGGAACCCAAGGCCCGTCGAGCCACCGTGGCTCGACGGGTCAAAGTCCCCGCTGCTGCTGCTGCTGCTGCCATGCGCATCGCCATTTCGCTGACCGAAGGAGGGGCTAAGCGATAGTGTGAAAAGCGTGGCACTTTAGCAACCTGTCTAAATTTGATGTTTACTCTCTAAATTAATAAAGTGCCGCCGTTCAAGAATGTTTACATGTTTACGTGATTAACCAGTCTTTTGCAGAAGTATTAACCATCACTGTGATATTTCCAGACGCAAATCACCAGGTTTGTGTAGAAGTAGCCATTGCGTCAAGCGTATGTCACGATGCAATTTCCTTTCCTTGTTATGTTTCGATTCTCTTCTTCTTCTGCTGCTTCTTCAACTTACCTCCTGCTTTTGTTTGTGTTGTTGCTGTCATTGCTCTTTTTCCTCCACACACACACACACACACACAAAAACGAGGGAAAAAAGAGCTCCTGGGTGGTGGTGCTGCTGCTGCTGCTGCTGTTGCGGTGCGGCGTTCTGGAATCCGTTGCACCGACTACTTGAAGGGCCGTGCTTGGAAAGTCTTCTTGGTGGTTGGGTGTGAGGAGAGCCATTGAATCAAATCAAGAGCATGGCGTTTCGGACGGCTGCGGCCCTGCGATTGTGTCGCTCACGGCACCTGGCCGTCGCAGTGACCTCACGCACGCCCCTGATGGTGACCCTGCGGTCACTGAGCAGTGTGTACAGCGCCACCAAAGCCATCACTGTCCCTTGGTACGGCCTTTCTCATGCGTGGCCCGACCCGGCATGGCCGAAATGACCGTCGCACCCACTGAGCGGCCCCTCTGACTCACATCCCTGACACGTATGCGCGTCCGCCTTGCGCTCCAAAAGGTCTGAATCGGCGGAAGAACAACTGGCTGCCTACAGTAAATACAAGATCAATCGCCTCTCACTCCAGGCCCTGCTCGACTTTGGCAAACGTCGTGACTCGAGTGAAGCCCTCATGCAGTCTTGCAACTTTATCCACACCGAGTATGTTTGACATTGCACCAACACAGGGCGTGTCTGACCTGCTTCAATCATCTCGTGCCCAGCTCTTTACCCTGCCTGATCTTGGAAGTGCTTTGCCCAGGCTTCTCCTTTATCTCACTGATTTCTTTGATTGATGCTTTCAGGTGCCCAATCCGCTTGGCGCACATGATCAAGGTAAGAATCAGATCGCCATCATCAATGATCGCACGTGTCGCCAGCTGCCATGGCTCGACACCACCAAGCACAGTCGTTTCTTCTGTACGCGAGTAGCTATCACGCCGTCTTTCGCCACTTGCCTCTCACCATGATGTCTTGGTTTTTGGCTTTGCCTTTTTGGCTGTTACACTTCGTCGTCAATTCGCTCATCTGAACAGGAGATGCGAACGCTACCGGACGTCGTATTGTCACAGCCCCTCATCAATCGAGTCTACAACTGGTAGGAGGCCGATGTCAGCCAGTGCCTTTGCACCCCCTTTGTCATCCCGCCCCATTTCCTCACATGTCTCACCTGTACTTTCACAACTGCACTGTCGACAGGTATCTACTGAGCTTTAAGGAGCTCATTGATTACATGCCGGTTGGAGCAGATGCCACGCCTCAAGATGCGGATGCCTACTGTCAAGGTTTTACCGAACTTCTGGAGCGCACCTTGCTGCGACACCGCGCGACTGTCATCACCTTTGCTTTGGTACGATTGTGGCACATCGTGTGACACGACTCCCTCTTCCTTACCGCCCGATCTTACGGCCGGTCTGGCGCGGATCTTTGATGTTGTTTGGCTCGCCAGGGTCTGCGCCAATTGCATAACAAGGGATTGCTTGTTGGACGCGAAGAGTACATCACCGAGTACGTGTCCCGACCCACGGCTCACGCGCAAAAGTACATACGATGCATCGGACCATGTCATGGTGATGTACACCCTCATCCCTGTGCTACGCTGTGTCCTGCGGGCCCGAAATACAGATATCTGAACCGCTTCCTGATGGCCCGCATCGGCAGTAAGTTTGATCACCCGGCCATGACCCATGTATATTGGCTTGTGCCCTGCACGTGTTCACAACCACTCACTCTGGCCCTCAGTCCGCTTCGTCTTCAATCAGCATCTGGCACTTTTCTCCCATCGCCATCAACCCCGCGACCCCCGCGACGACACAACCGAGAAAGTAGAGCTGGGCAGCCGCTGGATTGGCTCCATCGGTACGCCCAACGAAACACCCCTTAACAGGCTGTCTTTGCGCGAGTGATCGTTGCTTTTTGCTCCACGCTGTTCGTGATCACATGGCGCTTCTCCTCGCTCAGATCCCGCCGTCCGCGTTGATGACATTGCCACCGATGCCTGCCTCAATGCCCAACAAATGTGTTATGACGTACGTACCTCCTGCCCGGACCCTGCCTTTACCTTTGAGCACCTTCTTTGCCCCCCAGCTTGTTTGCGCTTGTTCGTTTGTTGGTTGCGGGGGGGGCGGGGGGGAGGTCTTTTTTTTGGTGCCAGATTGACACCGTGGATGAGCATTTCGCTTTCTTTTCTCACATCAAATCCATGCGCCTGGGCAAATGCGACTATCCTTCTTAGTTGTACGGCGATGCACCCAAGTTTGAGATTATTCAGCCCCGTGAAGAGCACAACGATCTTTCGTTCGCATACGTGCCCAGCCATCTGTACCACATTCTCTTTGAGGTGTGCAACGCCCATGCTGCTGCCGCAGCTTGCCTTGAACATGATTTTCACATTTTATCCGCATGTGTGCTTCCTCAGCTGCTCAAAAACTCAATGCGCGCCACCGCTGAACAACACGATAACAGTCCCACTCTACCCCCGGTTGGTTCCATGTGCCACGCCTGGCATGCGCTGGAGACGATAGGTGCCAACCACTGAGCGGCAGGGCGCCCTCACCATGTGGGATGTTTCCGATTCACCCATGCCACGTTGTTGCTCGCGCTCCCCTTCACTGTCCGATTGGTCTTGGCTGTGATAGGTTCGCATCATCATTGTCAAGGGTGATAGCGACTTGACCGTCAAGGTTGGTCTATCCTTGTCTGCCAAACCCATACCACTGCTTGTGCTAAATCTCAGCACGTTTGGTCGCTCAAACAAAGCTTATTATCAATCTCGACCGAATAGATCAGCGATGAGGGTGGCGGTATTGCCCATGCCGATGTACCCAAACTCTTTACTTACTTTTACTCGACTGCGCCTCAACCAGTCATGTTCGATGACGAGGTGCGAATGCAAAGACATCTTTCTTTCCTCTCACAACAAAGACACCTGTTCGTATTCGATCAACCTCACATTTGTTGTGTCCAACATCATCATGCTTGCATCCACCATTAGGAGGGGTTGACGGACATGGATCGTGCCCCCATGGCGGGCTTTGGTTATGGCTTGCCTGTCGCCCGGCTCTACTCGCGCTACTTTGGCGGTGACCTCAATCTGATGACTGTTCAGGTAAGATAACACACGCTTCGAAAACTCAGACTGGGTTTTTCCGACTGAATTATCGCGCACGCCAAGCGTGTGTACACTCTTGGATTAACTCATACAAATTGCACTTCTAGGGTTACGGCACAGACTGCTTCGTCCATCTTAAATCAGCAGCTGCGGACGCTACCGAAGTGTTGCCTTCGTACAACCCGCTCGAGATCAAGTGAGTTTGAGCTTGCTCTTTTTTGCCACTTACCCGTACATTCTAGGGCTCGCACGATTGGCGCTGATCTGCCACCTCACCGTCTGCGGGTGTCGCCTGATCTTCGGCGCAGACGGTACAAGAATTCGGGCCACGATTGGCTTCGAGCATAGATGCCTCGCTGGGCGATGGCGACGTAAGAGCTTGGGATGCCGTGACAGATTCTTTGGACCCATTTGTTGTTGTGTCTGTGTGGGTCGATGCAACAGGACCCAGCTCGGTGGCGGCAGCGTGGAGCTGCTCGCGCACGCGCTGCAGCTCGACCTGCAATTGTTGTTGCTCGTGTTGAGCTCGCACGAGTTGAAAGAGATTATCTGCATTTGTCTTCCGCAAGGCCAGAATATCCTCACGCAACTCAACCACTCGACCTTGCTCAGCCAGGGCCCGTGCCATTGCCGTTTGGTAGCCTGCGCCAATATCCAGTAACTTCATGGTTTCTGCAGACCAGGGCACTGACGGGGCCACGGCTTGCAGGTGGAGGTTGTCAACCGTGTCCGCTGCACGTCGTGGCAGTGCCGAAGATTGTGCTTCAGAGCCCTTGGGCAGTGGATCCAAAGTAGCGCCATCACGCGGGCCGTTGCCCTTTGCCGTCATTGGCGGGGTCTGTATGGCACTCGAGCCACAGGCTGTGCGCAATGGGCTGACGCCCAGTGCAGTACTCTCCACGTGGCGGGGTGCGTGGGCAGTGCCACTGCCCCGAGGCGGTAACGAGCTATGGGCAAGGCACACGTAGACAAGCGCTTGGGTCAAACAGTTGCAGCCACGAAAGCATCTCACCAAGATTTTGAGAGCAAACAATGTGCGCGAGCAGACACGACCTACAATGCCATGCCCCCTGTCCAACGATCGTCGTAGCGATCAAGACTGAACTCGTTCTAGCCCAGCACTCCAAAAGAAAATGCAGAGAGCGACGGAATTTTTACCAACAAACACTGATTTTGTGATTTTGTCGACAAATTGGGTTGTTGAAAAGGGCGGGAAATTCCTACCAGCTTTAGCTTATTAAGCCCAAGCTTTCTTCGTGGCTTAGCTGAATGGAGCCAGCACAAAGCCTTATCAAATGCTGCCCTGGCATTGACACGATACATCGAGCATGAGCAGAGCCTTGTAGTCTTCCACGAGATAATTGATCACGTATCAAGAAATGGATATCAGTTACTACGGCAATGTTGGATGTTGATCAAACCGGGGCGCTGTAGGATTCGTATCGGAAAGCGGCGCAATTCATCAACCAGGTAGTACTTTGGACGTCATTAAGCAAAGTTCAAACTCATTTTCAGCGGTCATCATGGATTACCACAAAAAAAGGATGATTATTATAAGGAAAAGTGTTATGATGTGACACCATACTTGAAGCTGGCCCGAAAGCTTATTTCAGGCCGTGCTGGAGGTGCTTCCAGCTCCAAGATCGTTATGGTATTGGTGCCGGCGGTCAGTGCACCGCGGGGGCAATACAACGCGAACTGGGGACCGACATTCCAATATCGACCGAGATTAAAGCCATTCACCCAGACCACACCTTTGGACCAGCCAGTCATATCAATAAAAGTAGCAGCCACCTGATTGAGCACGAGTTGGCCCTGGTACAGCGTTAAATTCTAAAATAAAATGGCAAGTGCAATGAAGACACGTCGGCATCGATGAAACAATGGAAAGAGATCTCGAAGCGCAGTTCAAGCACGCCACAAGTGAATGCCAAGTGCCAGCAGCGTACCCCAGGCTCGACGTTGGCTTGCCAGGGGAGGTTCGCAAAGTTTGGACTCGCAAAGCTGACAAGTTGCACGGTCCAGGGCTGCTGGACAACATCTGCATCCAGCGTCACGTTTCCCAAAATACCCTAATCAAGCGCCCAGCCAAACGACCACAAGAGCATCCGCGACCACACACGGGACGTGAGGAGCTCGATCGGGTGTCGCGTCGATCAGAGGCCTCAGGAACAGGAAGGCACCGAGAGCACAGGCAGCCGGGGAATACCTTGGGATCGGTCATGTTGGGTCCAAAGTTGATGCGGCCCATGTTTTCGAGCACAATGGTCAGGGTTGCCCCTGGTTTGGAAAAGCCGTCAAGCATACGCCAGAGAAGAGGCAGGTGAGGCGGCCCAGGCGAGATTCATCAAACTCAATCCGTGCAGACGAACCAGCTGAGGCGTTATGCAGCAGGATTGGCTGTGGGTCCACACGAAAAACAGTTCCTTGATAAACATCTGAAGGCAGGTGAAGGCAGGACACACCGGCAGCAGGGTTACTCAGCCGGCTAAGAAGACGACAAACGACAAACTTGCGGGCATACAGCAGCAGAGGGTCGGCTCAAGAGGCACCGGAAATGAGGAACAAGTCCACGTCGACCTACCGTCAAGGTATACAATTGCACGGTCACGAACATCCTCAATGATAAGGGCGGTGGCAGGTACGGCCAGGACAGTGGAGAAGACGGTGAACCCATAATTTTGGCCCAGGTCCTCGGTTCGACAGGGCACGGTGGTCGTCACGTTGCGATCGGCGAGTTGGCCCACAGCAGCCAAGAATGGAATACTGTCATTGAGCTGAAGAGGGCCAGGTGTAATCATGGCCGGACCCGCGGGCTCTGTGGGCAGCGGCATGTTCTGTGCCTGAAACAGGCGCAAAACCTATGCAATCACCCATGAGTCGCGAGTATGCTGTTGGCTTATGGGCAAGGTGGGCAAGGTGGGCAAGGTGGGCAAATGCGAGTTCCGGCGCAGTGCAATCTCGTACGTTTTGCACGATGGCAAACTTGCTCAGCCCATCTGAGCCATAGCCATGATGGCCCGCCTCGTCCAGCGGCGCGTTGTAGTCATAGCTATGGGGAAGCGCGACGCACCATGGATGGGTTGTTCCACGATGGTACAGGCGGCCTCTGTCCAAAATGTTACCTCGTGATTGAAGGTTGAAAAGTATCCGAAGTCGCACTATTGGCGCCCGACCAGAAGCCAAAATTGGTACCCCCAAAGCCCATATACATGGATACGCTGGCGCCGGTTTCCAACAATGCCAACAAATCCACGCCCAACTATATTGCAAGTTTGTGCAACGACATTGCGGGGCGTGGATGGCTCTGATTAGCTGTCTTCCATTGGGCTGCTTTCTGACTACCACCCTCTGCACCTGTCCGAATGACATCCGCGGATCATACCGATGCAGACGAGACGTTGGCCTGATTCGAGGTCCAGTGTGTGAGCCAGCCTACGGCGTCATCCAAGATCGGCCATAACCATACAAGCGTGCCACCACCTGAGAGTGATGCCACGGGTTTACTGGGTTTACCAAATCAAGGCATTGGATTGTACTTACCAGAATAAAACTCGGTACACATAGAGGGTGACAGGCCCGGGGGATTGTAGGCTTTTGCAATCTGGCGGCAATGAGGCAAGAGAGGAAGCAAACTCAATGGCTGTGAGGGGTCTGTGAGGGGTGCATACATCACATTCGCAGATTCGCAGCGCCGCAACTTACCGCAAGTGATGCAGCAGGGTCCAAATTGGGTTGAAAGTCACCGAGTGTCAAGACCGCGGATCCATTGAGGGTGCCCCTGTTCATGAAACTAGCCGCCGAGCCATCGGTCGTGTAGAGGATAACATCAGAGCCAAGCTCGGTTCGAGCGAGCGCCACCAAATGCTCCATGTACTGTGTTCAGGACGTGGTTGACGACTATTATAAGCCCTTTTTCTTGGCTGGAACGAAGAAATAGGGTTCCTACCATGGCGAATCAACTTTGGGCAGGACAAACCTGACGATCGGCTGGAACGTCTTGCACATTGCCGTAGGAGCCAAATTCATTTTCAATCTACACCCATGCGGGGGCGGGGGGAAAAGGAAAGGTGATGCTTGGAATTCAGGGCAACAGTTGTGCGTACGTGCTTATGTGGGGGGCTGCAAATGGAGTTCAACCTAACCTGCATCATGATCACGGGGCCGCCGTTGCCGTACAATAGAGGCTTGACCTTGGGCAGTAAATATTTCCACCACTTGTCAACCTGCGGACATTGCCACATGAGCGACCATGGAATTTCGTTTGCTCAAAAGAGCTGCAACATCGAACAAACCTGGGTGATGTAGCCGGTTTCATAGGTACGAAGTGTGACACGGGGTTGCAGTCCCAGGAGCCACGCAGGAAAGCCCCCAAACTCCCATTCACCTGGTTTTCATTGAGGGGCCGCAGTGCAAGAAGTGATTGCCGACTGCTTCTGTTCACATACGAAGCAAGCAAAAAGACTTGCTCGGATACTGTCAATGAATGTCCGGAGAAACAAACTCACCACAGATATAAGGGCCAGGGCGGAGAAGGACAAGCAGGTCTTGGGCCTGTGCGAGCTCCAAGAACTGTAAATGGACCCCGGATGAGGCACGGTGGGGGCGGGGAATTGGTCTTCGGAATCGAGTCAGGGTCGGCAGGCAATGGACCAAGCTTAACCTTGGTTAGATTGCGGTTTCCAGCAAAATCGTAAACGCTCGGCTCAGCATTATGATAATTCCAGGGCACATCTGTCGTGATTTACGGGACAGCGAGAATGGTGAGGTCAAGAGCTAGGCTGGATATTGTGCGCAAGTCTCGCTGCTTGATCTTGCGCAACGCACACGTCTCAATGGCATTGAAGCCAAGGGCTCGGATGCGTTGAAGTCGATCGGACCAATCATCTTGCAGCATGCGGCTGTAGTGAACGCTGGCGCTTAAGATCTACGCCGCACCCGACCCTCAGCATGAGGAAAACACTTTGCACCCGCAAGCGACGAGGGAACCTGCCAAAAGTGGGTCGAATGAGGCCTTACTTGAAAGGGCTGGCCGTCACGTAAAAACTGGTCATTCGCAATGGTAAAGGCGCGATCGGAAGCCCCACCCCTGCCCACAGCCAGGCAGCCAGCCAGCACCAGCACCGTCCATACCAGTGCTGGTGCTGCTCGCGATCGCACACATGTCATCATCATGGTGCTCGCAAAAGAAAAAAAAAACAAGAAAAAAAAAAACAACACCATTTGTCATCCTTTCTTCAGCTTGCTTTTTTTTTTTTTGACTGCACTTGTTGAGGAGCAGAGGACGGTGACCAAGAAGGTGAGTGAGTGAGGCCGTCGGGCGGGGATGTAGGAATGATAGTACAAGTGTTGAACAAATTCAATTATTTGCGGGCTTGCTCATAGTTCTCGAAGAACCAGTCGACGGAGCGCTTGATGCCTTCATCAATCGGGGTAAACTTGAAATCAGGGAGGTACTTGCGCAGCTTGGTATTGGCGGCCGTCTTCTTGAATTGGCCATCGGCCTTGTCCGTGTCAAAAACAACATCATCGCGCGAAAAGCCGGCTGCATCGGCCACTTTGTGCACAACGTCACGGATGCTGACCTCTGCGGCCTCATCCACTTGGGGTGCGCCACAAAAGGAAATTAAGGCGAGTAAGTACAGATTGAGGCAAAGGGCATGCGCAGGTCCTCTGAAACCAGTGGCAATAGTGACGCGATGGGCCGGCAGAACCTTACCGGAGAGGATGATGGGATCGATCTCAGGGTACTCGCGCAACGCCCAGATCATGAGGCGGCCCAGGTCCTCGCTGTAGATGAATTGACGCAGCGGTGTACCTGATCCCCAGCAGGTCAGCTTCTCCCCAGCAGCTACCAACCAAAGTGCGCGATCAAAAAACAGAGCACTCAAGTCAGTTCTTACAGATCTTGGGTAGCGAGAGACAGAGACAGAGACAAGGGGTGCAGGCAGGGAGAGCAGACAAAATGAACTGAACATGGAACGAGGCCCCCACCTTTGGCTTTGTAGACCTTGTGGATCAAGCCGGGGATGACGTGCCCATCATCAATGTTAAAGTTGTCGTGGGGGCCATAGATGTTTGTGGGGATGACTGAGGTAAACTTGGACCCGTGCTGCGCGTGGTAGGCTCGGTTGTAGACGTCGACCATACGCTTTGCGTGCGAATAACCAAAATTGCTAGAGTGGGGCGGGCCCAGATGCACCTGCGCGCGGTTGCACATGGCCACGGGTCAGCTGCGCTTCAAGGAGGGCAAGGTGGTGTGGGGAGTTGGACGGTCAAATATTACCATGGTCTCATCGATGGGATACGTCGTCTTGTCGGGGAAGATGCATGTAGAGAGGCACGAAACCACCTTTTCAACCTATCAGACTTCAGGTGAGCGCAAGGCTCAATAGTGACCCTTGGGGTCACACGACGGCTGAGACCAACCTTGAACTCGTGTGCACAGGCCAGGACGTTGTCGTTGATGGCCATGTTGACGCGCTGCGGTGGTGCACATCAAAGTCAGGGACACACGAGGATCGAGCACAACACATCTTGCATTTCTGATTCCGAACAATTGCCACATCGGAGGGCCTACCAGAAAGTCAAGGTTGTACTTCATGTTGCGGAAAAGACCGCCGACCATGGCTGCGAGATGGATGACGTGCGTCGGTTGGTGCTTGGCAAAGATGGCACGGGTGGCTTCCAAGTCACTGCAATGCGCATGTACCCGCCGCACACGGGATTATGTGCAGTGCAAGCAATCGTGTGAATCGCGGGAGGGAGGGGGCGGACGCATCGCACCTACCTCAAATCACCATCCTTGGATGAGAGGAAGATCCATTCCTCGTCATCCCGGGCATCGCCATGGGCAAGCGCTGCCTCAATGCCCTTGCCGACCAGACCAGTGCCACCGGTCACAATGACGCGCTTCATGGCCTTGGCCTTTTTTTCCTCTGTTTCCGCCATGTTTCCTGACGTGAAATGCAAAACAGGTCAGGATCAAATGCATCGGTGACAGATCCCCGGTCTCACCGCTGCCTCTTCTTCTCCTTTTTTCTCCCTCAGCAGCGGGCGTGTCCTCAACCCAAGAACAATAATGCATGCGCGCCCCCCCCCTTTCTTTTTGGCTCGCTGCCGTGGTGGCGCGCTGCTGCTGACTCGAGGAACGTAGCGGACCTGACTATTCTCTAAAACGAACAATTCAATCTTGAAGGATGATATCCCGATGGAAAAGTACAATTGTTTTGGAACTGAAAATAGCAGGCTTGTTGATACAAAAAATCCAACTTTGAGCGATCACACCCCACCATCCCATCACAAGCTGATAAAGGGGCACTCCCCCACACATGCGCACACTACCAGCTACACACACGTGAACCACGCGCACGACCGTACGTGTGTGTGTGTGTCTCTCTCTCTCTCTTTCACACACACACACGACCGCCACTTTCGTTTCCTTGTGGTTGAGTCAGCGACTCGAGCGGCAGCGAGGGCTCGTTGCCTGTACATCTTTTCTTTTCGAGGAGAGACACGCCACACACACCGTCGTCATGGGTGAGTGAAGATGAATGCACGGCGCTGGGCACCTTTGCTTCGGGCGTTTGTCTGGCTGCCCTTTCGCTGCCATGGGTCAATACACCAGCTGGGCTTTGCCTTTTTTTTTTTTTTTTTTCTCTTGTCTTGATTATCCGCGTTGAGTTCTTGTCGGGCCTGCTGCTGGCTGGCCGTCACTCGATGAGCGCGCGTGAACACCCGTAGCCCCTGGGGTGTGCTTCATAAAGCAATACAGTCAAGGTTTCCCGTTGCTGTTGTTGTTGTTGCGAACACTCATCCTTCTCGCCTGGTTGCTCGCGGCTGCCACTGTTTTGACATGTTGACAGGCAAGAAGAGCAAGTCTGATGATGTTGCCGTACGTGTCCTGCACCCTCCTTTCGCTCTGCATTCACTCTTGAACCCGTTATTTTTTTGAATCATTCGGGATACGAACATGGCCATGCCATGCCTCAGCGCTCTCTGTTCCTTCTGCCAACCTCACCATCGGCTGTGCATTTTTTTGGTTGGTGTAGACTGAGCAGCAGTCGGCCGATTTTCTGATCGAGCCATCTCGCGTCAAGCCCACGCTCGATGCTAGCAAGTGGCCCCTTCTGCTCAAGGTATGCTCCTCAGCCAGCGATCAATCATGCGGCGTCAGGTGGTGCCCCCTCGGTTAAACTGACTCTCCCATGCTCTCGCTTGGCTGCCACCCAAAAGAACTTCAACGAGCTTAACATTCGCACTTCGCACTACACGCCGCTGCCCAACGGCTGCTCGCCGCTGAAGCGTCCCATCCATGACTATGTGCGTTCGGGCGTCATCAACCTGGACAAGCCAGCCAACCCCTCTTCGCACGAGGTCGTGGCCTGGATCCGCCGGATACTGCGTGTGGAGAAGACGGGTCACAGCGGAACCCTCGACCCCAAGGTCACGGGCTGCCTGATTGTCTGCGTGGAGCGCGCTACCCGCCTGGTCAAGTCTCAGCAGAACGCGGGCAAGGAATACGTTTCCATCGTTCGCCTCCATAGTGCGATTGAGGAGGAGAAGCAGCTGACCCAAGCTCTGGAGAAGCTGACGGGTGCTCTTTTCCAGCGCCCTCCTCTCATCAGTGCCGTCAAGCGTGCCCTTCGTGTTCGCACCATCTACGAGTCGAAGCTCCTCGACTTTGACAAGGAACGCAACCTTGGCGTGTTCTGGGTCAAGTGCGAAGCCGGTACCTACATCCGTACCCTTTGCGTTCACCTTGGTTTTGTCCTGGGCACTGGCGCCCACATGCAAGAGCTGCGCCGTGTGCGCTCCGGTATCCAGTCCGAGAAGGATCAGCTCGTGACCATGCACGACGTTCTTGACGCCCAGTGGGTGATGGACAACCAGAAGGATGAGACCTACTTGCGCCGTGTCATCAAGCCCCTCGAGGTTCTCCTGGTGCAGCACAAGCGCATTGTGGTCAAGGACTCGGCCGTCAACGCCATCTGCTACGGTGCCAAGCTCATGCTTCCTGGTCTCCTCCGCTACGCCGACAACATTGAGGTTGACGAGGAGGTTGTCCTCATCACCACCAAGGGTGAGGCCATTGCCGTTGGTATTGCTCAGATGACGACCGCCGTCATGGCCACCTGCGATCACGGTGTCGTGGCCAAGATTAAGCGCGTCATTATGGAGCGCGATGTCTACCCACGCCAGTGGGGTCTCGGCCCCCGGGCTCAGGCCAAGAAGAAACTCATTGCCGCAGGCAAGCTTGACAAGTACGGCAAGCCCAATGAGAAGACCCCTTCCGAGTGGCTCTCGGGCTACACAGACTACTCACGCATGAGCGAGGAGGATCAAGGTACGTCTTATCATGATGCGGTGCCCTTTTTCCTTCAACGCGTTTCGGCCTAGTTGAGACTGCAGACGGCCAACATGTCATATTTCGGAACCAGATGTGGTCATCGGTTTGCCATGCTCATCCCTCTATCCATGTTCATTTTTCTGCCTTTGGCCTATAGTGTCAACAGCTGCCAAGTCAGCAGCGCCCTCTGAGCCTAGCACGCCGTCCATGAAGCGCGCACACGAGTCTGACGACGAGACCACAAAGTCAGAGAAGAAGAAAAAGAAAAAGGAGAAGGTTTGTCATCAACTCTTCTTGCGAAAGCGTGTGTCTTGAGCAGAGCTCCTCAAAACTTGCTCGACGCTATGCTGTTTGCCCACTCACATCCGCTCTCGCTGGATCTTTCCAGGGCACTCCCAAGTCAGAGAAGAAGGACAAGAAGAAGAAGAAGAGCAAGGACAAGGATGTCGACTCAGACGCATAAATGGTGTCTCGACACGCTATTCCTCCTGTCTTCTTGCGCTCTGCTCCCTGCTACGGTCTCGTCTTTTGTTGATGTCTAAATCGTACACCGTTTTTGATGGTGTGGGAAAGTGGCCGTGGTTGTTGTGACCTTTCTTCGTTTCGATCAAGAGTTTTTTTGTTTTCCATCGTTTGTCCTGTTGTATTGTCCCTTTCCCTTTCAGCGATTGGCCCTTCCTTTTCATGTTTGTGTCCTGGCTCAAGCCTTATGCCTGCTGTCTGTGTTCCATGTGCTCTTCCACCTGCCACTCGGGAGCGGTTGGTGTGCCTCACACTGCTCTTGGGTGACCGAGCTTTGTTGTCATCTCAATGTGCCTACCAGTTTTTTTTTTCTCTCGGCCCAGAGTCTCCTCATTGTGACATGCTAGCGTCTGTGAGATCTCATTGGGTTGCTGTGCCTTTCTTATTGCTGTGCCATGGTGGTGGCGCCGCGCTTGTGCTTTGGGCTTTCATCCAGTCTTAGTTTCCATGTCACATCTGCGATGGGTCTAAACTCGGAATTGAAATTTGACCATAAAACGTATTTCACTGGTCTAGTTTTCTAATGGACCCTGAGCGTGGGTTACTAAACCTTTTTAAAGCGTTCAGCCAACTTGCCCTTGAAGCCATCATACACATGTTCCAGTGCCAAGTCAGCGGCCATGGCTTGCAGCTCGAATGCAAAGCTTGGATACGCGTGCATCACCTTGGCTAGGTCCGTAACCTATCACGACGACCGAACGCAGGAAAGCTGAGTGTGAACAAGAGTCAACCATGGGGTAGGTGATGTGGAGAGACACTGTACAGGACACGATGGTGTTGATTACATACCTTGATGTCATTGTGCATGCAGACTGTCAGCTCCCCCAGCAGCTCGCCCGCTCTGGGGCCCACGACGGTGGCACCCAGAAGGTGGAAGTGCTTATTTACAAGCAGCTTGATGAAACCATGATCACCATCATTCTCACAGATGGCCCGGTCTACCTCCTGCATTTTTCGTTTCAGAATCAAGCCGTCTAGCCGCAAGGGAGGGGGACAGCAAAAAAGACGTTTGCATGTGGCAAGCCACGAGTAGTTGAGCAACGGAACGACGGCAAAGTGAGATGCACGGGGAACGCGATAAGGGGCGCGTCAACAGGAGTCCCAGATCACAAGAGTAGGCAGAAGACGCAGGGAGCGCAGCAGTGACAGGAGTAGGCTTACGTGGATGCTGAGCAAGAAAGTCGCGCTCTCCAAGGCCCACAGAAGCCACCTCCGGGTCGGTAAAGGTGCAGTTTGGTATCAGCGAAGGGAAGCCTTTGCTGTGCAAGGGGAGAGCCATGTTACGAATGGCTGTCACAGCCTGCCAGCCGGCATAATGGGTGTACTGGTGACCGCCAATGCAGTCACCTGCGGGAGCGGAGAGTTGCATGGATGAGTTGACACAGCAATGGCGTGGTGAGACCACATTCACAGGTGTGGCGACCGACCAGCTCCATAGATGTGGGGGATGTTGGTGTGCAGATACTCGTTGACCGTGATTCCCTTATCCTCTTCATAGTCAATCCCGGCATTACTCAGGTTGAGGCGGTCCAGAATGGGTACTCTAGGGAACAGTGCTTCTGAGGGGGGGGGTTTTGTTTTTGAAACGCTCTCAAAGAGGCGAGCGCCGAGAATGCTGTCCACCAACAAGCACCAAGAAGAAAAGTGACGCTTGTCGCTGGTCCAGCTTTCCCGCGCATCGTACCTTCCAACGGCGAACAAAACATGGGAGCCTGCCACTGATGTCCTTGAATCTCCCTCAACCTGGGTAAGCACCAGGTCTGGACGTGAGTGTAATATATGGCCCCAAGCAAGCACCTGTGTGCAGGGCATGCATGGACTTCAAGTTCGTGCCAACGCCAATGCTGCCATGACTGACCTCGATGCCTTGGCCGTTCTGGCCTTTGCGTAGCGCACAAGCTTTTTCCGAGATCAGGGCAATGCCTTCATCATCAAAGACAGCACGGAGGGCATCGCTGGCATCGACATCCTCACGAGGCAGGATGGAGCGTGCCATGATTGTAACTTGCGAGCCAAGGCGGCGAAAACACTGCCATTCCCATTCCATCAAGGGTGCACGTTTACAAGGCAGATGTCATGTCAGATGCACTGCAGCACACACATGGTATGGGATCAAGGACACACGAGCAGTCAGGGGGAAAAGCAGTCTCTTGCATAAGTGAGTCGGATCACACATGCCTGGGCCATTTCGCAGCCCAATGGGCCACCGCCGACGACGATCAAATGCTCAGGCAGCTCTTCCAGCTCGAAAATGCGCTCGTAGGTGAGAAATGGCGCATCCTGACAGCAATGCAAGATTGCGGCTTACGGGTGAGTTGAGTGACATTCAGAGGCACGGCAACGGATGCTCTTTTCAATGCGCGCACCGAGGCCTTGACAAAGTCTGGGATTCGGGGCCGTGCGCCAGTGCACAGCAACACGTGCTCGGCATCGATCATCTGCGGATCTTGCGTTCCGTCTATGTTTCGCGGGCCAGCGTTGAGCGATTTGGTCGAGGCCCCTTGAAGGCTCGATGGACAGAGCATCCCTCAGCAACAAGCAGCTCCACTGACCAAGCATGTCAATGCGCAGGCGCGTGTTGGTGATGAAGCTCGCAGTCCCAAGTAGGACCTCAATGCCTCTTTCTCGCAGGCGCTCTGGCGATTCTTTGGCATGGACTGTGTCGATGGCTTGCCGAAGATAGGCTCGGACTTTGTCCATGTCAGCTTTGACGGCAGTCGGGTCCGGCACGCCTTCCAGGCCAAACTTGCTGGCCTGACGGACCAGTTGCGCGACCTTGCCAACTTTGACTAGGGCCTAGAGCCAACCAGGAGCAGGATCAGTGGGGAGCAAGATGCCTTGAGAAGGCGCCGAGAGATGGGTAGAGGTTGTGTCTTCAGTCCGAATTTAGGATCAAGATTGTTGTCGCGACATGCCTTGCTGGGAATGCAGCCATTGTTTGTGCAATCCCCGCCCAAACGCTGGGCCTCCACGAGGCAGGTCGAGGCACCCAGTCGATGTGCAAAGTCTGCGAGGCAAACCAGGTGGGGGGCGGAAGGGGCATTGAAACAAGCTCAGGTGGTGGGAGCGGCCGTGTTCAAGGAGGCATCCTCATCCGTGAAAACCTGATTGAGACCCGGACATACCAGCGGCGGTGAGACCGGCCGAGCCACCGCCGATGATGACGATGGCATACTGGGCGGCGGCAGCTGTTGGGGCCATCGTTGAGGTCAGGAGCTGTTTTTGCTGTCGGCCAACTATCAAAATGGAGTCGAGTCAGACAGAGTGCCCAGAGATGAGTGCCCCGCACAGTGTCAATGCGCCCGGGCACCAGGCGTTGGGGCACACGAGAGGCAGCACGATGGCGATTATCACAAGGTTGCACCTCAAATGATATGGCTGCTGACTGGGTGATGTGCCTGTCTTCTCCACAATACAAATTCCTGCTGCTGGTGCAGAGTGGGCTCCTCGGCGCAGGGTCTTGTCAAGCGCCAGGGCCCCGCGGTGTACAAGATAGTATGTCTCGACGACTTGGAGCCCTTCTTCTGGTCGACTTGACCGCAATTGGGGGGGCTACGACATCTGCCTCGTTCTATACCCTTTCCTGCTCATAACCTTCAATTACTTTTAATTTTGAGCTTTAAAACCACATAGGAGGCATATAAAGATCTTCATCTTCTTACCAAAACCGTACATTTACTATAATTTAATCCGCAACTTCTTGTATATTATCGTCATCAACGGGTTTTAGGTCACTTTTCTTGCCTCTGCAAGTCGCTGGGCGCTTCATGCTGACAATTCATTTTGCTGACATTTACAGGCGCGCGTGTGTGTGTGTGTGTGTGTTGTGCGTTGTGCTCCGGATGTGTGTCTCTGGACGACCGGTCCATCATGACCGCCGAGGTAGTGGCAGAGGCGGGGCAAGGGGGGAAAGATGGCCATGGGCGAGAAGAGAGTATGGATCGTGGTCCCGTGCCGCTGTCCACTTTGGTACACTTGCTAGCGTCGTTGGCCACAACGAGCATGGTGTACGATTTGGCGGAGCAGGTGGTCAACGCCGGGATTGCTCGAGGCGAACATCACGTGGAAACCTTGGCTGCTTTTGCGCTGGCACATCAGCTCATTCTTTGGATGTGCAGCTTCACATCGCCACTGGAGTATGCGGGGATGATGCTCGTGGACAGTTGCGAGTCGCGCCGCAAGCTTCTTTATTATGTCTCCCTCTTTGGGCTCAGTGCCTGGATGTTGGCGCTAACGCTGGCCCTCACGCCTTTGGGGCACCTCGTCATCAACGACCTTCACCGGCGTTCTGATGACGTCGCCGATGCCACCCGGTACGGCCTTGCTCAGTACAATGGCACCAGCAGCGCGCTCGTGCAACCTAACACCTGAGGCCTGCGGGAGCTCGCGCCATCTTCGTCGCCGCCGCTGCGCCGCCGTACCTGCGAGCGCCGACAAAGCACACCGGACTGATTTCCACTGTCCGCCACCCTATGTTCTGCTCAATAGGTTGGCACTGCTGTGGATGGGCTTGTATCCCTTCTTGGACGCCGTCGCCCGCGTGCACCGTGGCATTCTGGTCAAGCAGACCAAGCGCAGCGACATCATTTGGCTCTCAAGCCTTCTTGATATCGGGACCCAGACGGCGACTGTCTTTTATTACATGCACTTCCCGCCGCAACAACCCATCTGGCTTCCCGTCGTGGCCTTTGTGGCAGGCGTGAGCGTTCATGTGCGTTTGACGTTCGACGCACCATCCCTCCCCGGCCTTCTCGACTTTCTGCGCCCGCTTCGTGGCTGTTTGTTGGGCCGTCGCCTAAAGTTAACCAGGCACTTGCTTCATGTTGCAAAATTAGGCGACCTGTCTGTTACTGGGCTATTGGATGCTCGTCGCTAATCATCTCCCGGCTCGTCCGGCCAAGAATGAGAGCATGACCCTGACTTCCTTTTTGAAAGTAAGCCTGGGGTCCGGCGCGCTTGGTCACGTCAAGCCCAGATCGCAGCATGTGCCTTGACAATGCCACCCTATTCTCTGGACCCCAGTTTTCAGGACCTTTATGCATCGTGCAGCTGGCACAGCGGTCCAGTCGTCCGCTTATTAATCTAAGCGTGAGCCGCTTACCTGGCGGCACCACTAGCTTGGCTGTTCTCGGCATCGTATATCCGGTGGCTCACTTTGGCTACGGGTGGATCAACAACGCAAGATCATTGATGCCTGCCTTTTGCACAGACCGCGAGGATCTGCTGCGCCTGGCCCCTGTGGTGCGCCAAATCTCGCGCTTTGTTGTGGGGTGTGGCGTCATCTCGCTCGCTTTCCAGTTGGCCCTGCTCTACACACCACTCGTGGACGTGGTGGTGCAGCAGTGGATCGGCGCCAGCCCCGAGCTGAGCGAGGCCGCTCGTTTACCCTTGCGAATCTTTGCTTTCAATACCATCCCGGTTACGGCGCGTGCCATTGCGCATAGCTGGTGTACTGCCATGAAGGAGACCAAGCTTATTGCCTTCTCTGCGGCTTACCGTTTTGGTGCCGTGACGATGGGACTGTTGGTTTACCCCTTTTGTTGGCCTGATGCCCGCGGTGCCGTCATTGGAATTTTGGCGCTGATCTCTGGCTTTTCCGCCGAAGCTGCTTACGTTTTGCATCGATGCTACACGATTCGCCGCCAGTTCCTCCGTGCAGCCAGCCACCCTCCAGCTAAACTTTAGTCGGGCAGCCGCATGCCACCCGAAACAAGTGCTATGCTATTATTGGCCGCAATGAACGGTGAGCGCCGAGCGCTTCAATTTAGCCGCATGAGCCCAAGTCCTTATACCATGAGTGAGATATCACATCTCCATGCCAATTGACAGCCTGACATGACACGTCGTCTTTCACCAAGTGCGATCGCCAACACAGCAATCCTAAGCAGAGCGAGGAAAGAAGAAAAAGAGAAAAAAAGAAAACCAACAGTGAAATGTCAAGGTGGATGGATGTAAGACAAAATGATGAATTTGTAGGAAGCTCAAAAGCCTTTTTTGCTTATTTTTCGACCAAGTGGCAGTGGCACGGTGGGATCGAACAAGCGGGTCATGGTCGACGTGGTTCAGATGTTGGAATAAGCCCTGGTTCAGACCGAGTACTACGCCACCAAATTCCCCCTTCCTTTTGCTCCTTGGGGCTGGGATATACCTTTGTTTTATTTTTTATTTTTGCTTCCGAGACCAGCTGGGCGCTGAACAAGATGGTGGACGTGAGCCTGAGTCTAGCAGATGGCGGCATCGTGTTTGCCGGCCTTGCTGTAGCAGGCACGGTCACCCTGATCAACAAAGATCTTCACGATACTGTCAACGTGGCCTGGCTCTCAATCACCTCCCACTGCCAGTGCACGTTCAACAAGTCCCGCCTGAATATTCCCGATGTCATTGAGCCTCAACCCGGATCAAGTGGAAGCTTCCTGCCGACACAGGGTACGCAGCAGACAAAGGCCTCCTTCTGGCCAGCCGGGGGATGGAACCCTCGTTTGGATGCTGGGACAACCGGCAAACACCTTTGGCCACCTGTGCTGCTTTGACACTCTGCCGCTCTTTTACGCCTTTGACGATGCAGGTGCAGTTGGAGCCTGTATTTACAAGGGGCATCAAGTGATCCTGGGCTGCGACCTCTCGCTCGCACCGGGGGAAAGCCGACATTGTTAGTGCTTGGAGCACATAGACAAGCGTTTGCATCTTGTTGGGGCGTGGACGTCTTTGCTGCGATGACGCTTACTGATTTCGCTTGCCCTCTGTCGCAGATCCTTTCGAACTTTGCGTACCTCGCGATATTCCGCCCAGTTATCGCGGCCAGAGCCTTTCATTCTTGCACATGGTTAGCTCAATCGTCCTTCCCCGGCTCTCAGATTGAATGTTCGGCTGCAAGTGCTGTTGCTTCCTCACCGACGTGCCTTTTAGCTGGCCATCGGCTATCAACAGCCGCACATGCAAGCAAGCATTCTTAGGCAACCCATACGGGTCCTTCCATGCTCCGGTGCGACCCAGCCAGCTGTAGGCCTGTGGATTCGCCCTGCATGGATAACTGACGCGCTTTGGTTGATCCTCTGGTTGGCGAGATGTAGAGGAGCTGTTAACAGTCACGCGGCGAGGCTCAATGTCTTTCCTGACGCATGAGGGGCGCCAGGGGTCAGACGCCGGCTTGGGCCAAGATATCGATATCCCTGCTACCGCCGTCCGTTCCAGAATACGTGAGTTGATTCTTGGACTTGCTTTGGTTTCATTTTTTGGGAACCTGTGGCGGGTGTCTTTTGACCACGTTGGGTGTGTTTGCTTCTTGCTTGCATTTCTTCATCCCATCCCGTTCATAGACGACGAGTCACCCGTTAACACACCTCGTCACGACGCGAAGGACCGCAGTCCCCTTTTGCCTGCCGCCGAAGACGTGTATGTCGGTGATTCTGGGCGTGTGAAACTCGGCTCATGCCTGGCTTGCCCTGTGGTTATTCATTTGGAAATGCGGGATTTTTATTTTTTATTTTTTTTGCTGTTGGAGGAGGGCAGGAACCCATTCAAGCGGGCGCCTGTGCGCGAGGCCCTCAACGTTGCCGACCTGACGGCTGCCATCTCTTCGGTCATCCGCCGGCGCCAGACCTGTGTGTATCTACAACTTCTCCTGGCTTGAGCTTTGGTGATGACGAGCAAGGTGGACAAGACCCGACCGTCGGGTTCCCGGTGATGCTCATGTGTGGCTGGGTGTGGTTAGGTCGCTTCGCGTTGACGACGGCACAGGACATTACTTTTGCAACCTTGGTGTTGCCCAAGCGTCACTTTCGATTGGGCGAGGACATATCTGGTGCACTCTCCTTTACCAACTCCCCAGGTTTAGCTTGTTTGAAGGTGAACCTCGGCCTCGAGCGCGTGGAAAAGCCGGCCAACCGCTTTTGCCACGAGGCCGCTGTACGCGAGTCGACATTGACAGAGCTACACAGCGTCACTCAGCTAGGAAGCCTTCATGCAGAACTAACCGCTTTTGATGTCACGGTGCCGTTGCACGTGAGCCCAACATTCTACTGCGAATACGGTATGTCCGTTGACGCCTGTGCCCTTCTCGCCCTGCCCCAATCTTGCCTGATAGTTGCTCGCTGTTCTGCCTAAATGGATGCTATCAACAACGAGGATAGTGGATGTGAGCTATGCGCTCAGGTTTGAGTTTCATCTGAGTCGTGAGGTACCCGAAAGCCTGCTGAGGATAAGCGCTGGGGGGCGTACAAGCGTGGCTCCCATTAAAGTTCAGGGAAGCATCCTTTCTTGGTCCCTTCCGATCGTGGTGGTGCCTGCAGCTCCGGCTCAGCTGCCCTCCAAGGCAGGTCGTCTCGTACGCAAATGAAAACATGCTCTTTCAGAAAAAAGACAACCGGATTAACGAGCAAACTCAACGTCCAACAGGATTCAAATTGATTAAAAAAAAAGAAAAAGGAAGCCACAAACTTTCAAACTTTCCTTTCTGTTTTTCTTTCCTTCCCCTCCCTACTAACAAATGCAGTGTTCCAGTTTTGACAAACCATCAACGACACCAATTTTTGCGGCCAGTCCTTGAGAGCCAGTTCCAGGCCAAACGCAAGCAACTGCCAGGGTCGATGCACGGCAAATGCCAAAACGCATCGACCAGCATTCAGAATTCAGGCATCATGCTGGATGGAGAAAAGTCAAAAAGGAGAAAAGAAGAAGGTTGTCGGAATAGAGACAGCGGAGCTAAGGCAAAGAGCAAGGAGGAAGAAAAATGAAGACACCACAGCTGCCGAGGGCACACAATCAGCTCCAGTTGCTTCTTGAGGGTTTAAGCGAAGCTTGAGTTCAACCCATTTTGGCACTGGCACCGGGAACATGTAGCACGAGCTCAAGGGTTCATGACCGGCATGAACGAGCCTAAATTTAGAAAGCACCTCCAAGCTATTGATTGACAGAGGAGATGACACGATCACGGGCAGAGTGTGAGGGGGTATCGGTCACTTGAGCTTGGTTGGGCGAGAAAAAGGTCTCACTGGGCACGAAAAAAAAAAAAAAGCAAGGCAAGGCAAGGCAAGCGTGTAGGCTATACCTCGATGGCGTCCATTTCAATCCCATCAATGGCACGGTATCGAAAGCGGGCTGGGCGCTGTTCAAAAGCCACTGCACCTTCGCTAGCGGCACCACTGGCTTTGCCAGCGTTGGACGCGCCATTTGACACGAGCGAATCAAAATGGGCCCGCGACAGCTTGACCAGGGCTACACGCAAAAATGCCAAGGACCAAGAGGGACACAGAACAACAAAGCAAAAACAAGGGCAGTGAATGAGACGGCGTTGCACAGCGTTATAATCAGAGGGGCAACAGCCGCCATGTCGTGCCAGAGGTCCAAGGCACACGCAACCAGAGCGTGTGCGCGTGCCTGCATGACCAGGCTAGACTGGACGAAAACCATTGACATAGTTCACCCCAGCGACCCTGACATGGCCTTGTATAACGGCACGCGTACAGAAGAAAGGCCAAGCCTCACACAAGGCACGTTCCAATCCCACAACCCCACTTACGTTCCCCAGCTGGGGTGCGCCGGGCCGGAAACCGGATCAGGCGCGCCATCATCAGCTGCAAGCTCGACCGCATCGTGACACGTTTCGTCTGACACTCCTCTCGCTTCAACAAAAGAAAATAGAGAGAGAGAGAGAGAGAGAGAGAAAGAGAGTAGTGAGCTGAAAATCTGACAATATATTTTGAATGCCTGTGGTGGGGATTTATGAGGGACCAACTGATTGACATTTCTGGACGACTTGGCAACCAGAATCGTTGTCATCACCATCGCATCTTCGACGTCCAGCGCGCGCTCATCCACACGCAGACTCACACGCACGGCCCAGCTCCCGCCTTCCGGCAGAGGCAGAGCGCGCACGATTTCAGGGTTGTACTTGTTTGGTTTGGCGCGCGCATGCGCGCGTTGTTGTTGCACCAAGGGGCCGCATTACTCAGGCAAAGGTCATCTTGTTGGTCGCCTTTTGAGACGGGGGGCGTGCTGGACCTTGGTGCCAAGCATCATTGTGCGTGACTTTGGCGGGAGCTTCCCACACGGCCTACAGCTCCTGTGGGACGCCTTCCCTGCTTTGTTCTTTGATTAATCGGCAGCTCGCGACACGCTGTGAACAGCACGATGTCGTTGACCTTTGGGGCAACGCAAACCATGCAGCATACCATGCAGCGCACACAGCGCCAGCGTCCCGAGGTGCGCATGCAGGCCACTCGGCGCCTGGAGCAACAACGCGAGGACTTTCGCGAGCTCATGCAAGCCGAACACAGCATGGCCATGAAGGTCTGTTGCTCGCCAGGATTTTGTTTCTGTCCTTGCCTTGCCCGGCTCCAAGAAGCATCGACCAGACTTCATCTGTTGTCGCCTGGACCGTAGTACCAATGGGAGGAAAAGACAGCTCGCAAAGCTCAGCACCGACACGCACAGGCCACCATGGCCAAGCTTGTGGCGGAGGAAGACGCAAAGCTAGAGGCGCGGCGTGAGAAGTTGGTATCCCTGCCTTTCATACCCCCTCGCCAGCCACATTTTCTGCCAGCAGATTTTTCCCACTTTGCCGGTCAGCAATCCGCAGAGTCGTTGTACTCAGACGCTTGCTCCTGCTGTTTTTGTTTTTTTTTTGTCGCAGGCTGCGCGAGTTGTTGCAGGAGGAAGAGCGGCTGTTGATAGCTGAGGCAGCCGCCACCGTCGAGACGACGCTAGACAAACAGGCTCGCATGCGAGAGCGCATCAAGTCTCTGCGCGAAAACCGCGAGTCGGAACGCCTGCAAGTTGTCGAGGAAAAGAAGCGACAGCTCTTCCTCAACAATTGCGATCCCGTGCGACAGGTGCAGCGAAACATGGCAGAGGCCGAGGTGCACCGCGTCCGACAGCAACAACTCGAGGAAAAGGCTCATCATCAACGGCGCAAGGAGGCCATCGACCAGCTCTACGATCGCCTGTGGCTTGAGGACAAGGAGGCCAAGGATGCCAAGGCCGCGCGCGACAAGGCAGCAGCCCAAGCGCGCACCCAACAGCAAAAAGAAATTCTTCAGGCACAGATGGCGGCTGTGGAGGAGGCTCGCCACCGTGAAATGGCTTTGCGCGAGGAAGAAGAGAGTCTGCGTCGCCAAGCCGAAGCTCTTCAGGCCGAAGAGGAGGGCAAGTTGCGCCAACGCAAAGCCGAACAACAGAGGCGTCTTAAAATGGAGATGGATCGACACAATCGGTGAGCCGAAGAGACAAAGATCTTTCGCCTGGTTGGCCGGCCCACGCACCAGGAGATCCTCATGTGGTGATACGCGCCGATACCCGCTGCCCTGCATTCCAACTAATCACACCCTCGCTGATACTATCCGCCTTCCCTAGCCACGCCACTGCTATCCGGCAAAAAGAGCAAGAAGATGAGCTGAAACGCGATGCCGAGCTGCTGCAGCAGGTCTTGGACGCAGCGCAAGGCGAGGAGCAGTATCAACGGGATCACAAGCAGCAACTTCAGCGTGAAATGCGCCTCTACCGTCAGTATGCAGAGGATATCGCTGCTCAGCGTCGAGCCATGGAGGAAAGCGTCGAGCTCTTCCATCAGCAGGAAGCCCAGCGAGCCATTGATCGCCTGCAGGCCAAACTGGACCGCGAGCAAGCGGCGCGAGATTCTCTCATGCAAGAGGTTATGGCAGTTCGCCGGCAGCAAATTGCTGGCAAGCTGGCGGGTGTTCAGGCCGAGCGCGATGAGGCGGCCCGAGAGTACCATGAACTCATGTTGGCCATGGAAGCCCATGATCAGGCTGAGGCTGAGGCCCAAGAAGCAACTCGGCAGCGCCGCCTGAACCATGCTGAACAGCTGCGACAGCAAGCCGAGACCAACCGCCGGCTGCGTGAGGAGGAGGCCGCCAGAATAGAGGCCGAGACTCAGTATGTCGCTTTTCACCCCAATGTTTGCTGGCGTAACTCTCCTCACGCTCTTCCCCCTCACTTTTTTTTTTTTCTGTTCTTTTCTGCGCGTCAACAGGCGAATTCTACAACAAGAGCGAGACTATGAAGCCAAAGTTACTCGAGAGCTGCAGTCACTCAGTCTAACTGGTACCGGCATGGGCCTGTGATTTTGGATCATGTCCGTCCGCCGCACAATGAACATCATCCGGACAGCAGCAGTCTTAATGCTGTTTGTTATTTTCTCAAGTCGACTTGATCATGCTACGTAATGAGGCCAACTTGTCCTTCCCTCCCCTTCCTTGTTTATCATGTTCCAGCTTGCCGAGCACGCGGATTCGTTCTGCTTGGGTACATATTCACCCAGGTATCTTATTTTGTCTCTTCCTCTGAGCGTGCATTTTGACAAGAACGCGTCGTTGACGCAATTGATGTTGTGAAGCGAGTGTTCAAGCGCGCCAAAGTCGGCGGCCTTCATTGGCATAGCTTGCTTTCTTCTTTGCACGCATAATGAAGCAAAACAAAGCCAAACCATACAAAACGAAGATCCGAGCCAGCCACAGGCAATCCTCAATTGTTGTCAAACACTATCCTCTCATCCGTCTTCTGCAATGACCTAACATCTAGCTATTTGCGCATTGCCCTTGGAACTCGTCGTCGAGTACCTGCAAGAACTACGCACGCCACAGGGGCAATCATGGCGATACTGCTTGAGCTACGGGCTGCTGATAGACAGCATACACATCGTTCTGGTGGCGTTGCAAATGAGCAAGATGCCAATCTTGGGCATCAGCAATGGTGGCAGCCAACTGGCTTTGAGGCCACGCACGACCGTCGCACCCCACCAGCTTTGGGCCAGAGAAGAGGTGCAACTCGTTGACGAGCTGCTGCTGCAAAAACTGGCCTTGCACAGCACTGCCCCCCTCGACTAGCAGCTGCAAGATGCCGCGGCGACCGAGCTCCTGAAGCACCGCCGGCAGATCGAGCAGCACATGCCCGTCCACCTCGCGAGCAGGCACATCCACAACCTCGATCCCAGGAGCGGGGGCGGCAGCCCAGAGCGCCCGGCTGCTGGCAGAGCAGTGCGCTGCTGAGGTGAAGATGAGTGTGGGTGCGTTGGCGGTGTTCAAAATATGCCCCTTGGTCACCCGCCCACGCCCATCAAGCAGTACACGCAATAGCGGGCTGGCCCGTTTTTCAGCATAGCGACGGCGTAGTTCCGCTCCAAACAGGTCCGTCTCGTCCTCGCCCAATCGCACCGTCAACTGCGGGTCATCTACCAAAGCTGTTGTAGCCCCAACCAGGATGGCTTGCGATTCAGCACGCAGGCAATGGCCCTGGCGTCGACTGGTTGGGTTGGTGATCCACTGTGACGTGCCATCGGGGCATGCCACCTTGCTATCGAGGCTACAGGCTGCCTTGAGCACCACGAATGGCTGCTGATGGCGACGATGGTGCAGGTATGGCTGCAAATCACGAAGCACTTCTTCGCGCAACACGTCTGTCACAACCTCGAGGCCTTGCTCGCGAAGGTACTCGACACCTGCCGAGTTGACGCGCTGGTCGGGATCCGTCACAGCAATGACGACACGACGCACTCCGCTGCTGACCAAAAGAGCATCACAAGGCGGAGTGCGACCAAAGTGGTGGCAGGGCTCGAGTGTGACATAGGCCGTGCAGCCGCTGACTGCTGCACGCAACAACTGCAGGTCCTCGGGATCATAGTTCTCACGGTGCGTACTGGCGTAGCGCTGTGCGGCGTCTCGAATGGCCTCTACTTCAGCGTGTGCCTGGCCTGCTCGATGATGAAAGCCTTCGCCCACGATGTCTCCAGCCTCATTGACCAGCACACAACCAACCCATGGGTTAGGTGGGGCCGAGGCGCGGCCACGGAGCGCGAGGACCCGCGCGCGTTCCATGAAGGCTTCGTGGATCTGAGAGCGAGGTTCTGCAGCGGCATAGAGCTGCTGCAGCGTCTGGCCGAGGTGGGCCTTGGGGCCATCGGCCGAGAGACCACGTTGAAGCAGGAGCGTGAGCAGCTGCTCTTCGCGCCGGCGCTTGGCCTCGAGGTACTGAGAGTTGGACTGATGCGGCGTGGAGCGCAATTCTTGGACGTGGTGGACCGGCGTGGTGATGGCGTCTACTTTCAGCGGATTGTTGGTTAGGAGAACCACCGACTGAACTTCCAGGTCGCGTAGCACGGCGTTGGCCACATCGTAGTTGCGACTGTCCAGCGGTAGACCCAATGCCTCGTTGGCAGCAAAAGTGTCCAGGCCATGGTGTTGCTGCAAGCGGTAGGCGCGAATCTTGTTGGTCAAGCCAATGCCTCGACCTTCTTGATCGGTAACATAGATGAGAATGCCGGCCGGCGCATCGGCGATAGCCCGCAGGCTAGCAGCCAATTGCGTCCCACAATCGCACCGCAGACTGCCCAGCACATCTCCGGTCAGGCATACACTGTGGATGCGCGTCAAAACCTGACTACTTCCCTCCACGTCGCCCTTGAGAAGTACGAGGTGTTCTTGATCCGTTTCCAAATTAGTATAGACCTGAGACCATCCCAAAAGCGGAGGCGTGAGCCAACCCGTACAGGTTGATTGGCAGCGGCCATGAATCACGCGAGTGTGGCCAAAAACGTACGCGAAGGCGAAAAGTAGACGATGATGGTCCGCCAGCGCCAAGGGATGCGGTCGCCTGACTCTTGGCAACAGGGAGCGAGGTCTTGGCGTGATTCTCCAAGGCATCATGGGCCAGCAGTGACACGGGCAGCTCGCACTCTGCGGAAAGCTTGACGCCACAACGCAGAGCAATAAACATGTAGAGCGGAATGAGTTTGACTTGGAGGTGACTTGGGTCGCTTTGACTCGCATCAACGGGGCTGCCCCACCAACCCGCCCACCCTATTCTACATGATATGCTCGTGCGTGGAGCGGCACACCTGTAGCTTGCCCGTGGGCTGGGAAAGTGGCGGCTGTGCCAACTTGATCATCTGAGACCAAGGTCGAGAGGGCGGGCGCAGGAAGTGAGTGGATGCAAGAGAGGCCATGCATTCAGAGACGGCAGGGCAAACTACCCCAAATCATATTGCTCAAAGTGGTGGCGCCATACCTCCGGGGCGGCAAACGCCTTGGGGACGGCATTGATGCTGCGGCGAAAGGCGATGATTTGCTCAACGTTGATGATGGGCAAGGTGAAGCGAGCAGCAAATTCTCGGCAAGCTTGCAAACGCATCATGAGGCCATCGGGGCTCATGAGTTCGCCAATGACGGCCACGGGGGTGCAGCCCGCCAGGATACAGAGGTCGACCGACGCTTCAGTATGACCTGTGCGCTCAAGCACGCCACCATCGCGTGCAACCAACGGGAACAAGTGGCCGGGGCGAGAGAAGTCGGTGGGTGTGGCAGCAGGATTGGCCAGCCACGTTGCCGTGATGGCGCGGTCTCCGGCAGAGGCCCCGGTAGTCGTGTCATGGATGACGTCGACGGAGACGGTGAACGCCGTCTGGTTTCGGTCTGTGTTGTCCGAGACCATGGGCCCCAGCTCCAGCTCCTTGGCTCTGGGGTGCGGGCCGAGGGGTGAGGCCCACGATTTGCAGGGGAAGAGCGGATGCGGAAGCGTCGTTTTGAGGTGGTTGAGGCGCATTGCGGCGGGCGCGGAGAGAGTGCGTATCGTACCTTTGGGCTGTCATCGGGGCACATAGAAGGCCAGAAGAATGGCGGCAGAGGAAGGCCATGTTTTGCCGAGTCGCAAACTCAGCTGCAAGGACAAGATCACCCTATCGGAGTGATTGCATTCAAGGGTCCGAGTGGGAGCAGGCACGAGATGAGCCAACTAACGGGGGTTGAGGGTGAGGCGAGGGCACACGAGACAGTACCTCGTTCTCGCGAGATTCGTCATCCATGACAATGACGGGGCCACCTCGGCGAAGATGATGCAGGGCAGTGACCACATCGTCCCAGTGGTTGGCACTGCGTTCCCTGAAAGGCGTTCCCGCACGTGTGGATTGGGGCAACGGAAGGCGCGGGGGTTAAGGTGAGGGCAGCACCACAACCGAGGCATTATAGATCCACAAGCAAACATCAGCAAAGCAAGAGTAGGTCTAACCAAGAGGCTGCCATGTCGGGCTTATCCCTGGGTTGCCACGTCGTTGTCGACGACTGGCTTATTGGCGCCATGGCAGTCAAGTCGGGCGTGAGGACCAACGAACTTGGATTGGACCAAAAAAAAAAAAAAAAAAAAAAAAGAGCTGGGGACAGGGCAAGGTGGGGGAAAAAATGAAAAAAAGACAGAAGAGCCGACACAAGTCAAGGGGAGAAGAAGAAAAATGCCAGCCTCAGCCACCGTCTCAGCTGCCTGCAGCTGTTGTGGCTGGTGCCAGCCGGCGGGAGTTGGCTCAGTCCTGCTGCAGGCAGCTGTGACATAGGCGTCGACGTGATGTCACCCCAACGAAAGCATGCAACGTACATACTGGTTGGTGGAAGAAAGACCACAGTCGCTGTCAAGCTGATACTGCTCAAGACCAAACGGAACCAACCAGCCGCCACTCGATCCGACCACGGGCAAACGACGGGGGGCACTCGATCGATCAAGCCTCCCTCTAATGATGGCACGGGCACGAGAACAAAAATCAGTCACTATGACTCCAGAAACGAAATCAACCTTGCCACCCCTTACACCCATTACAGGAACGTTGCTGCCCCCCCCCCCACCATGCTGACATTTCATCACAATGTCATGAAAAAACGTCACAGCCATCAGCATGAACACACAACACACACACACACGACACATTCACACAGACGGCACGATCTGACGTCACACATGGTGCGATGTCAGCATGTCACCCGAAAATAGTCTGACAATCCGTCTAGTTTGTCTGACAATGCAGCTTGTGTGCGGAAGCTTTTCAATGCTGCAAGTGGCATTAATGGGATTAGAATGATAACCATTTTGTGAGAGAGGGAGAACAGTGGTGGGTTGCGATGTTATTGCTTAACACCCCGCGGCTCCTGGGCCAGCAAACGGCAGCGCCTGGCTTCCGGCCTGCGCAGTGGACAGGTCGTACACAGCTGCGGCCTCATGGGTCATGAGACATGGGTCGAGCTGCTGGTGTTTGCGGGTGGTTCTCGCCGCTGAGTCGTGTTCTTTTTCTTTTGGGTGCTTGTGTCGTGTTGTGGTCACACGATTGATTGGGTCGGGTGATTCTTGATGCTGACACGCGAGACTCTCAGCCGCGGCGTGTGCTGGCTGAAGCTGCTGAGTGCTGCTGCCTGCCATCTGGCCCTGGGTTCATACACATGGTATTTTGCTTTGCTGGGTGTAGGTTTCTCAAAAGGGCACGCCACACGCGCGTTGAGTGCTGTGTGCAGTTTGCCCGCCCTGCAGCCCCTCTGCCTCCTCAGCTGCGCCTCGACCAATCGACATGGCGAGCCTGCTGACCACGGCGCTGCTGCGCTCTGCAGCTCGGCGGCAAGCACAACTGAGCGCCAGCAGCATCCACGCGCTGGGTGCTGCTCGTTTGCATCTGAGCCGCCCCACCCTGGGTGCGTCCTCTTTGCTCGTGTGGGCCTCCGCACGCAGCGATCCTTGCTGTTTTGTCTCCTGACTCAGCACCCTTGCGCCCACGTTTCAAGTGTCCCCGACTGCCTGACATGGCCATGCTGATGTCAAATCGCCTGCCCAAGCAGATACCATCCCCGTCCGTCTGCCCGCGCTCTCCCCTACCATGACCGAGGGCAGCATTGTGGCCTGGAAGGCTCAAGAAGGTTCGTGGCCAAGCAGGCCTCTCACCCAAGCCCAGCCGGTCAGGTTCCACCAGCTGTGCACTCTGACGCACGTTTCCGTGACTTGCTGCTTTGCTTTAGGTGACGAAATTATGACGGGCGATGTTCTATTCGAGATTGAGACAGACAAGGCCACCATGGCCGTTGAATCGATTGAAGACGGCGTGCTTCGCAAAATTATTGTACGACCTTCATGCTTGCCCATTCCGTTGATTTACTGTCTGCTCCCGTCTACAGCCATCCTCCACCGCGCCCCAATCCAGTGCAGTATGACACATGTGTCTGATACCGGTGCTTGGACGCAGATTGGCGACGGTACCTCGGGCATCCCTCTGAACACCATCGTCGGCTACATGACTGAGTCTGCCGATGAAGAGGTGCAGGAGGTGGATGAGCAGCCTGCCGAAAGCAAGCCTGCTGCAAAGGCCGACTCACAGACACAGGCCGAGGCCCAGACCGAGGCGCCCTCGGCTGCAGCGCAGGGCTCGGCAGCGCAGGGCTCGGCAGCGCAGGGCTCGGCAGCGCAAGCTACGCCTGGCGGCCAGCCAACCACACGCCCCCTCAGTCCCGCCGTGCGTGCGCTGGTGGACAAGCATGGTTTGGACGTGAGTCAGATCCCGGCAACTGGTCCCAAGAACTACCTCTTGAAGGGCGATGTGCTGGCCTTTATGGCCGGCGAAATGCCCGCTGCCAAACCTTCGACCTCGGCTAAATCCGAGCCAACCTCAGCCAAGTCAGCCGCCTCCAAGTCGGCTGGTACAGAGAAGAAAAAAGACGACAAGGCTGCCGCGAAAACGTCAACCACCAGTGCCCGCAAGCGCAAGGGTCGGGGTCATCGCGACATTCCCGCCTCAAACATGCGCAAGACCATTAGCAAGCGTTTGACGGAAAGCAAGGTATGACAGGCCCTTGTTATATACTGATGAATTACTGATGCGTCTCAATCTTGGCTCCTGTCAACTCATCCGTTTCAACCTTATGCTATTGCTCGCTTGTGCGTTTGTGACGATAGGGCACCAAGCCTCACACGTACACCAAGGGCGAGGCTGACATCACCGAGCTTTTGCAAATGCGCAAGCGCTTCAAAGGTAGGCATGCAAGCTGTGAGAGGCGCCAACTTGTGCTGCTTTAACAACCCTTGTTGATTGGCCTCATATCTCGCCCTTTGTGTGTAGAACAAGGCATCAATTTTTCAGTCAACGACATGGTCATCAAGGCGGCGGCATTGGCTCTGCGTCAAGTACCAGCCGTGAATGCCAGTCTGGGTTCTGATGGTGAAGTTCAGCTGAACAACACCGTGGACATCTCCGTGGCCGTGGCTATCGATGCAGGTCTGATTACTCCAATCATCTTCAATGCGGACGCCCTCAATGTGCCCGCCATCTCTTCGGCCATGGGTGCGCTGGCCGCCAAAGCGCGATCTGGCAAGCTGCAACCGCACGAGTACCAGGGCGGGACCTTTAGCATCTCAAATCTCGGCATGTTCGGAATTACCCACTTTACTGCTGTCATCAATGACCCGCAGTCCAGCATCCTGGCTGTCGGTTCAGCCCAAAAGCGCCCAACGCCGGACGCTGGGCCGCGTGATATTTTGACTTTTCAGCTGAGCTGTGATGAGCGCGTAATCAGCCAAGATCAAGCAGCCGAGTACCTCAAGGTCCTGGCTTCATATCTGCAAAACCCGGCCGTTGTCATGGCACAGCAGATCAACAAGGACTTTGAGTAGTAAGCACACCAGCAGTGTTTCCGCGTGCTTTCTATATCTTCCCCACCCGCAGTACTTTTTTTTTCTTTTTGATTTGATTTGCGTGATGCGCCACTTGCTGCCAAGGGGAACAGTATCCCATTGTTCCTTCTGCTTGTGTTTGTGCTTTGACTAAGCGATATAGGAATCCTGCTCATGTTGCTTTTGATTCGAAAGCAACGATCTGATCATCATTACTACAATCGGTCTCAAGGAATGACATTGCAGTGAGGTTTCAATTACAAGGTTCAAGCAGGGCTTTGGTATTGGCGGAGGCTCGGCACATGGCTGTCTAAAACGGGCCTACGTTGACTGGCAAAGGCCAGCAGAAATACAGAGGGGCCAATGGCGAGCCGGCAGGAAAAGCACTCTGTACACAAAAACATCAACAAACGGGGTCGCGTTTTGAGACTGGGCACCATCTGCCAGAAAAGAGACACAAAGGCACACACAACAAGTCGAAATGTAACAGCAGGCAACTCTGACGCCCTAAAGTTGCGCGGCCAGAAGATGCATTCGTATTTTTTTTTTTTGTAATATGGAGACGGGTGCCAAAGCACGCTAGCAGCAAGGTATCTTCGGGCTGATTGGCAATGGCTATGCGCCAATCCTGCAACTTGTGTCGCAGCCACACTCTTGGCGATAGTGACTCATGTTGTAAATGCACTGCAAATTGAGGAGACATCAGGTGAGAGAGTGTCAAAGCGGCCGCCATGGGTGAGCTGAAAGGGTCTGGAGTGATATACTTGAGCGCCGGGGGAAAAAAAAAGAAAGAAAAACGCGTGCGTACCCGGTAGTGGGCATAAGCCGCTAGCATGACAAAGACGTGCCAAACTTGATGGCTATGAAGCCAAATGTCAAAGCGGCCGGGATAGAAGCGTTCGGGTATCTTGTTGATGTAGATGGCCGCACCAGCGAGGTACAAGGGTACAGAAACACCAAAGAGCCAGAACGAGTCAAAGGAGGCATTAAAATGGCTCCAACCCGCCAACGCCAGGTAGTGAAGGGTCGGAAACAGCGAGGTGCCACCCAAGGCAATGAACATTTGCACTCGAATGCCTTTCTTCCCATTTCCTTCAAAATAAGGCCTGTGAATTGTGACCGCGACATGAGCCAAAATTATTGGTCAAAATACACTGGTTTGCAGCATGGGAGCTTGGCCAGAAACTTACGAAAAGGTCACATAGCTCGTGGCAATACCACACAGGAGTGTAATGCTCATGTAGATGCTCTGAAGCACTGGGTAACAGTAGAAGGAAAAGTAGAGCACTGCTTCGACCGACCCAACAATCAGAAGAATGATTCCAGCGTAGTCCAACCTGCGCATGACCACGGCACCAATGCACGCATGAGTTTGCAACAGTTCAACAAAGAGCCAATTGAACATGAGAGAGAAAAAAATAAGAGATAAAATAGAAGAAAAATGAATACCCTCTCCTGTCATCGGAATGAAGGGCAGTGACGCAAAGGCCGGGCTCAGAACATGCGATACAGACTTTGCAAATTGGCGATAGACGCTGTACGAGTGGCTGAACATGGTGTGAAAGACGGCGGAGCAGAACATGCAGGCAATGGCGGTCGTCCAAAACACAAAGAACGTGATGCGATCCTACACATGATGCAATGTAACGAGAAGAGAGTGGGACGTGTGCGGTGAGAGGCAAGAGCGTGAGGGAGCCAGAGCAAACGGAGAGACGCACCATGAAACGATGATCGTGGATGACAAACTGGCCCAGATAAAACGTAAAGCCAGTGAAAAAGATGGAGCCCAGAAGATGCGTCCAAATGTTGCCAAACTCGTTGTGCAGATAGAACATGGACTCGAGGCTTTTGCCAAAGCTCCAAGACTCGGGCCGATAGCCTGTGCACAGAACGCATTTGGTATCAAGATTGGCTGACGTGAGATTTGACGCCGCATCTTCGAGATTTCAGGGTTAAGCCAGGTGCGGTGCGTGCGTGCACGTTGGGAAAGGTGGCAGTGAAGAAACAAGCGGCAGAGGCAAGGGACGGGTGGGTTGGCCAAACCTGTATGGATAAACTCGTTGTCCTTGAGCCACCAAGGCGAAGACTATGCGTGGGTGTGTGCATGTGCATCGAGCCGGCGGTCAGGAAGGCTTGCGATCAGGAGGCGAGTCAGCACGTGCAAGGGAGGCGAGGGTGTACAATGCCGTACGTGCAGGTTCTTCAAAGCTGGCACACGACTAAGATGGTGCTCAGAGAGGAGAAGTTGAACATTGGGCAAGCGCTGAAGGTTGTTGGCGACCAGGCGTTGGAGGTCACGCAAGCGGTGCATGTTTTCCTGCAAGGTATCGTAAATGTAATCACCGCACTGATCCCACTGATGCAGGCGCTGGGTAACCATTTCGCGAATATCGGGCATGCGGGCGAGGCGAGCCGTGATGACAGCAGGTAGCTGCAGTGACGGCTCGGCGAGGAGGGCCTGTGCAAACGCATCGATGGGGTCGATGCCCTGCTTGAGCATGGGTCGCAGTTTGTCGCCCCAGTCTGGGTAATCATCGAGGCACTGAACAATGTAATGCTCGAGGTCTGGCAGTTTGCGTAGCAGGGCCTGAAGCTCGGAGGACTTTTTGAGAATCTAAATGGGGAATGGAGGTTGCGCGGGGGACGTCACGCTCGTGAGCTTCGAGTTTGCCCGTCTGGCACATGCCGGGCGAGTCGTGAAAACGTACGGCCGTCAGGATGATGCGGGAAGTCTCTTCAACCGTGTCCCAGCGTTGGGTAACGAGGGCTTGAACGTCGGGCATCCGACGAAGGTCACTTGAAAGCAAGGCACGCAGTTCGCCGCGAAAGGCGCTGCCGCGAGACACCGCCTGGTCCCAGCCCTCCTGTGCCGAGCGCAGCAGAGACGAGCCGTACCCCGACGACGCAGCGTCACCCGGCACGTCACCGGCCTCGCTCACCGGAGACTCTGTCGCAGCCATATTTCCAGCACTCCACGCCCTCTAGTCTCAAAGGTAGCTAGCCCAACCAATGAACCTGGCAAACCCCTCTCTGCCCACACACCGCCTGCTCGTCGACCGCCAAAACCCCAGCCGCGTTGTGCGCTTGTGTTTAGGTCTGCGTTTGTGTGTGTATTGATACCTGTGTGTGTGAGTGTCAAGAAAGAGAGAGAGAGAGAGAAAATTCAAAAAAAAAAAAAGAGAAAAGAAACAAAGAGAGAGAAGAAGAGAGAGAGAGAGAGAGAGAGAGAGAGAGAGAGAGAGAGAGAGTGTGTGTGTGTGAATGTGTGTGGAAATTTCAAAATACGAGGATGTCATTTCACAGATTGTGTCCAAAGGTTCTGTGCGTGGCGCTTGGTCGATGGTTCGCCCCGTTCATGGAGAAGGAGAGGCGGGGCGGGGGTCTGAACTCGCAAAAAACTTTGCGCTTCATTGGCTCGGCCATGACCCATTCCATTTCCATCGCCACAGCTTAATGATGGTGATGGTGATGATGGGCATCACGCCTGAGCAGATCCGTAGGGGGCTCTCTGCGATCGCGCGTGATGGGCATTGCCCAACAGGAGGAAGGATTTGGTGTGCTCGTGATAATCACGCTCAAGTGTATCAAAGAGCACACATTTATAACAAGTCTGGATACGTCACACTTTATCAATGTCAGCTTAATTGTCAGATATTAACCACGCGTCCAAGAAGTGCGAGAGAGCGAGAGAAACCGAGAGAGAGAGAAGAGAGAAGAGAGAAACACACACGTGTGTGTCTTTTGGCTTTTTACTTGCAGTCGGGTCAACGGCATCGCGGGCGGCGGGTGACTCTCTTCTCCCTCATCTTCACCGGGGTTGCGACGGTTACGGTTGACCAAACAATCTAATAACCGAGCAAAACGCAAGCAGCAGGTAGGCAATGCGCTGGGCGTAGGCTTGGCGGGCACCACCAAGCAAGCACCTTTCGACTGGCTTTCTCGCCTGCGTTGACTGACTGCGGCCACCCGTGTTGCTGCGTGTCCCTTTCTCTGGTCAATGCTTTCTCTTGTTGTTTGCCGTTAGCCACAATGGAGTCGGCTGCGCTTCAGGTGCATCGGTGCCGCTTCGTGCCCTTCAAACCCGAGCCCATCAATGCCATTGCCTGCAACACCAATGGCCTCATTGCCCTCGGACGGTGAGGAGACAAACGCTTCCTCGCCATTCCCTCAGCATCATGCTTTCCTTCCCCCCTTGTTCCTACCTCGCCTGCCACTGTCAATCCGCCTGGCTCATCAACGGTTTGCTTGCCTTTGGCACAATCTGTTGATTCTAGTGGGTCTGGCAACATTGACATCTACAGTCAAGACAGTGACAAAGCGACCCCCATCTTCATCAAGGTAGAAACGCCAGCTCCTTTGCGCCAAACCCCACACACCGCTTTCCCTGGCAGAAGCAGCGGGGCGGTCTCCTGACTCTTGCTTAATCTGTTTGCAGACACTGACAGCACGGGCGGGCCAAACCGTCGAGTCCCTGTTGTGGGTCGGCCCCAACGAACTCCTCGCCGTCGGGCTTGGCTCCTTCATCTCCCATTACAATGTTCGCCTCGGCCTCGTGGCCCACGACTATGATTCCCTCGGTGGTGCTGTCTGGACCGTTGCCGGCAATGCCGATGCTTCGGCCGTCGTTGTACGTTCCAAGCACCAAACCTCAAGTGTCTACACTCGCCCCATCCCCACTAGCTTGTCGTCGACGTTGGCCAACTGACTTTTTGCCCATTTGTTCATTGCATGTATAGACTGGCTGTGAGGATTGCAGCCTCAAAATGTTTCGTCGCGATGGTGTTGACACAGCTTACTCCTTTGCCCTCGCCTCGGATCGTTTTGACGGTATGACCACGCCAATCACCATTCACGAGCCAACGGGTTTTGTATTCTTGTATCCTTCCAAACCACCAGGTTGTTTCGCGCGCCACTCACGTGTTTTTCTGCTCATGTAGGTCGCGTGCTGTGTGCAAGCTTCTCACCCGACGGTGAGGTCATCTGTGCCGGTGATGCCGCGGGCTACGCTCGCGTGTTGCCCGTCCGTACCCTGCGCACTCGCCAGCGCTTGATGGTCAGCCCGGCCACCTCAAAGTCCAACGCCGACATTCTGTGGGATTGCGTCTTTATCAACAATCAAATTGTTGCTCTTGCCACATCCAGTGGACGCGTGGAGGTATCAGCATGGCTCCCTCGCTGCCCTGACTTTTTTTTTTTTCCTTGTCACTATTTCACTCAACGCGGTGCTCATGGTTCGTGATTGCCTTTCCAACTCGTCAGCTGTGGAACACGGTGGTGGGCCTCAAGCTGTCCTCATACGAAACGCACATGGCTGATGTCCTGTGCCTGGCCCATGACCCCATCTCGCACCGCCTTCTTGCTTCGGGCATCGACGCCAAGCTAGTCGTCCTAGAGCCCGCTCCTGCTGAGGTGCGTTCCTTGCCCGTGGGGCAGGGCTTTGGGCCGTCCACTGTGCCGAAACGGCTGGCATTGGTGTCTTACCGCCACGTGGCCAATGGTGCTTGTTCTTTTTTCTCTTTTTTTACCCCGTTGAAGTTTGCTTGTGTATTATTGTTTTTACTTGCCTGCCTTCCGCCGGCTCGCTTAAAGGCAAACTCAAACATGTGCATTGTATTTCTCCCGTTGTAGATCAGCGCCAAGCCCTACGAGTACGTGGTGGCACGCCAGCGCCGCTACCACTCGCATGACGTCCGTTGTCTGACTGTCTCCAAGGGCAAGATTTATTCAGCCGGTATGTTGTATTCATCTCATTAGCGTTGACAAAAACGGTTTGCAACAAAGCTGTTTTGCGCAACCCCACTCACCTTATTGCCGGGCATTGTGAACGTTCATTCGTACAGGTATCGATGGCAGCGTGGGCATTCTCAGTGCTGCAGGAACGGGCAAAATCTCCACCATCTCGCCCTACCCCCAGGTTTGTAGTCATCTTTCTCGAGACGTGACTTGTAGCCGTGTCGTGCGGTTCTTTGATTCCTTTGTTGACGCTGCAACTTCTTGGGAACAATGGAACTCATGACCATCCATCTTTAGCACAAGATGCTGTGCCACGCATCCAAGGCCCGAGTGCTGCTGAGCCTGGATGGTCCCCAGCGCCTGACGTTGTGGAATTTGCAAGGCAATGCCCCAGAGATTGCGCTCAGCGTTGAGATGGAAGACGCTGTCAGCGCCTTTGCTGTGGCTCCTGACGCATCCCAAATTGCCGTGGCTGCTGGTCGCAAGCTCAAGTTGTTCGCCATCAATCTGCAGGCATGTCGCTTTTCACCTCAACTCGTTTCTTGCAATGATGACGAATCGTGACCCGCATCTTTCTACTGTGCCCCATCTTACATCTTGCCGCTCTGCGATATATTTAGGGCAAGCGCACCTGTCACAAGGTCAAGACCTGGAACTACGACGCCCCGGTGTGCAGCATCAAGTTTGGCGCAAATGGAGCCCTGTTGTTGGCCCTCACAAGCGATCTTAACCTCACGGTGCGTCTGGATGCTGTTCTGCAGAGCACACGCCAGGCGGACTGTTACCGCCCATTGTCTGGCACGCCCGTTGCTCATGTATCTCACCCTTTTCTGTGTGCCGTGTGGTGTACGTGTTGTGTAGGTCATGACGGGCGCCGACTTTGCCGACGTCCAGCAGCTCGAGCTGGGCGAGTCCGTGTACGCCGAGGGCACGGGCCGCGAAAGGCCCGCCGCTGCCGGACACGTGCATCTGTCCAACGACGCACAATATGCTGTTCTGGTTCATGGTCGCTATGGCCACGTCGTGCAACTCGACACGATCAAGGTTGGGACTTGGCATCGTCGGCCTCACGAAAACCCATGAGCAACATTCGGATCGCATGGCGGCTCTTCGATCCTACACCTCACCTCTACTTTTGTCTGCCACTGCTCTGCTTCCTCATCTGTCTGGTTGCGATTTTGTGCTCTTGATAGTATACCAACACTTTTGATGCTGGGACCATCATCACGGCTTGCACCTTTCTCTACCAAACGCATGATTGCGTTTGCATCGGCGCCGACGCCACGGTGTGTTGTGCTGGGCCATTGCCTGTTGTATTGCGTCAAACTCAGGGCCGTTTTTTGTGGCTTCACCAATCTCGAATCCTCTCTGTGCTTCTTCAGGTCGTGGCATTCAACGTGGAACGCTCGCTCGCCAAGTCGGCGCTGGCGCCCAAGCTTTCAGCTGCCGGCAAGGAATGCAAGGCTTTGCTCAAGGTTTGTTTCAATGATTGCAAATCTCTCTTGCCTTGATACTGACGCAGCTTCTCACCAGCTTCCTCGCCTCTCGTTGCACTTGCATAGGCCCCTGTATTCGACATTGTGTGTCATCCAGCGGGCAAGGCCCTGTACTTTGTTTCAAACAACGGCGTGGCCAGCTTGATCCTGGGCAAGGCTGGCAACGCTTCTGGGCAGCCAGAGGCCAAGCGCCGCCGTCCGTTGCTGGTCTGTATTTGTATTTGTTTAAACACATGTTCGGTTGTTAATGTGGCCGGCGCTTTTGATCTCTTTCTTCTACCCCCTTGCTTGCTCATCATTTCATTGTAACCCGAATTTTTATCCTCAGGTGAAACGCCTGCCGTACCAACCCGTGCTGCACTTTGGATTTTCACGTTCGTTCCATGAAACCATCGCTTTTGTTTTCTGGTTCACGCTGGCTCTATTTTTTTTTTGAGAGATAGATCGGCCGCCCTCACGTTGCCCACAATCGTGATTGTGCATAGGTGGTGAGATTTTGGTGGTCGAGAAGCCATGGCTTGACGTATTGCAATTGCTACCAGAGCCTCTTAGTCGATCAAGATACGGCACTGCTTGAGTCAGGCAGCCTTACAGGCCCAAATGGCCATAAGGGACTAACATGATAATTGACACTTGAAACTTCTCTGCAAAAAAAAAAAAAAATGACAACAACGCGGGGTACTGGAGTGTTGTGTTCTGCAGCTCGAAACAACGCGTCGTGTCAGGACGCTGGTGTAAGGCTCCCCACCTGCACGAGGACCAACGCACGGGTGGCAAAAGAAAAGGAATGGAAAATGGGAGCGAAAAAAAAAACGAGGCAAGCCCCGATTTGTCAAAACTATTGCTCGAAGCCTGATGAGAAACTAAATCAAACACCGAGAACAATGGCCGGGGCCAATCACTACATCATCCTCCTACTAAAGTGCAAAGGAGAAGAGCTTAGTTGGGGTGACCGCTCTGGTCGAACAGGCCCCACTCATCGCGGCTGCCGTAAAAACCAGAATAAGGGTTCAGGTCACCGGGGTTGATACGGGGCTGGTGCTGGTCGACAGCATGAGCCGCACCCAGACCACCCAAGGGGCCGCCTGGCGCTGAGGCCGCGGAGGCACCGGGCACTGCTGCTCCTGGAGCGCCATGAAAGCCACGGCCGTTTCCGGTATTGGTCAGTGGGTCCGCAGCCCCCATGTGCATCTTATCCAGGCCAGCCGTCATTTCCCAAATGCCGCGGTTGATGGTTGCAGGCTCAGACTCGAGGAGCTGTGCGACATTGCGCTCAGCATCCGATTCCATGTGCGTCAACAGAGGCTCATTCCAACCTAGTCAAGGTGAAAAGGAGGAAGGTAAAATTAAGGGCGGGTGAGATGCAGCAGAAAGTGGCAGCGAGGAAGGATAAGGCGTGGCAACCGCCAAGCAGGACAAGATGATTTTCAAGTCGAAAATGAAAAAAAAAAATGAAAAAATAGCCCCCTCAAAAGGACAAAAAACAGTGTGTGTGTGTGTGTGTGTGTGTGTGTGTGTGTGTGTGTGTGTGTGTGTGTGTGTGTGTGTGTGTGTGTGTGTGTGTGTGTGTGTGTGTGTGTGTGTGTGTGTGTGTGTGTGTGTGTGTGTGTGTTAAGGACCAAGAGGCAAGAATGGAAGGCCTCACCTGAGCCGGGATGGATGGTGCGCGCGCGCGCGCGCCCAACAAAAGCGTCGGCGGGAGCCGCTTGTGTCTACGTTCAGGCCAAGCCCCAAATGAGACAGGAGATGAGAAAAAGAGAGGAGCATGTGTGCATGGCGAGCAACACGGACAAACGGCATCGAGCTGGCGTGACAGCCTTGCGCAATTCCGATACGTACATCGTAGCTCACAAGTTGTGCCCTTGCAGAAAAGGAGCGTCGGCGACCATCGTAGGCGTTTTGCATGGGTAGTTGGCTGTAAGAAACGGTGCGGCCCTGCTGAGCGGCCCAAACGTCTAGTGGAAGCATGGTGAATGAGTGGACGGCAATGTGCGAGCGGGCCGATATGAAGTGCAGGATTTAAAGGCAAGAGAAGCGTTGGCCAATACCCTGTCGGTGGCGATTGGGGGATTTAGAGGCGTCGGCTTTGGGCTCGGCCCTTTTCACTTCGACCTGCACATGGCCAGAGGATACATGAGGGCATGGACAAAGGTGCGAATACCCTGAGTAGCTTTGCGCGGCTGCAAGGGGCTGGTGCCTGACATCGTTCTCAAGTCAAAAGGCTTACCATTTTGCCGTAGAATTCATGGTAATGCACGGAGACAACCTTGTCCGCAATGATGGGGTCTTCAAAGGTCACAAAACCAAACCCGCGGGGGGTGCGGGTCTGCTTGTCGTGGATGATGACGGCTTCCTCAACACCGCCAAAGTGGGAGAAGTAGCGATGAAGCATTTCGTTGGTGGCGGTGGGGGGCAAACCACCCACAAACACCTTACGAACATGGTGGGTGAACGATGCGCTGCGTGGCTTGGCTCGGGTGGCAGAAGACGAGCGGGGTGATGATTCCATCTCTTGCCGGGGCACGGCGCGTTTGGGATCCACCTCACGGCCGTCCACGACGTGTGGGCGATGAGCAAGCACCGAGTCACAACAGCGACCGTCCCGATAAGTCACAAAGCCAAAGCCCCTAGAATTCGGATGTTGGGTCTGCGTCAGCCAGAGTTTGGAGCACGACGAAGGAAAGGTAAGAACAGAGAAACAATGATGCACCTGGTGCGCCCCGTGGCGGGGTCAGTCATGACGACGCAGTCGACCACATCGCCAAAGACTTGAAAGTAATCGAGAAGTCGATCTACCAATGGGAAAGGGTCAGATCGTCGAGGCGAACAAAGAGAAGTGCCAGAACGGCGGTGTGCGAACAGTGGAAAGGATGGCGAAAAGTGAAGGAGAGGGTGAGCGTTGGTCCAGGTTTGTTTGCCTACCATGTGTCGTTTCCGGACTCAAACCACCGATGAAGAGTTTGCTGCAAATGTGCAAAAACAACCAGGACAAGGCGCGGTGGTGAGAGCAGAGCAGGGGTCAAACCAAGGCGGCGAAAAGGATTGAACTGTGCTTTGTTGCTGATGCCGCTGCGCAGGTTGATGTGAACAGTGTGGGGGGGGGGGGGGGAAGAGTTTTGTTTCAAGATCGAGCAGGCAGATGGGGCCGCGGGAGTGGAGGATGGTGCGCACCCTGGAGTGATGGCGTTGGTTTCAGTTGGGGTGAGGCGGCCGACGACGGGGCTATCATCACGGAAGAGGTCCGCATGTGAATCAAGAAAGTCCAAAGCGCGATCGGAGGGCATCATTGTGGATGGTATGAGGTTTGAAGTATGCATCACTTGGTCCCAGCGGCGGCAAAGTCAGCGTCGCCGTTTTCCTGTAAAGATGCAAGGCGATCGAGGCGCGTTTGAGTGGCGGGTCGAAGGCGCGAGGCTTGCGTCGAGAGCCAAAAGAGCTGACGGGAAACGAAGCGAGCCAGGGCCTGAACAAGCAGGAAAGCGAGCGAGGAAAGGCAGACAGGAGGAGGAAGAAGAAGAGGAAGAAGAAGAACAAGTGCAGGGGACATACAGATGGAACGAGCACGGGGAGAGGAGGCGCAACTGTCAAGCCGAGGAAGCGGGCGCGAGGTCGGACAGGGATGTGTGTGTGGTGTCCTTGGGCAATCCGAACCCGGTACACAGGCAGGAGCAGCCGCGCACGCCTTGGTACGACGAGAACCAGAAAAGGCAAAAGGCAGGCCAGATGCTGGGGCGACAATCCCGAGCAAAGCCTGCACCTAAAGCACAAAGGATGACAGGCCAACACCCTGGGCACAACGACCCGGAGAAGAAAGAGAGCGCCGACCGGAACACAGAGAGAGAGAGAGAGAAGAGAAGAGAAGAGAAGAGAAGAGACAGAGAAGGAAGAGAGAGAGAAAAGAGATATATGAAAAGAGAGAGAGAAAGAGAGAGAGATGTATGTAGACAAGAGAGAGAGAGAGAGAGAGAGAGAGAGAGAGAGAGAGAGAGAGAGAAAGAAAGAAAGAGAAAGAGAGAGAGAGAGAGAGAGAGAGAGAGAGAGAGAGAGAGAGAGAGAAAGAAAGAGAAAGAGAGAGACGGCAACAAAAGAAGGGGCAGTCGGATCTGTGGTGTGCCCAAAAGAATGGGATGGTCTACAACTGTTTCGTTTGATATCATCACACAACAACAACAACAACAACAACAACAACAACCGCTGTTGCAACTTTACACACACACAACAGAAAGCCAAACACACACACACACAGAGCACACATTACGACAACAACAATAACAACAGTTGGTCTTTACTGCAGAATGACCTCCCACCTCAAAGCCTTACGACGACCTGCTGACTGCCTCCAGGTATGCGCGGTTTGTCAAAAGCGCAAGGGGAGGAGGACAGGGACTTGACTTTTTCCGGTGGTGGGCAGGCAGTCCGGCAGTCCGGTCGTGATTGTGTCGGGCTACATGCGTTTGCTTAGTTTGCTTATCTTGTCGTCCGTAGACTTTCTCATGAATTTTGATGGTCCCTGCACCCCCCTCCCGCCCAATCCCCCGTCGTCACCACACGCCACGACATGACCGACTACAATCGTTCAGACATAAAACGATGAGCATTGGTCAACTTTCACCTTGGCTTGACATGTGAATGATCCCACTTGACTGGTGGACCGGGACACATGACACGCTCGCTCTCTCTCTCTCCCTCTCTCTCTCTCTCTCTCATTCACCGCTTCTTCCGCTCTCGCTCCTCTGCCCATTTCAATTCACTTGGCCAAAGTGTCCCGATTCCGGCCGACACCACCCCCCATCCCACCACCAAGTCAAACGCATTCGTACATGTACATGTATTCGTATCGGAGGGGGGGTTGCCCTATGGTTTTCAACCAACTTTTCCTCTTAAAATCCCTTGGTATTTTTTTTTGTGCTCGCCTGCTGTTGACAACTATTGTTTTCAGCGTGCCTATCATCCAGTTAAAATGCTGACAATCGCGCCAATGTCATCATTTGATCTTGTTTTTGTTTTGTCAGCGACCTCGACCTCAAATTCGACCTCAAGTTCGACCTCGGCCTCAGCGACGTTATCGACTCGACGCCTGGTGGGACGATTGAGCGGACAAATAGCCGTGTTGCAGCGCTTGTTCCAAAGTCACACAAGCAAGCGCCATGTCCACCAAGGACGTCGTCGATCGCTTCAACGACAGCCAACATGTACACTATGCTGTTGTCAATGACCAGCTGGACTTGAATGAGATCACTGTGGCAAACCTCACGCGCATCTCTCTCGTTGCTTTCATGTTAGGTCGATGAGCGCTTGGACACATTGCGTGCGCAAATCAAAATGCACCAAGATACCATCATTGATCTTCAATCCCAGGTCGGTGCGCGTTTGCCCCTTACCATCTACAACAGACGAGTTGCTCCTGCAGCCGATTCCCTCCCTTGACCCTGTTTGGTTGTAGATGGCCACCGTACGAGCCGAGGTGACCACACGTGACTCGACGATCCAACATCTGAGAGCTGAGATCTATGACCTCCAGCACAAATTGGTCTGTGCACTCCCAACCGTCGCCGGGTCTGTGCACTCCAGACTGGGCCCATCGATCCCCGAACTTGTTCTCCCCTCGGCCAACTCACAACCCTCGGCCTTGCCCGCAGCAAGAGATCGAGTCCAAGCGTGAAGTTGCGCTCCAAAAGCGCAAGGCCGCGCGAGCCAAAAATCCCAAGGCCCGTCGAACCCAGCGTCGACACCCAACAAAAGCGAACCGCGTCAAAGACCCAAGAACCAACCAGGTGGCTTTGGATGCTCGCGTGCATCGGTGCCGCGTTCCTGGCTGACTTCACCTTGCCACCTTGCACGCAAGCAAATCTCACAGGCTACTCATGATCGTCGCGAATGGACTCACGCCAGCGAGCAAGCCGAGAAGCTTCTTCAGGTTGGTCGCTACCCAAAGGTACCTAAGAAAGCTTCATGCAGCGTGCAGCAGTTGCTCCAAAGCTCAGCACAACACGTGGCAGGGACTGCACGTCACTAGCGAAGATGACGCAGGCCCCCACGACCAAGAAGGACTTCCAAGTGATGATGGTCAGCTACTCCATCCTCCATCTACCCGTGCTACTATTGGAGTGGAATCATCACTTTGTTGCTCATGCCTTGCCTTGCTGGTATCTTCAGTCTTGGATTTGGAGCTCCTGGCATCCCATTTCCCAGACATGCCTCTGGCCAAGCTTGTGCAAGCCGAACACCGATTCTTGAGTGCAGACATAGACCACTCTGGCGTGCGTACCCACCTTGACCACGCCTGGCCCCATTGCATCCTTGGCTGGACCTCATGTTTATTGTGGCCAGCTAATTGAACGAGCAGAGCTACAGACCGTGATTGACGTTTCAGGCGTCAGCGCCGACACCATTCAGGTCCTCTATCAGATTTTTTTTTACGTCTTCCAACGTGATCTCGGCTTCAGCATTAACCCAGCAGAGACACTGACATGATCGACTGCTCTTCTGCTTCATCGCTTGATAGTCCATTGCGAAAGAAAAGGAGCTGGACATCGAAGCCGGCCTTGACTTTTTTGACTGCCTGGTGGTGCGTCCAGGCTCGCGATAGAACATGTTTACCAAACCACCCCTTCTCCTCGTGTATTCCCTTCACCTCGGCCTCACATCTTGAATATGCTGGGTAACATGCACGTTTGAAATGGACCACACAGTTGGAGGAGGCGCTGACACAACAGGGCTTGCAATTGTCAGCAGCTCGCGCAGACACGGGCAACAACAATCCGACTAGCCGAGCCTGTGCAATCCAATGACACGCCGACCGCACAACTGGCCCTTGCCATCTTGCCCCCACTACCTAAATATCTTATGTGCAACCTAAACAAATTGAGAACGTCCTGATTCCCCAAAGTGCCAAACAGACAGTCATCACAGACAAACGTAAGAAGCGCATCGCGCCAGGACAGTGCTCATGCCTTGGCCATTGCCGGTGCTCGGGCCATAGGCACAATGCACGCGCGTGCCGCACAAAACGTGCTTTTGGTTCACATGACACTGCAGCTGCCCCAACAATGTTGTGCAGGATAATCTGGACAGTAGACCTACGCAGCGTGGAGCGAGAAAAATCCCGTTGTCGTGCCGTGAGCTGCCTCCAGCCAACACCACAAGTCGGCCCACACAAAGCAGCTTCCCCGCCAACCACCAATCAGCCGAGTTGAAGTCACTTACCCGATGATCCAACCCGTACACCCAGAATCGCTTCATCTCATCGCGATATGTATAGTTGACTTCATGCACTGGGATCAACTCTAAGCTGTGCCGTTGGCGCAATATCCGCTCCTGCCCATCCATCAACACCAAAATAAGTCAACACAATCCAATTGCAACAGCTCGCTCTTTCGCAGTTTTTTTTTTTTTTGCAGCACCAACCTGTGGCCATTGCTTGCTATGACGTGAAACGAGCCCATGCGAGCCCGTATTGACCTGATCCTCCGGAAAGTTGCCGATAGGTGCCAGCTACCCATCATGTGCCATCGATTGAGCAGAGAATAAACAACTATGCTGTCGCATGCACAATACAAATTGAGGAGCAGAAGATGGCTGACGCACCAGATTGGCTGAATCAGTGAACAAGAGACTGCCCTGGCAGGCGGCAATGTCGCCCTTTGGACCGTTCATCGGCTCCACAACGTGTTCGCCGCGATGATTGCTCCTGCGCACGATTCCCCAAGAGCAACCTGATGAGCTAGCCATCGAGCCTTTGCCTCGCATCATAACGCCATTTTGAGACCGCTTTTAAATCAGTTTGGTAGCGCGCGCACCAGGTTATGGACAGCAAAAGGCTGAGCTTCAGTTCGCCGCGAGCAGCACAAACAGCACAGCCGATTTGGCCATGGCCAAAGCATACTGTGCAACGACGGCGACCACTCCTGAGACGCATATGCGTGAAGAGACACATCAGCGTAAGGGATGGATACTCGTTTCAAAAGCCAGTCTGTACGGAAAGAAACGTGCATGGCAGCCCCCGGACCGACTCACCCAAAGCATCGAGTGCATGTTTCGCGAAAATGTGTACCAGTCTTGTCTTTCTTCATGCTGAAGCCTTGGCCTCGACACTGGGAACAGCGCAACTATGGGAGGAGAGGCGTATCGAAAACGCGCAAGGTGACGGAAAACCAGGGCACTAATTGAAGAGCAACATGCCATTTTCTCATCTCACGTACCTTGCCACGTCCTTGGCATTGGTAGCAGCGGACCTGCCCAAAGCTATTGCAGTAATAGCAGGGCTGATAGGCAATGATGAATGGAGATGCAGCAAGTCACACACCACGGAATCAGCTGGCCTGCTTGAAAATACAACAACATTTATATTCACAGGGCCACGATGTCGTACCTTGAGCGTGCCCGAATAAGGAATTTCAATTGCGGTTTTGGTGTTTTGAAAATCCATGGGGGGTGCCACGTGCATATCCCACGGTTGAGGTGGTGAGCCTCCACTCATGCTGGACAGAGCTTGGCCTGGCGGGTATCAACGGTTGGCATTCAAGTTGCAAGGGATACTATCAGTACAACCACGCGCGACGGCTAAAGAATCGTGCCTTGTGTCGACCAACGTACCGTAGTAAGGCTCAACCTTCCAGGATACGTGGCGGGTTTCAGTAAAAGTCTCCAGAGTGTACTAATACGATGGACAGCACAGATGATGTACAAAACCTCTCAGCATGTTTGAGGGCACAGAGGCAGTATAGCGCCTACATGATATGCTGAAGTGGCTTGAAACCGCACGAAGAGGAGCTGGTGGGCTGGAGTGGAGCCCCAGCAACAATGCTGTGATACTTCCTCCAGCAATGCCACACGCGCTTGCTGTTCTGTGAGCCGTGGCAACCTATTCACAAGTCAAAGGACCAGCCCGACACGACCAGGCATCGATGGCAGGCAGGTGGCGTGTCAAGATGGTGAGCTGGATCATGCAGAGCACCTGTCATGTGGCAAGGCGTGCCGTGTCCCAAGAGTGCTTCCGCGTACGGTGGTATCTTCGTCTTTGTGCCGTTGGCACTGGGTTCAGCGGTTGGGAGCGTTGGTTCGATGAGGACTGGTTCTGTAGGGGCAGCGAGTGAAACATGAGAGAGGTGGCAATGACACCCAATTGGGGCCCTACACGAGCACGTGGGCAGGGCTTGGCTAGTGTGCGCACCGGTTGAGACAATCGCTGTGTAGCCTGGAAGTTGTGGAAAGATGTCGGCAGGGGGTGGGCCCGGGATGGGTGGGGCCATTTGCCGGCTTTCATCAAGATCAAGCTCGGGTACTTGACCGCGAAAGGTGGGAATGTCCACGGCCCGGGGCGGGGCGAGAAAGTCCCCGCCTACGACCCTGCACACGGATAGTGGATCAGCACAAGAAAGGCCAGACGGTCACTCATTGTCTTTGAAGAGGTGCATGGTACTCCCGTGCCCCCTGTCAACCTTCCCCGCCATGACCAAGCGAGGGTGTGGTCACGAACTGGGCTGTCAGGAGTGGTGTCTTTTCGCTCATGGCGCTGAGTGTTTACGCCAGCACCGCATGCGGCGTGGCAAACCAGCGTGGGGCCACGCTTTGGTCGTCTTGCTGCGACGTGGCAAAGTCAATGTTGCAAACCACCAGCCAAGTTGGAAGAGGAGCCAGAGGCAGCCGAGCCAGGGTCAAAGGGAGAAGGGTCGATCAATAATACTCATCATCATCCGCTCCTGCTGAGTCAGAAATCCGACCGCCGATCGTGAGACAAGAGAAAGTGTGATATATTCCACACTCCGTGGTCACACACTACACACGCACACACCACACACACACAAGATCACGTAACTCTCTCTCTCTCTCTCTCTCTCTCTCTCTCTCTCTCTCTCTCTCTCTCTCTCTCTCTCTCTTCTAAAATCTCTCTCTCTCTCTCCCTCTCTCTCTCTCTTCTCTCTCTCTCTCTCTCTCTCTCTCTCTCTCTCTTCTCTCTCTCTCTCTCTCTCTCTCTCTTCTCTCTCTTCCTGTGTCATGTGGTAGCAAAGTCGAGGGGGAGCAGGCTTTGGAGTTGGAGAAGAAAAAGGAAGTGTGTTTCTGTTTCTCTTTGTTGCTTCGCTGCTTCTCTCTTGTGTCTCCCTTGGTTGATTTCTCTCTTTTAATTTTTTTTTATTTTTTTTTTTTCACTGAAGGGCTCGGTGATCGCGCAGAGCTCTTGAAGTGGTGGGTCGATGGTGGTCTGGTGGCTTTGAAGGTGATCTCAGAAGCATTGGCCACTGCCGGAATGGGACTGCCTTGCGATACAAAGCCAATGCCAATTGGTAGTGCCAGGCCTTGATGAATTGCCTCTGCTCATGCCAAACGCCAACCGAAAACGCTCGTAGACACGGATCTGGACACAGACCTTTGAGGCTTCCAGTTCAGTTCTCTGACGTGGTGTGTGCATCCCCGCCAGGCCTGGTGCGGCCCGAGACACCTGGGTCTTGCCTGCTACAAGAGCAGTGTTGAGTGACCAGATTTGCAAACTTGGAGCCTGGCCAGTGCCATGGCGGCGGCCACTGGTGGCCCTGCACCGGGGGCCATCGCGCCCCTGGTCGGTACCAAGTGGCTCTCTTGCTACTACGTGACTAAGCACTCGTGGAAAGGCAAATACCGACGCATCTTTGCTATCGGTGACTCTGCTGTCGCCACACTCAATCCCAGCACCTTTGAAGAAACGAACAAGGTGTGATCTCATTATTGGCGCGTTGCCCACATCCCGCCCAGATGCTCTGGAAATCGCATGCCAATCTTCAGATCTTGAGTACATGCTGAGGCAACTCTGATCCACCTGGTGCTCCTCTCACCCCATGGTTCACTGCAACTGTAGTGGGAGTACGCCACTGACTTTGTCAGTGTCACTCCCAGTCCCAAGGCAGAAAATGAAATTGCTGTCCTAGTGCGCAAGGAAAAGAATAGTAAGGGCTGGGCCCCTCTTATTATGGTCACGCGCATGCCTCATGTCACCGGTGCCCATCGCGTCTCTAATTTTAATCACCCGTTTCTCGGTGCACGCTTGGTCTCTCTTGCGCCCCCAGGCAAGAAAACGCAGACCCTCACCTTCAGCTGCGAGTTTCGCGTGCAGCTCCTCACAGACCTCCAGGTACAACCAGCTCCCACTGCACTTCATGTCTTGTTGTGGTGGCAACACCCATCCGATGTTCTTACCTTCCATTCTATCCTATAGCGCCACCGACAAAAGTTTGCCCATGAGCGACCCGTGAGCCCCGATGTGAGTTGAACGCTTTGACTGCACACCGTGTGTGGCGGGCAAAGGCCGTTGCAACCGATTGCAGCACCCACAATGACCCGTGCTTCCTCACGGCATGTCCTCTCATGTACACTCCCACAGCCCGTCTTCATTGCCATGAAGCATCACTGGAGCGAAAAACGCGTTGAAGTGCTCCTGGCTGTAGGTCCCAGATTCTCACCCAGGACTTTTACATCCATCGAGATCACCAATGACCGCTCATCCGCACTGCTTGCTAGGTTCACGGCTCTTCTTTGTGCCAAACCGATTCGGCTGGCAAAGTCATTTGCTCTTATGACTTTAAAGACATTGAAGCCATTTGTTTGATGGATCAGTACCCTGGTGGCTTTGTCATCTTTACCGGTGGCTGGGGTCGCATGGTACGCCCATGCACCTTGAGCAGAAGAAGTAGTTGTTGTTGTTGTTGTTGTTGTTGTTGTTGCTGTTGCTGTTGCTGTTGCTGTTGCTGTTGCTGTTGCTGTTGCTGTTGCTGTTGCTGTTGCTGTTGCTGTTGCTGTTGCTGTTGCTGTTGCTGTTGCTGTTGCTGTTGCTGTTGCTGTTGCTGTTGCTGTTGCTGTTGCTGTTGCTGTTGTTTTCACTGTTGCTGTTGTTTTCACTGTTGTTTTGTAACGCAACGTAGCATCTCTTTGCACTTGAAAAGCGCGATGAGCTTCTCAAGAAGATTTCGGAAAATGCAGCGACTTATACCGGCCTAACTTTGAAGGTGCCAATTGCTTTCCCTCCGGCTTGGGTGGCAGCTGACCTGCTCGCCAAGCGCTTATGCCAAGCCACTATTCAACGGGGTGCGAGCTTTTGACTACGCTGACGACGTGCTTGACATTCCACCCACAGGTCAAGAAGAAAATGATCACACTGAAACAGTTTCGGGACAATCGTTTGGGCAAATACAGGTTGGTGACGCAGCCTGCCTTTGCAATGTGCTAGACGTATTGCTTCGAGAACTGACTGATTTCGTGTATCAAACTTTCGTCCAACAGCTCGGATGTGGCTTTGACGTCCATCTCTGAGTTCCACGTCAACAAGGCCTCCGCACGGCATAAGGTAGCGCTCCTCAAACCCGGTTCTCGTTGTCAGGCAAATCTTTAACAGCTGACCTGGGGCACGTCGTGACACTAGGATCCCGTGAACCGGGTATTCTGCTTATCAGAAACTTGCGTAGTGGAGCGCGATCCTGAGACATACGCAGTCGTGACCCTGCGTCCTCTGATCTCGGTCGGTATCGTGGCCGCCCCGACACAGTGCTTTCCGCTACCTGCAGGCCCTCCATACGCCTTTTGAGCGCATCTCAAGGCAGAAGCGACTTGTTGTGCTATCTCATCCTTTTTAATGCCTTGTTAGCTCTTTGCCATTGTGCGAGATACGCAAGATCCGCAGAAGTTTCACATGGAATATCTGAATGGCCATGTGCGGACATACTTCAGCACTGAGCGTGACGCACTGCTTGCTTCCTTACTGGATGGAGCTCGTGCGGCGGGCAATTCGGTTGCATGTGTACAGATGCAGGTCACAGACCGTGGTACGCTGAGCCTGAAAGCTGCGATTCATGATTGAAATTCAATGCCCGGCTAGGAAGCCTAGTGGTGAAGGCTCACCCTTTATCGTTTGCCCGCATAGGTGAGCGCTTCCAGCCCTTGAACGCCGCTCCCGAGGAGGAGGTTGAAAGCTCATTGCTCAAGTTTCTGGCCAGTCCTGACGTTGGTACGGTTTGTTTGTTCAGGTCACCCAACAGACTTTCGTTGACAAAGCGGCGGGGCTCTTCTGCCCTGCCTGATTGCCTCCGGCTGACGCTAAGCAAGTGCTTCCCTGTGTTCCATATTGGTCTCTTCAAACCCCAGGCATGTCCTTTCAGCTGGCCGTGCGTCGCTTCAACAGCAACATCAACTACAGCGGTCTGCGTCACGCTGTGACTGAGGAAGGCTGGTTCAAGGAAAACAAAGAAAAGCTGATCATGACAGCTTTAGCGGCACTTCTTGAGCGAGGTACTATGCACGTGCATGCAACCACTCTGCCTTCTGTTTTGCATGATCACAACAGAAGAAAAGAAGCAGGGCTATTCATCTTCATCAGTCTTGATCTTGCCGCTCAAGCTCAATGCCGGCATGTTGTCTGATGGGATGTGGTGTCGGGGGCTATTTGCTGGTTCAGGAGACCGCTCCGACTCGCCTGAGCATGTGGCGGGCGAATTTGCGGCCATCCGCCGCTTGGTGGCTTCGAAAGCCGGTTTCAAGGCATTTACGGTTCTTGAAGGCTTCAAAGAGAAAGTGGGCCTCAAGGTTGTGAAAGCATTGCAGCGGCAAGATGCCGGCGTGGCGTATGCTGCCATGGACACGCTGTGCACGTTGATGCAACCAATGCACGACAATTATGATTTGGGCCAGGAAAAGCTCAACAAAGAATCACTCTTGAGCTCAACGTAAGCGGTTGCGTTGGGTACTTTTTGTGTGATCTTCAAGCTTGGCCTCTGGACATGTCTCTTCGTTGCCGTTTAGTCGTGGTGCAATCTTTTCGCTTTTGTCCAAAACTCAGTGGGTATGCTAAATTCTGGCAGGGGTTTTTTGCAAAAGCTACTTGCATTGCTCAAGCACCACGCCACCAACAACTCGGGGGCGCTAGTCGTGAGCATGATTCTCGACTTTTTTACCTTTGCCGTCTGCCCGCCGTATAGCGAGACAACGGACGGTGCCCAGTTTGATGGTTTGCTGAAACTGGTGGCTGACCTTGGACGGACTCTCTTCAAATTGTTTGAGCACCCATCCATGGCCATTGTGAAGGCGGCAGGGCTCATCATGAAGGCAGTGATTGAGGAAGGAGACGAAGAGATGTGTGCGTTGATGCAACAACTTGCCTTGTCGGAGGGAGCTTTGCTTCGCCACCTTCACACGGCCCTTTTCACGGCGAGCAACGACGGCCGTCTGCTTTTGCACAAGTAAGTTTGTGCCCTGGCTTGGTCTAGGCTTTTTTTTTCTTGTGCCGTGCTTTCTCCCCATGGGCAAACATCAGACTTGTAGCGCACTTGACCATTGATACCATTCTCGCTCCCAATACAAACACATTCGTGTCTCAATCGTCTTTCATCGGTATTCTTTAGACAATTGAGTCGACACCTAGTCGGCTTGTGGATGGAGCAGAGTGACGTTGCCACCAAGATGCTCCGCCGTGTTTTGGTATGGTCTTTTCTGCATCTTGTGATATCACCTTCCCCTCATCTGCAGCTGAGCAATCATTTCTTCCCTGTTGCTCCCTGCAATGTGCTGCTCCGCAACCATACTCATGCAACGCGCTGGTGAGCAACGCATAGCCGGCAGGCCTGGTTGATGCTCTCAGGTCTGAGGAAAGGCCTGAAGAGAAAGATATTGACCGCGTCAACGTACGCGACGGAGATCGCCAAGCACAGGTCAGAGCTTTATACCCACCACGTCCCAGCTCAGCTGCAACTTCCTCATCATTGAAGCATCGTGTTTTATTAACGCCATGCGGTTCTATGTGCCTCTTCGATGTTGTGACCAGACGCTGGGACCACAGAAACGAAATGTCCTATTGCACTGGCGCGCTCGTTCTCGCAAAAACCAAAGCGCTGGGCCCACTGTCCTACGCCGCCGGCGCCAACGCCTCCATGTGAGCCATCTCTCTCTCAAACTCTCTCAAACTCTCTCAAACTCTCCCAAACTCTCTCAAACTCTCTCAAACTCTCTCGCTACCACTCAAGCTCACACGTGCGCTTTTGTGCTTTGTAGGTGGAAGCCAATTGGGATTACTTCTACTTCATGTTCGACCGTGATCATTCACGAGCTGATCTCCTGTGGAATTTCAAAACTCGCGGCGAGCTCAAGGAGGCCATCGAGCTCGAAATTCGTGCATTTGACGCCGACCGAGTATGTTCACATATTTTCTTGTGCTCTCCAGGAATATCCTTTGGTTCTTATCGAAATTGGTTTGAAATATGTTCTTCTTGACGTGTGGCAGGATATGCGCGGTGACTTTGTCATTAGCTGGAATCACCAAGAGTTTGAAGTGTTTTATGAGAGCCTGTCTGAAGAAGTGAAGATTGGTGATCACTATCTGCGGCTGCTGCTTGAGAATGACCCCGACTCGAACATTATCCACAACGCTCCCGAATTTTTCAGCGACCTTTACCATCGCTTCCTTTTGACCACAAAGTCCAGCATGAAGAGCATGTGTCTCCAAGCTTTGGCTGTTGTTTACCGTCAATGCCACAATGAGATTGGCCATTTCAATGACACTGAATACATTGTTCACATGCTCAACCGCGTGAGTATTCCCTGGCCTTTCTTGCACTGCGATCGTTGCCGACCTGAGTTAGCCCATGTTCCGTTGGTCGTTGCCGTTGTCTTATTCCCTGCTCCCGGGCAACATGCTGCAGAGTGAGGATCGATTGGAGCGTGATCGATTGCTGCAATTTTTGGAGACATTGCTCGCCAATGATAAGAACGTCAAGTTGTTTATTGACGCCGGGGGCATCCGATGCCTTGTCGATTTGGTTGCCTTGGCCCACCTTGACGTGACGAGAGCCACGACGCAGTCACAAACGACCATGATTGAAGCAAGCGCCGATCAGATGGCACAAGAAGAAAAGGAGTGGTTCTACAGCTTGGTAAGTCGTTCCACGGGGATCTTTTGTTGCTACCGTTGGATCGCCCGCACTCACCTGCGTCCATGCAGGGTAAGAACAACGGCAAGGAGGGGCCATTTGGTCTGAAAGAAATTGAACAGTTGTACAAAGACGGTGCTATCAACAAGGAGACAAAGCTGTGGGCGCAAGGCTTGGAGGCTTGGCGCCCTATGCGCCTGATTCCTCAGCTCAAGTGGTACGGACCCTGGTGTTGCTTCAACCACTATTTGACATTTCCAATCTTCCAGCGCGTTACTCGCACTGCTTTTACCCTTCTTTTTTTTTTTTTTTTTTTTTTTTTTTTTTTTTTTTTTTTTTTTTTTTTGCGGGTTTTTGGTAGGACCATCATTGCTGAGAATTCAGCGCTTCTCACGCTGACGGACATGGCTATCTTGTGTTTGGACATGCTGCAAAAGATCTGCAGCTATTACCCAAGCCGGTTGGTTTGCGCACGGGGTGTTTCGCTGATTATCGTCTGTCCTCCTAATCTCAAGCGCTTTTTGTATTGTTGGGGGGTAGCGATGCTTCTGGCGCCGTCATCCGTCCACTGCCAAGATGCAAACGCTCGCTATCCGACCCGACTTGTCTCCCACACTTGGTGCAGCTCTTGCTAACCTTTGAGCCGCGCCTCGTGGAGCGCACTGCCAGCTTGCTCCATGCCATCTTTCAGGTGTGCAAAGCTTTGCTCCCGCCGACTCAAAACGCCCCATTTGCTTCATTCGTGTTTGTTAACTCATTTACGATGCACGACGGTTACATCTTACAAACCAATCGTGCACAGGACAATCCCGGCCTGTCTCGCTTGTACCTGTCGGGTGTTTTTTTCTTCATTCTCATGTACATGGGATCGAATATCGCACCCATTGCCAAGTTTTTGCAAGCCACACATATGTATCAAGCATTTGGTCACGAGGATGGCAGTCGCAGCATTCTGGCATCCATGCTCCCCAAGGCAATGGTGTGCTACTTGGAAAATTATGGTACGAACGCCATCATCGACATTGAAGCGTGCATTTACTGTAAAATCTTTTTGATGTGATGTCTTGTCGATTCATTCGGGACTTACCTGCCCTTGCAGGCTGGGAAAAGTTTGCTTCGGTATTTCTGGGCGAGTTTGACAACCCAGAGGTCATTTGGGGCACCGAGATGCGCCGCTCGTTGATTGAGAAAATTGCCCACCACCTGAACGACTTTACGCCGCGTCTCAAAGCCAACGTCCGCTCTCTCTATCAGGTGGGATGGAAAAATCTGTTTGATCGGTGCTTTCGTCAACCTATGGGAGGAGGAGCGCTTTCTCACAAGCATTTTTTGACCTTTCCACTTTGTCTCTTGTCTTGATTGTCGACGGATAGTTTGTACCAATCCCTAAGGTGTCCTACCATGAGCTGGAGGGCGAACTTTTTTGCAATATTTACTACCTTCGACATCTTTGCGATGAAGCTCGCTTCCCTAATTGGCCGATTCAGAACCACGTGCCATTGCTTAAGGAGATTCTTGAGGCTTGGGCCTTGGAATGCGAGAAAAAGCCGCCGAGCCTGTCGATTGAGCAGGCTTATGAGACGCTTGGGCTGACGCCGGAAGCCGCACAAGACGCCAAAGCAGTGCGCAAAGCATACCTGAAGATGTCAATGAAGTATCACCCGGATAAAAACCCAGAGGGGCGCGAGATGTTTGAGCAAGTCAACAAGGCCTATGAGTTTGTGACAGCCAAGGAGAACCGGTCCGTGGATGGCCCGAACCCGGAAAACATCTTCCTAATTCTTCGTGCGCAATCAATCCTGTTCAAGCGCCATGCGGACATTCTCGAGCCATACAAATACGCAGGTTATCCTATGCTTGTACTGACCGTACAGGTGCGTAAACGCGGCCCTACTGTCCTTGAATGTGTGACCTGATCATATTGGGCCCATGTCTCTTGCGCTCTGTCTTGCGACTGTATACTTCCCTGGACGTGGGCTTACTTGTCGAACCCGATTTGCCACCCTTGCAGCGCGAAACGCAAGATGAAAACCTGTTCGCTTCCTCGATTGCCGTACTTCGTGCTGCCTGCGAGCTGTGCCATCACACTGTCAACTGCAGCGCACTCAATGCTCAAGAACTCTTGCGTGAAGGTGGCTTGGAACAGCTTACTTCAGCTCTCGAGCGTTGCTCCTCTGTCCTTTCGCGCGTTTGTACAGATGATGAGCCTGCCGCTCAGGTATGTAGTCCTGACGGTGCCTGTAAACAGTCGGTCGCATCCATACATTCATTGAAGGTCTCCATCCGAATTCGACTCACACCCTCCTCGTGTCGCTTCTAGGTGTGCACGCACATATTGCGCTGCTTTGCAGCTGCTGGCCGTTTCGAGGAGTGCAGGGAAAAGTTTGTTGAGCTTGCAGCCGTTGCGCGCGAAATTTCGCGTTGCCTTTGGCTCTCGTCTGCTCCTCAGCTCTCGCAAGCCGCCCTGGAGTGTGTGTGTTCCTTCTCTCACAGTGAGAAGCTGCAAGAGCAATTGTTCGCCACGGGCGTTGGCTTTCACCTTGTGAACCTACTATTTGGCTATGACTACACGCTGGATATGAGCGGCGTCGAAAAGAGCGAAGAAACGCACAAACAGGAGTTTACGAACCGCAATGCCAAGGCTGGCGTGCGTGCGCTGGCATGCCTTGGAGGCAGCAAACCGGAAGGTCCAGATTCAACACCTCAGAACGTTGCGGTGCAAGATGCCATTGGCCGACTTATCACGCCCTTCATGTTGAACATGCTCGCTGATGATGATGCCGCACGTTTGCTCAAGACCTTTAATACTAACACAGAGAACCCCTACCTGATCTGGGACAACTCGACAAGAGCGGAGTTGAAGGACTTTGTGGAAGATCAGCAAGAAGAAATGGTGAAGACTGGGCAGAGTGAAGACCTTTGGGTTGAGAAGTTTGCCTTCTCAGCCCACAAGGATGAGCTTATTGTGGATGACGTGTTTATCCGCATCTACAACGAGCAGCCGTCCTTTGTCATTTTGCAGCCCAAGCGGTTTACTGCCGCTCTTCTCAAATACATTGGTGACACGGCGCAGGTGTGTCCTCTCTCTCTCTCTCTCCCTCTCTCTCTCTCTCTCTGAAACTCGTTGCGCTACAACTTATGTGTACACGCTCATGGCCATTAGTACGTTTGGTCTGCTGATGCCATGGCTACAACTATTTCCAAGGAGGGCATTTACAAACGATTGGCGCAGGCGATGAATGCTCTCCGAAACTGCTTGCGATCAAATGCTGGTATGCTACCGTTCTTCTGCAAACTTGCATTCCTACGGTTGCCTTACCGTCTTGCTTGAACATGCCCTTGGTTGACCGGATTTCAGGCATTGAGACGGAGTGCAATGGCAACTACAAACTTTTGTTCTCCTTGCTCAAGCAGCAAGAATCGCTTCCGTTGTCCATGGCCACTCTGCAAGTGATCTCAACCGTGGCTGTCAACCGTGCATGCGTCAAAAACATCTCTGACTCCAAGGTTCTTGTCTATTTGCTCATGTCTACGCACAATCAGCCCGAAGGTACGTTGTGTTGCCTTTGGGTCAACGCACCAAGAATGCTTATCGCTTGATCGGCAAAGGTGATATCCTCAGCTCAACTTGAATTGATGTGTGTCAGGCCGGGAAATTGCTCTAGAAGCTTTGCACTCGCTGATCTCAGCTAGCAAGTGTACTGCCGAAGTGTATGACTTTGGTGGCATCATTTACATTCTCAACATGTACTGTGGCAACAACCCCATGTCTGTTCGGGAAGGTGCTGCCGCTCTATTTTCCAAGATGATGTCTGACAAACTCAACGGCCCAAAGGTATCTTTCCCCGCATGTTTCTGAGACCGGTGTGAAACCGGTGTTATACATGTTATAGAAAGAGGGGAGCAGCCTTGGCTTACAAAGGTCTGCTGCGTGAATTGCTTGCCTGCAACGATTTAGATTCGTTTGGTGCTCCAAAAGTTTTTGCCTCCTATTTTTATGGAGGCAATGATGGACAGCGCCGAAACTAGTGTCACCATGTTTGAAGGCCAGCACGAGAACCCAGAGCTGATTTGGAATGATGAGGCCCGCGCGAAACTGCGCAGCCTTGTTGGCTCTCTCTGCCAAGAGTTAGTGGCTAGTGATTTGCTTGAATGTTATGCGCAGTGAGGTGAAAACCTGATTTTATCGTATTATGTGCCGTCATTGTCTGCCCTGTGTCTTGTACGTAGAATTTTCGACAGCCAATTTGCTAATCCCGCAACAAACTGGGTGGTAAGAAGTTGTAACCTTCCAACTCATTTGCTTCTGACAACCTGTTAGCGCCAGATCTCAGCTTGCTAATCCCCTTGTGATTTGAACAACCACCAGATGCCTCCCGACTTTGAAGTGGCCTATGAGAAGTTGCAAGGCGAAGTCGTCGTGGGTGGTGTTTTCTTGCGACTCTTGGAAAAGCAGCCGACTTGGTCTTTCCGAAAGCCAAAGGAATTTTCCAAGGCCATGATGGTTTGTGCCCTTGTCCATAACACTCACACTCTGGACCATTCGCAAATGTGTGAGCACACTTGTGAACAACGGATTTCATCCTCATCCTACGATGTTTTTAGAGTCGATACATTTCTCTCATCAGCCAAAGCGAACAATCACAATTGGAGGAGCTGGATGTGGTCACCAAGGCCTTCACCGCTTTGCTCGCGGTGCAAACAGACATCTGCAGTCATGTTCGTTGCAGTCATCATTGCATTTCAACAATGGAAAACGTGTCATGATTTCCCGCGCCTGTTTGCTTGCTGAACATAGATCGCCCAACTCGGTTACTTCAACCGCTTCCTCAAGGGCATTGCTACAGACAACCCCGTGGTCGCAGTGCGTTTAATCACCTGCAAAAACTTATTGATTTCACTGCTGTGCTTGCATTCACTGCTTGATCGAACTCACGTTCACCTTGACTGAATATATCATGATCAGAGCTCGGGCATTTGCATTTTGAACCAATTCGCGAGCAATCAAGCTTGTCTCCGTGGTCTTGCAGGCATTGCAGATGCCATGGCCTCTTTTAAGCAAGCTTTCATTTCCTGCACCAAGGTGCTTATCGGACGGAATGCCTTTAGAGCACCTGCCCACTTCACATCCACCTCTCCCTCTCCCTCTCCCTCTCCCTCTCTCTCTCTCTCTATCTCTAATATATTGCGTGTGTGTTTGTGTGTGTGTGTGTGTGTGTGTGTGTGTGTGTGTGTGTGTGTGTGTGTAGGCAACGTTGCCGCTCGCGTGCGAGTGTGCCAAGAAAATTTTCGAGGCTCAAGCACCACCGTTTGTACAACAGGTTTGCCTTGATTCAACTTGTGTTCTCTTCAATGTGGAACAGATCATTGCACTGCCATCACATCTTAGCGGGTCCACGCAGGCACTCACTGTCCTTGCATTTCTTTTCTCTAGGCACTCGAGACTGGCTTGATCAAGCACATGCTCAACCTCCTCAACACTGGTCTGAATGAGGTGGAAGGCGCCACTGCTGCCAAAGCCAACCTTGTCAAGGCGCTCAAAGCAATGGCATTGTATGTTCATTCCTCCCATTTTTTGCAATGTGTGGTATGCTTTGACTCAAAGGCTTGCCCGTGTGCCGCTATTCTAAAATTTAATGTCCATGTAGGGATCTGGCTCGTGGTGAGGAAGTCACTGTTATTTTGGACAAGTGCCCCTGGTGGGCTGCTTATAAAGGTACATTCATGAACGGACACTCATGAAACGAACTCAAAATAAAAACTCTCACTAGTCAGTGTATTTTCTCTCTTTAGATCAACGCCATGATCTTTTCATCACAAACAACAAGGCGGCCGGCTATCTGACTGGACCCACGGCCGCTGTGGCTGGCTATTTGACGGTGAGGCAGCTCTGCGTCGATCTTGTTCTTATTATTGTTCTGTTTGCTCTTCGTTGTTGTCAAGCTATTTTTTTATTTCATTACCTTTCATATCAACAACACTATGTTATTTTTTTGTCGATAGGCTGCCCCAGCCAACGCTGCTGCTGGAGAGACTATGCCCCCACCACTTGAACAAGAGCAAGCATCCTTGCGCCGAAGCCAAGCTGGAAACCCTGATCTTTAGGAAATGGTAGACGTCTCTCTTTAAAAAAATGTCCAACCAATTTATCAATCCATGTCTCATCACGCCGCATGTCAACATCTCTCTTGGATGCCTTCGAGTCCGAACCGCTGTGGTTTTTTCCATGTTCAGACACTTGTGTTAGCGTCATCACCGTCTGCTGCACATACAAAGTATTGTCCGCCAACAACAACACCTCAACGCCATTCCAAATGCTTCTGCGGCGCCACCGCACTCATCTGCTCGTTCTTGGTGCAAAGGTCGGGCTGGCTAGGCTTAACATGGAAAACCTCTGATCGTCCCGGCGGCGATGACGACAACCGGTGGGTTCGCCTCCTCCTTTGTGGATCTGCTTGGTCAGCTCGCCCGCTGCGCCGAGGCCCGTGGTGTGCACCAGCCGGGGCTGGACGAGGCCTTTGTTCCTCGGTGGAACGGTCGCTTTGCAGCGCCTGGTCCATCAGATGAACGCTGACCACATCCAGCGCCACTTTGGCGGTGTCTGCCTGCGCTCGTCGTAGGTAGGCACCGTCTCGGGGGTCCCTCTGTGGGGATCTCTGTGTGCACCTGTCGCTCCCTAGGTGGATCTCGTTTGTGTCTTTTTATGGCTTGACTTGTATACTTGTTTTAATTTTGCTTTAATTTTTGCTGTATTTGTGTGGTATNT